TGGCAGCAAGTATTTAGTTGGTGATCGTTACACCGTGGCTGATTTCGCTTTATTTGGATGGGCATTCAGGTTGAAGGCTTTAGACATCGATATCCATCAATGGCCATTATTGGGTAAATGGCATGATGCTTTAGCCGAATTGCCCGAAGTGCAAAAAGGAGTCAGAGCAGTTCCACCAAAATGGTTAAAAGAGCAAGATGAAAAATCAAAAGCTTAATCTAGGTTATTCTTAGACTTTAAATAAAAAACAATCAATCAACACTATGGTGAAGAACTATACATCTCAACCTCTACTAAACTTTCTTTTCATCTTCATCGTCATAATCATCATCATGTTCTCTACCACTTCTACCATTTCCAACACCTGAACCTTCTCTATCACGTTGAACTAAATCTTCCACCATTTCAACACTAGGCTTGTTCTTTTCTAAATCAAAGTGAATATGATCAAATCCGGTATTACCTCTACTGTTTGTGAACTTGACCTTATGGATTTGTGAATGATCGGGAACCAATTTGTTACAACGTCTCAAGTCATACCATGGCAATGTAAACACTTCTTCAATTGACTCCAAACTTCTGCCCTTCAATTCAGGAAGGAAGAATGCCCAAACTAGTGAAAGGATCAACACACCAACGAAAAAATAAAATGCACCATAGGAATTCATTGCAATCATCATCTTGGGTAATGCTTTAGAGTTACCATATTGATTAGCAAAATGTAAAATCATAACCAACGATTGAGCAAATGTTCTAATTCCAAGAGGGAAAATCTCACCACCAAGCAAATATTGAACTGCATTGAATCCAACAGTCCAGAAAGTACCACTCAAGAATATAGCTGCTAATGCACCTTGACTTGCTCTTTTAGCCGATCCGGTGATGACTGCACCAGACTCGGCAGCTTGAGGAACAATTGTCAAGAAAATGGCATAGTACAACAAGCACAACATTTGACCGCAAATACCAATATAAATGGCTCTCTTTCTGCCCAAGATATCAATAATGAAGAAAGCTGAAAGGTAAGCAGAAACAAACTTCACAACACCCAAGACAGCCGACATTTTCAAAGTATCAATACCAGTAACACCAACTAATGAGAACAATTCCGAAGCGTAGATTGTAACGGCATTGGCACCACTCCATTGGCCCAACACTTGAGTTGCACCGGCGATAAACACAAACCTATAAGCAATACTCTTTACTGTAACAATTTGTTTAAACATGGTCCACAATGATGAATTCTTTGTAGCTTCCTTTTCTGCCATGATTTGTTCATTGATATCACTGATCTCAGCAATGATGTATGGATGGTCAGCAGGTAAATGTCTCAACTTGCTCAACTTGTCAATCGCTTCCTCCGCCTTGCCATGTTTTAACAACCAACGGGGACTCTCGACACACCAAAAGAACGAAGTAATAAAGATTAATCCACACATAATAATCTTAGTAGATAATGTAACTCTCCATTGTTTGTCATTAGGTGATCCATCGGCTAACATGTTTGGGATATGCAAAGCTGAACCCCAATTTGCAAAATAACTCAACATGATACCGAAATAAACGGCACCAGCAAAAATACAGTTGGCGATCCCACGAATTGGACTTGGTGCAACTTCAGACAAGTAAACAGGACCAATAGATGTTGTTTGACCAATAGCCAACCCTTCAATTAAACGACCAGCGTATAATTGACCAACTGAATTCGAACTGATTTCAATAATGACACCAACTACCCAAATAATACAAGTCACCTGCAATGCTCTAATCCTACCAAAGTAATCAACTGATTTCATGGCAATAATAGCACCACCAATAGAGCCCAACTGAACCATAGAGGTAATGTTGGACTTCAAGTTAGCCAATTGGTCCTCCGTTTTTGACTCGTCACTTAATCCAAACCTTTGTTTGAAAGAAGGAAGAGCAATATTTCCCGAAACTAGATAGGACTTCTGTTAGTATTAGCTGCTTAAAGCAAGTCTGTACAATCTCTTCAAATACATACTATTTCCTTCGTCAAGACCTCTACCGGCACCAAGTATTCCAAAAACTAAAATACTCAAATATAATGTGGCATTGAAAATTTGGGGTGGGTGGTCGGAGGTATCCACTGTAAATCTGAATTTAGACCAAAATGATTTCTTCTCGTCGTCTGTATTTGGATATGGCTCAGCTTGGATTATATCTTGCGATTTTTCACTTTGAGCATCGTTGCCTTTATACGATTCAAACTTTGTGACTGCAACATTGGACTTATCATCTTTTCTTGAAAGTGGAAACACCATACTTAAAGAATCTTTCTCTTTCTCTCTTGCAAATATTATTTTCTTAGTTAAAAGAAGGGGGATCTAAACTTTCTCTTGGCTAAAGAACTTTTTTCTTAGGTGGATGTTTTCAAGAAAAATAAATTGATGAAACAGATGAGTCAAAAAGAATTTCTTGAAAGGAAATTTCTTTATCCCTTTATATATCGTGAATAAGGAAAGGGAAAAAGGTATAACATTTCGTTGCAGCAAACTAGTTGAACAAAAGCAAAGACGTTACCGCAATTTGCAGTTGTTTCATCGTCTTTTGTTTTTTCCTTTTCTTTAGTTTTTTCTTTCTACAAACCCCAACTCTATTGAGACACAATTAGTCTTCCCCACTTCCCGGAGCTTCTCTCCAATACTACACGGTAAGAAATTTTAAGTTATTCAGCAGAAGAATATCTTTGCGTAAGTAAAAAGCTGCTGTTTGCGTACTTTTTCCATTTTTTGTTGAGTTTCAAAGTTAAAGGAGGAAGTAAAAGAAAATATGCAGAATCTGCAACTGCGGCTAAAAAAAGAAAACCCAACACAAAGTTAAGAGAGATAAATTTTTGTTTAAAGTGGAGGACAAAGATTCTCCCCACTTTCGAGAGAACAAAACTCTAAACGATTGCAAAAAGCAAAAAACAAAGAAACAATGTCTCTCCTACAATATTATTTCTCTGAACCACTAAGACTGGCAAGTACTAACGTGTCCCCAACTACCCACACTGATGTAATTAAAACTAATCCCCACCCCCAAACTATAAAGTTCTAGATTTATGATACTTTCCCATTCTATATCGTAACATGTACACTATGTGTCATTCTAAGAGCAAAACTTGTATTCCTAGCTCGAATTGTAGGAGAATTCTATCAGATCAGCTCCATTCTTGCCATCTGAGCCCTTGCCGAGGGTCATCCGATACTTGGTACTGCTGCTTTCCTTGCAGAAAATTTGCTTTTCGTAAACAACAACCTTTTGTCAACCTCTTGTTTGTGTGAGGAGTTTGGTTGTTGTTATATACAGAATATTACACAAACCCGCAATTGTTAAGATTGGACTATTTTTTTTATTTTCAAGCAACAATGCCTCTTCCTTTACTAATGAAGAAGTACACGAAGGAATAAAGAAGAAAAATCATTGCTTTTATTAAAGAGAACAATAAAGCACAGAGTAAAACAAAGCAGTGTCCAATTGTTTTCGCTAGCTTTGTTATTTCATCAGGTGATGAATGTGCTTGTTGAGCTTAATCAATGCTACAGATGTAAGCAGCAATGTATGCTCCACGTATACCTGGTACTTTTCCCTGTAAGTGGGCTAGGTGCTCTGAGTAGTTAGATAAAGAAACCATCTACTTTTGTGTCTGTTATCTCGGGTTTTCACTCGGCTGGGATTATAAAAGTCTGCATCTAGAAATTCCTAATTATTAAAATATGAATAGAAAAGGCGGGGTTGAGTTGAAAAAAAAAAAAGAAAAAAAGAATGGAAAGGAATAAAAAACCTTCAACAATTTGAATTGTTTTCTAAATGTTTACTTGTTACATGCCGTTTATTTTAAAATATTTTAATTTTTTGCAATGTGTTTATATTTTAAAAGTCTGGCGCTTATTTCTAGCAAAAATAAAAAATAAATATCAGATGACATGACACAAACGTTGACACAGGACACAGAATAAAAGTCACGTAATGGAAAATTTTTTATTGGAGACAAACTACATTGACAATAATCTTATTTACAATTTCGAGAACAATTGTAGCATTATGTCATAAGTTTAATTCGCATGTGAACAACGCCTTGTAAAAAGGCTAATAAAATCTTTGCTAGAAAATGTTTAATTTTAGACGACACAGAAAGTGGAGAAGAGCCCCCGGAGATCGTAATTACAACCATGAACGACGGATTAAAATAATTTTGAAACGTTTTAAATGTTCTGCAATGCAGAAACCCTCCTCAAAAACGGAATACAAGACTGCATTCAAAAATTTGTTGCGCTTTTTTTTGGCTTATCGTTCCGAGATTTCCATTTGTATTAATTAGATCATAAAGCAAACGTTGCGAACGTTTAAGTGAAATAACAAGTCTTCACTAAAACCTAAGGAATATTCCGGAACGATTGTCGTGGACTCAAAGCAGGTTTCCTTTTCCTCTATTTTCATCAGAATCAATTTCTTCAACTTTTTTTTTCTACATCACTCGTTTAAGTTTCCCCGCACGGAGCTAAATTCTTTTTTTTCATAAAAAAAAAAGAAAAGAAGATCGGAACAAAAAGTAACCGAGAGATTAAATGATTGTTTCTTAATTGCCAAAGAATAAGATTCAAGCATTATAAGACGAAGAATGAAATTTCAACCAACAATGGAAAGAAAAAAAATGTCTTGTATTGCTTTTTATTTTTAGACGTGGGGTTTGTGTCTACAAATTTAGACCAGGTCGTGTATTTCACTACAAAAATATTATTATTTCAAATACTTTTTCTTGTATTAGGGGAGCTACCAGATAGAATTTTACTAGAATAGAAACCCCACCTAGTTGCAAGTTGTTAGAATGGAGCATGTTCTAATAGATGATTCTCAAGGGAAATACTACACACGAGTGGTTCTAACACGATACACAACTGCTCATATTGCGACGAAATCTTGTCCATATATCAAAATAACTGTCATATTCATATAAAAAACTATAAACTTTTCCACCCCACTAAACCTTCTTCTCTTCTTCCTCTTCTCCAGAACTTCTGCCACCAACATTTTTGGACCTTGATGTCCCAGTATTCTCAACAAACTCACCAATGGGCTTGTTTAATTCCAAATCATATTGTATGTAGTCAGCACCAGTGTTGCCTCTGCTATTAGTATATTTAACTTTGTGGATTTGTGAGTGGTCTGGAACCAACTTACGACAACGTCTCAAATTATACCATGGCAATGTAAACACCTCTTCAATTGACTCCAAACTTCTACCTTTCAATTCAGGAAGGAAAAATGCCCAAACTAAAGCTATGCACAAGACACCAACAAAAAAGTAAAATGCACCAAATGAATGCATAGCAAGCATAAGTTTTGGCATAGCACTGGAGTTACCATACTGATTAGCAAAATGTAAAACCATGATGACCGACTGGGCAAATGATCTAATACCTAGAGGGAAAATTTCATTACCAATCAAATATTGAATTGAATTGAATCCAATTGTCCAGAATGCGCCACTCAAGAAAATAGCAGCCAAAGCTCCAGTACTTGCTCTCCTGGCATTGGCATTGACAACAACTCCTTCGGCAGCCTCAGGAACCAAATTCAAAAAGATTGCATAGTACAACAAGCACAACATTTGGCCAGAAACACCAATGTAAAGTGACCTCTTTCTACCCAAGATATCAATGAGGAAAAACGCAGCAAAGTAAGCGGAGGAGAACTTGACAACACCCAAAACAGCCGACATTTTCAATTTATCAATACCAGTAACACCAACTAACGAGAACAATTCCGAAGCGTAGATTGTAACGGCATTGGCACCACTCCATTGGCCCAATACTTGACTTCCACCACCAATGATCAACAATCTGTAAGCAATACTTTTGACGGTAAAAATTTGTCTAAAATTGTCCAACAATGATGAAGATCTAGCTGCTTCTTTCTCGGCTGTCACCTGTTCATTGATATCACTAATCTCAGCAAGAATATATGGATGATCAGTGGGCAAGTTTCTCAATTTACTCAATTTCTCAATAGCTTCTTGTGACTTGTCGTGCTTCAACAACCAACGAGGACTCTCGACACATAAAAAGAATGATGTAACAAATATAAGACCTGCCATAATAAACTTGACACAGAAAGTGACTCTCCATTGCTTGTCATTAATTGATCCATCGGCTAATGCTTCAGGGATATGTATTGCCGAACCGTAGTTTGCAAAATATCCCATCATGATTCCCAAGTACACAGCACCAGCAAAGATACAATTAGCCATGCCACGAATCGGACTTGGTGCGACTTCAGACATGTAAACTGGGCCAATAGACGTTGTTTGACCAATAGCCAACCCTTCAACAAAACGACCAGCAAACAACTGACCAACGGAGTTAGAAGAAACTTGAATAGCAACACCAACTAACCAGATAATACACACAACTTGCAATGCCCTAAGTCTACCAAAGTAATCAACTGACTTCATGGCAATAATAGCTCCTGCAACTGAACCCAATTGCACCATGGAAGCAATATTGGATTTCAATGTCGCAATTTCATGTTCTGTCTTTGTTGTATCACTTAATCCAAATTTCCGAGTAAATGCAGGAAGAGCAAGGTTTCCAGAAATTGTACCTTCATCAACACCTCTTGCTGCTCCAAACAACCCAAAGACTAAAATACTCAAGTACAAGGTCTTGTTGAAGATTTGTGGTGGATGATCGGTAGTATCAACACGAAATCTAAATCTTTGCCAAAAGGGTTTTTTCTCCTCGGAGTATGGCGTTGACTCAACCTCAATATTAGCTTGAGACCCTTTACTGGAATTATCATTTTCTTCTGGTGATCCAACAGCAATAGAAGTTTGTGTAGGCTTCTTATTTGCTGTAGAAGACATTTTTGTTTAGATTAAGAATTTTTCTCTTAAAGCAGGTATTGTTTCAATTGCCAAAAGTTCAGACACTTTTCCCCTATATTACTGATAAAAGAGTTGATAATGATGGAATAAAGAAGCAAGAAAAACAGAGGTAATGGCCATCTCCTTAAATAGACAAAGAGATGCTTGTTTAAGAAGGGTATAATAACTTCTAAAATTGGATGTTGAATTTGCAAGAGGGGTGTGACTTGTTGCAAAAACCAAAAAAACAAACTAAAGTGGCCAATATTATTTTGTAGTTTCAGCCTCCCCCAAAAAAATGGGTAAAATCTCCGGGGTTTTTTGTTTCAACTGTGTAATATTTTAGAAACTCACTGAATTTCTTTGTAATGTTATTGAGGGGGTATTAAGTTCTTTTTCTTGAGAGGTCTTTTCGTGGTAAGTGGCTCAAAATTCAAAGACTGATCGTAAAGCTTGTTTCGCATAGATAAGAAAAGAAGGTGTGAAATAATGGCCAAGAAGAATCGATTTGGGCTAAATGGAATGTACTTCCCCACATGGAAGGTTTCTATCGACGCTGAAAAGGGCTAAGAAAAGTTTCAGAACGAAAGAAAAGTTGAAGATTAACTTAAACCAATAGGACAATTTCTTTAGAATACTCCACTATTCACCTTTAAAGATGCTTAGTTTTGTTGACCCAACCAGTTTGAGCGCAAGCTTACCTTCTAGTCTGTGCTATAGAGTGAGTAATGACTAAACTAGTTCGATTCAAAGCTACGTAGGGAACAAAATGTAACACTCAAGGTCTAGCTAGCATCCTCAATAATTGAAAAAAGGTGATTTTGAAAATTAAGGATTCTAGGGTGTGTATCTTGGACCTGCTTTGCCCTGCTTTAATTTGTCATCTTCGGAGTTTTTTTTATTTTTATTTTAACAAAGATTTTATTCCAGCTTTTGGCTAAGTTTTAAACTTTGATGTCACAAATGTGCGAATGCGCGTTGTTGCAAATTAATATTTTTTGCATCGCTAGTTGTATATTATATTTCAGTCTTATATCATACGATGAAATTACAAAAGCATAGCGAATATTTCTAAGATTGTAACACATTTACTAATTTCCTTACATTTGCCATCATCCGTTTACAAGTTTTTCTTTATCAAAACATACCACTTTTCGACTTGGATTTGAGAAAGCAGTGACACTTACCAGACGCAGAATCTTTAAAATATGAGTGTAGGAATACTCTCCTTTGTACGCATTATTTCTACATTCAACTTAAAGTTACTACTAAAGTATTGTTTCTTTGTCTCAAAAGTTTTGCCTTAGGAATAAACTTTGGGGGATTGTGGTAATTGCCCATATGCTCTCGAAGTACCATATTTAATCTGCTTATCCAGCAAATCAGGTTATTATATCCGTTTTTACATGTAAAAGTTTGTAATTTACGAGATTCTATTTGTTTCAAAAATAATAAATTGTGCATTGTAATTCGGAAATGAAGCCCTTTTGCTAAACTATGGATTAAAATTTTGATTCTATGTAGACTGATACTTGATAAACGGAAATAATTGTAACACCTATCATTTTATCACTCACTGCAGCTCCCAGTAGTACCTACTCACTTTTGCTTGTAGCTTCTTGAATAATTTTAGTTCGGCAATATAAATGTCGTGTACTCATGAATTGTGCACGGGAAAGATTCATTTAAGGTTTGAATTGTCATTATGAGTCCAGTCCCCAACTTTTCATTCTCTGTCCACCCGAGATGAGTACTATTAGCTAATGCACGTGAGATACTTTTGCCCAACATTTTAGTCCTACTTTTGTAAATGGTTCAAATTGCAACAAGAAAAGCTTATTTGTGAGTTTTTTGGTAATCCTGTATATTGTTGCATTCTCTGGTGTAAAGTTTTGTGTATTTAAGTTTTGAAAGACAGACAGCCAGCCTCATCAATAATGAGTCAACCCCCCTCCCCCCTCCTGCTCTTTAGAAAATAAAACAAGTACTAGATATCACATAGGTTATTAAATAACACTACAAAGCACAACATCAATGGCGATAAAGTTCCTTTTCAAGTAGGCAACTAAATATATGCAATTACTAATGAATCTACGGAAAAACGCACTTCAACATTTTTAAAGTTGCATGGAATAAAATCAAGGCAGTGAAACGTCAAACAGAAATACTAAAGGAAAGGTAACCCTTCTTCAAAAGAGAACTAGAGTTTTGAGAATTACCAAAAACACAAAAAAAAGTACTTCCTGAATTCCAACATTTCGATTTGTAATTCCTGTTGGGCTGAAAACAACTTACCCCCTCTTTCTAATTTACACTTCGGTATAGGATTCTTCCTATTGTACATTGAGTTATTCTGTCTCACAAGTGGGGAAGAATAACATTTTCTTGTTTCCAGATAGTGTAATTTTGATTGATTTAAGTTTACTCTCCTTGGAAGCCATGCGCATTGTTAGTATCAATGTACCATCAACCCCTCCCCTCATTCCTCTATAATAAATCCAATCATGGCACATGGCAGTGACAAGCTTTTCAACCCATATTTAGCCCACTCCCTGGAGTTCCCGGGCTCTTGAAGTACATTTCGTAAAACCCCTCGATCTTTCAAAGTGTTTACTAATAATGTGCAAATTCCCCGCTACAGTTCAAATAATAAGCCTTGTTTCTTTCGCAATATCTGGGGACAAAAGTAGAGCTAACATTAAAATACATATATTATTAAAGATACACAAAACAATTTAACTTGGCACGATTTCGAACAGCTTCTCCACACAAAAAACTGTTTACCATCGATTTCACATCGTTTTGTCTTACTCCTGTCTCGTCTTTTTCACTTTTGGTCTTTCATCTTGAAAAGATCTCTTGCGCTCATTGCTTGGAGAAACACTTTTTAGCTCTTCAGGCGTCTTAGGATTTCTTGGCTCAGTTCTTGCTATTGCAGGCCGTTTGACAGCCAATGTAGATTCTTTACCAGGAGCGATGGAGGAGACAACTGATACCTTTTTAGGAGCAGGCTTTACTACCGGTGTGGTTGTTGCCAGTTGTGTAGTGGGGGTGCTGCTCAGTAATTGTGGTGATGTCACTTGCGGTTGTGCCCCGAAAGTTTGGGGAGTGGCTTGCAAAGCAGGTTGTGACTTTACCACTGATGGGGTCGATTCAGGCAAGCTAGAGGTATCCTTCGATGGGACCTTTTGAGCTAGCACTTGAGATGGTGCGGCAACTGGTGCTTGGGTTGCCGTTTGAGCTGGTGTGCTTTTACTCACTTCTGTAACAGGAACAACCGGTTTTGTGCTTTTCGTTTCAGTGGCAATCTTTGGTTTTTCTGTTGGTTCCAGTTTACCTGATGCAACACTCGTGTTAACCGGTTGCAATCTTTGTACACTAGGCTGAACTGTTGGGGTGGTTGTCAATGGCTGCGTTGTGGCACTTACTGCCACTGACGAACTAGTTTGTGGGGATACAGATTGATGAGTTGGTTGCTGTGCAGACGCTTGACGTAACTGCGTCTGGAAAAATGCTTGTGGCTGAGCCTGTTTTGCTCCTTGTGGCTGTGGAGTCTTAACAGGTTGACCGAAAGCCGTACTTTTCAGGAAGCCTCTCACTTGTGGTTGTGCTGCTGCCGCTGCCACTTGTGTCGCTGCTGTCACTGCTTGCGATGCCGGTTGAGTCACCAGTTGTGATACAGACTGAGGTGCAGGCTTCACTGAACTCGATGCTTGTGATTGCTTCTTTGCTTGTGACTCTGACTCAAACTTTTCAACTTTTCTCGTCAACATTTTCATCTTGAACTCAAACTTCCTCTCAACCTCTTGTGCTGTCTTTGCCTTTTCCTCATCAATCTTCTGTTGAACCTCGCTCTTGGTTTTTTCTAAAAGTTGCTGGAGTTGCTCGTACTTGGCTTTCGTAGCATCTGTTGATCCGTTCGTGTTTGAAGATTCCAGTGACTTGCGCAACTCCTCCTTCTCTTTGTTAAATTGAGTCTTGAAAGTGGCTTCCAAAGTGAACAACTTCTTAACCAATTCATTCTTTTCACGTATCAATCCATTATTTTCCTCCTTTATGGCGTTAAGCTGCTTATTCAACTCCTCAACCTTCTGTTGTAATTTTCCATCTGGAGAACCAGAGGAAGATTGATTGCCCAGCAACGATTCTATTTTCTCCTTCAACTGTTTCAACTCCGAGTCCTTGGTGTCATTGATTTCTTTTTCTCTGGCAGCATGTTCCTGCTTCAATGTCTTAATCCTGTCATTAGCTTTGTTTTTCAATTTATCCATTTGCTCTTGCATTCTGATGATTTCTGGCGGTGGACCCTTGGACTCCTCCACTTTAGGAGCTACATTCGATGATATCGTCTTGAGGCGTGCATTCTCTTCCTCGAGCAAGCGCAATTTTTGTTGGTTAATTCCTGTTTCTGTTATTTGCGTTTGCGAGTTTTGTTTAGCATTGTCTAACTCAGATTTGATCCTAGCAAACTCAGATCTCAAATGTGCAAGCTCAGTATCCTTCCTCTTAATTTCGTATTTTAGGTTGTTGGTATTCTCCATTAACTGATTGATTTGCAGCAATTGGCTTGAAAGTTGACTCTGCTCTTTCTCATTGTTGTTCATATCCAACACACTGGAATTATTCTTGAGTGACTGAAGGGTTGAAATCTCATTTTGCAAACTCTCCAATTTAACCCTGAGGCTGGAATTTTCTTCTTCGACGGTGGCCAACTTAGCATCACTTCCCTCCTTTTCACGACGAAGATACTCGATAATCTGTTTGACATCATTTGATCCACTATCTTCGTTATTTTCTGATACACCACCCAATTCTAAACGATCAAGCAAAAGTCTATTTTGATCCTCCAACTCGGCATGCTTTGTCTTTGAATTATTCTTTTCATTCTCCAACTCCAACCTGCTCACACTTAGTTCTCCTTCTAGATCTTGTAGTTTCTTGTTAATTACATCCTTTTCCTTTCTTAGTTGTGCTATGGTGTAATTGTTGTCTGATACTGTCTCCTTTATGCTTTGAATTTCCTCAACCAATGCTGAATTGTTTTCAGCCTGAACGTCAGCTTTATTTTGCAAATCAATAACCGTCTTCTTTTCCTTCTCGAGCTTTTCATTCGCATCATTAAGTCTATCTTCATAAATCTTGTCCAAACTATCAAATTTTTCCGCTTTAGTTTCAACCTCTGCAAATTTCTCTTGTAACGCATTAAAATCAGCCACAAATTTTCCTCTTGCTTCTTCCAACTCTTTGGCTTTGACGTCATTTTTTTCTTTTAATTTTGCAATTTCCTCTTCTGCATTTTTCATTTCCTTCACAATTTCGTTGTATTTTGTCTCCCATGAAGCTTTTTCTTCATTTAATAATTTCGTCTTTTCAGCTATGGATGCTTCCTTATCATTCACCAACTTTGTTAATTCCACGAGGCGATCTCCTGTAGTTCTCAAATCATCTTGCAATTGTTTAACTTCTGGTTTACTATATGCATTGAGCGTTGCATCCTTTAACCTAGCACTCAAGTCCACTATACGCTTATCTTTCTCTGAAGCTTCATTCTTCAAATGTAGCAACTGCAAGCTTAAGTCATTTATCTGTTCCAACTTGCTATTTTGTGCTTTAAATGTCTTTTCCGATTGATGAGACAATATCTGGAGCCTTTCCTCTCTTTCATTGAGCTTTCTTTGTAAGTTCTGCGACGCCTCGGTAGAATCATTAAACTTGGCTGTAATCTCTTTGATAGATTCGTCACGTTCTCTTAACATCGATTGTAAATTCACCACTAATTCATTCAACTTAACCTTGTCGTCCCTCAATGATGAGAGCTCATTATTAAGCGACAACTGCATTCGATTTGCAAAATCCTTTTCGTGCTGTAAAGTGACCAATGATGTATTATTCTGCTCCACCCTTGATTGCAAATCGCGAAGATCTTGCGATTTTTGTCCCACTTGATCTTCCAATTTTTGTGCTTGTTTATTCCAAAACTCCATCTCTGATTTCACTTGATTTTTCTCAGCGATTGCCAAATCAATAGATTTCTGAGTAGTGGACAACTTCATTTCTGTCAACTCGATTGATTTGTTTGCAACAGAAAGTTGTATCGCGAGTTCATTGTTGCTCTCTAGCGCCTTCTTCAACTCCTCTCTGACCTTGTTTATTGTCTCTGAAGACTCATGCTTCATTTTCTTGATTACAGACTCATACTCCTCAATCTTTCTATTTAGCTCCAAGTCAGGCACGGAATTGTTGGTTCCAGCCACTCCGTCTGCCATTTTGTTATTGAGTTTTCGAAGGGCGTCTCGTTCTCTAGTAGCGGCTTGAAGTTGTGCATTAACGCTCTCCAACTCACTATCCAAAGTCATTATCGCCTCTTGAGCCTCCTCCACAGCTTTTGCGCTATTACTATCCTCCTCTGAGCTTTCCAACTTCTTTGTCAACTGCCTTACTGAAGTGACCAAATCTTGGTTTTTTTGTCGAAGCTCAATAATGTCTCTGAAAGTTAACAACCTTTCTGATACTACCTTGTCAGCGTCTGACTCGAGCGAGTCATCAAAATTGCCTGTACGGTCTAAAATTTTCTCAATCTTGCTGCGCTCACCAAGAGCAAGGGGGTCGTCGTTGTTGTCTCTAATATGTGAGTGTATGAGGAGGTAGCATATCTGCCTTCCCAAATCTTTTACAACCTGTTTCAAAGTGGATATCTCGTTCTCATAATCAACACCATTTGATCTTAGCTTTTTACAAGCCTTCTCAAGTGATGTATTTTCCGCATGGATACTCTCAATTTTATCATTTAACTCGGATACCAATGATTCATAAAATTGAATCTGGTCCTTGTAGTTGGCAATAGCAGGCTTTCTAGCGTCGAGCTCAATGACAAAACTCTCCAACTCCTTCTCCAATTTCTCTCTTTGTATTCTTTCGACAGTGAGTTGTTTCTTCACATGGTTGTATTCGGAAAATAAAGTGGGCAATGAAATTCTTGATACGTCGGTGCTGGCATCCGAATCTAGTAATAGTTTCTTGTCGCCAAATTCTTCACTCAACGCCGATTCCATTCTTTCAAGTTTTTCTTCCAATTCAGCAATTGTTTGCTCTTGTAAGGATATGGTTGACCTAAGCTTTGATATATTTTCATCCGTTCTGCTTTTAAGTTCCTCGGAATACGCTTCTAATTGCTCGATCCGAGCTGCGCGTTGGTCACTTTGGAGTTTAGTCAATTCCAACAAATCTTGATTGGCATTGGATTCCTCTATAATGCGTGATTCAACAGACCTAAGCTTCGACTCGGTAGCAGACTTTTTGCTCGACTCCGATTTCAATGATGCCTCAAGATCGGCAATGGTTTTCTCATGTCTCTTAACTAACTGGTCGAGGTTTTCTGACTTTACTGTTAATCGATTCACTTTGGAGTCAGTTTGTAGTTGCTCTGTCTCGTACTTCTGTAACAAATCGGTGTATTTCAGTTGCGCAGACTTTAATTGTTCCTCGTACCATAATTTTTGGTCTTTCAAGTAATTGGCCTCGTTTTGGGCCTTTGTCAATTGCAAACTAATGGCAAACTTCTCGTTTTCCGACCTGTTGTACTCCATTGTTATTTGATTTAGTTTCTTGCTTTGAGCTACATTTGCCGATGATAATTCCTCGAGTTTTTCCATGTGTTTGATCTCTTGGTAACTTTGCTTCTCGTTTAATTCCTTCAACTCTGACGCTTTTTCGGAACTAAGTCTCTGGTACTCATTAACTTGTACTACCATTTGTTGGTTAGAAAGCTCCAACTCTCTGACTTTGACTTCTTGTTTTTTGCTCTTTGAAGCTAATTCTGCATTCTCGTCACGCAATGCAAGTAACGAGTTGTCAGCTTCCGAGTACCTTTGTTGAAGGGAATTGATTGTGCTTCTACTATTCGTAAATGTCTCCTCTAGTTTTGATCTAAATTGATTGTTCTGGCTTTGTAATCTTTCAAACTCGCGAGCTTTTGTTAGAAGCGCTCTTATTACATGCTGATCGTTGATTGCTTTCAAAGTGTCCTTGTCAATGGACAAGAATATACTTAAAATAGCTTTTGTATCTCCTTCAAGTCTATCCTGGTCCTGAGTATGCAGCAAAATATCATTTCTAATTGGTGAACTTGCCACCTCTTGAGTCGAATTGTAAAGTGCCCGATGATCATCATTATCGGGCGCCACATCAAACAATTTTGGGGTCACAATGGGCTCTTGATCTTTAAGCGGAGGTAAGGACTTTGACGGTGTTGTATACTGCTGTTTATCTGAGGCTGATGGTTGTAGGAACGAGGTGTGAGGATCCTCGTGAATCAGCTCGTCAGCAGTCGCATCAACCTTTGCTGCATAATCATCTTCAGCTTTGTTTAATATTAATTTGTTCTCATCAGTCTCTTGTCTTTTGAGACTTGCATCTGGTTGATCTCCGCTATTAGGTGATGATTGTTGTAATGATTCGTTTGTTGCTTGAGGTTGTCCAGAACTTTCTTGAATTTCATTGCTATTGGTGTTGTTTGCCGAAAGATCATGAGAAGCTTTAGCTTTATCCTGTTCCGAGTCTAGACCCTGTTGGCTGTCAATTGATGAATTATCACCACCCATACTCGGTTAGGGGCAATTATGTCTAATGATGCACTACTGAGGTTCAGTTTTTATTCGCAACTGTTTGTTTTTCTGCGATTTGGTGATCTTTGAGCAAAGCCGCATATTGGCTGCATTAAGTAAGTGATGCAAGGACAAAGAGTCTAAGACTGTAGAAACGTTACTACATAATCTATTACATCCGGGTCACATCAATGCTACGTGTGTTAGCGATTCACTCTAATCAAAGGAGCGCCATTCAAGATTCTCTCTACTCCAGAGTAAAACACGACTAGCACTATCTTGTCATACCAGAAAGCAATGCCATCTCTAGAAACTTGTACAGTTAATTCAACTGGCATTCACCTCCTGTTTATATCTGGTAAGTTCGATCTGAAGCTGTTTAACCTTCACAACAAGATCTAAGGTGGTTCAAATCATTTTCAGACCCGCTCAATAAATAGTAACCCATAAATACCGTTTTCCTACACACTAAACCCACCTGTTTGGGTATCGTCTCTGGTAAGCGATACATGCAAGACTCTTGTCTGTTCAGACAGTGATAGATACATCAAACAGATGTAGGTAGAGTGAAGTTGCAGTCAGTAAACCGTCTTAGGGCTAAAACCCTTGTCTATATGCATGACCATTATTGTTTACACGTGATCAGAATCTAACGCAAAACGAGAGAGAGAGGAAAAAAAAAGAGTAGAAAATATCAAAAACGCACTTACTAATTTTCCACCATCAATCACTAATCATTCACAACCAACCATGATTGAACCATCATTAAAAGCATTAGCTTCCAAATACAATTGTGAAAAATCCATCTGCCGTATCTGTTACGCTAGATTGCCACCAAGAGCCACCAACTGTCGTAAGAGAAAGTGTGGTCACTCCAACCAATTGAGACCAAAGAAGAAGTTGAAGTAATCTATTCGGATCTTCTTCCTGATATTGACAGAATATGTGGTGTTGTCATTTACAAGATATTAGATCATAGAGTAATGGGGTATGTCCTATGATATTTTGATTCATTAGTTTGGAATTATCAGAGAGGTCAGGTTCCATTTTTGTTTTAGTATTACACGATGGCAATAATCATTAAAAACAGAGATGTGGGAAGGAAATAGAAAATATTATGACAGCTTAATTTTGTTTAATAAAAGATTATACGAGGAAATTTGCAGAAGGCACAGGGGCATAGAAGATCTCAGTACACACTGGTTGAAATATTGTCCGATGTGGCTGGATTTATCTGAAACGTAGGAGAGTATTCATTAGTGAATTACCAAGCTTTAAAATGTTATTTCTCTTAGTCTGAGTTTACAACAAACTCTAACACTGCTCTTGTATTTGTTGTTATTCCGTGGCGGGTTCGGAGAAAGATTTGATTTCTTCTCGTTCTGCCCGCCGTACAAAGTGCTGTGCATCTACTACCACACTTCAACGACGAGCCATGCCACTAACATACATAAGAATTAGGGGCATTGCAACTACTGCACGCTTATTGGAGCCGTTTAAAGTTGCGGTGATAGGCACTGGTCCTGGTGGATTTTACACGGCGCATCATTTGCTAAACAAGTCAAGCCCAGATAAGCAAATTCACCTAGATTTCTTTGAAAAGCTTCCAACACCTTTTGGATTAAGTAGATATGGCGTGGCTCCAGATCACCCTGAAGTGAAAAACTGTGAAGAGTTCATGACCAATATAATGGCCGACTTTAGATCATCAAATAGACATAAGGTCAGATTTATTGGTAACGTTGAGGTAGGCAAGGACATCAAGTTGAAGGAATTAGAAAAGAATTACAACGCAATTGTGCTAGCCTATGGATGCACTTCAGCCGATAATAAGCTACATGTTCCAGGAGCTGATCTACCTGGGGTGATTTCGGCCAGACAGTTTGTTAATTGGTACAATGGCCACCCTGATTGCTACAACTCCCAAAATCCTTATAAGCCACCACCATTGGATAAGATCAAGGACGTGACCATTATTGGAAATGGAAACGTAGCATTGGATGTTGCCCGTATATTGTTGGCTGATCCAATACAACATTGGCATGCAACCGATATTTCTGTCGAAGCAGAAGCCTTGTTGGAGAAAAGTGCGGTTAAAAATGTAAACATCGTTGCCAGACGAGGTATATTGGAATCGGCCTTTTCAAACAAGGAAATCAGAGAGTTATTTGAGTTGAAAGATTCCAAATTCACACCTTTGGAAGAAGGATTGTTGGAAAGCCTTGCCACAAGGAAATTAGGCAGGGTGGAAAAACGTAGGGTATCGCTAATTGAGAAATACAACAAACCCATTGGTCCTGGGGACCAGGATAAGCGTAAGTGGACATTGCGGTACTTGCTTTCGCCTGTGGAGTTTGAATCGGGAACTGATGATCTCCTTAAATCGGCAAAGTTTGTCAAGAATCAGCCTGTCGATGACCCTCTTCTTCCAGGAAGGGTTCGAGCAACCGATGAATTTGTCGAGATAAAAAATGAGCTTATTATATTATCTATTGGCTACCAAGGGACCTCGATTGAAGGTTTCGAAGATGTTGGTATTTGGTTTGAAGATAACAAATTGCATAACAGAGGTGGAAGAGTATTATCCCGTGAATCAAAGGGCGAAAACAATGAAAATTTAGCATACAAGAAAGGATGGTACACATCTGGCTGGATAAAAAATGGTCCCAAGGGAGTCATTGCTGTAACCATGATGGATTCATTCGACACCGCTAATAACGTTTTGGAAGACTTGACAAACGGAAATTACCTTCAAATCGATGAGGGTAAAGACATCACCCAATCTGACTCTTTCAAGTCGCTCCACGATGTAGTTTATTGGGACAATTGGGAGAATTTGGACAGATACGAGTTAAAAGAAGGTAAGGAGTTGGACAAGAGCCGTTTCAAGGTGTGCAACAAGCAGGACATGATAGAAATTTGTAAATAGAATAGATATGTATATTGCCTAGTGCTGGCAACTTGTAATTTTTCGAAAGTAATGGGTATGCTCAAATTTGCCCAACTTGTTCGGCCAAAACGTAGATGGTTTGATGTTGAGATTCTTCAAGCCCCTTGTTTCAAGAGTAACGTCTCGCTTGCCAAAAAAGCCACTATGGTCCAAGCCCCTTCTGTCCACATCTGATTCTTCATGTGGCAAATTTCGTTTATTTATAAAGTATTCGTAGCCAGCATGCGCTAGCGTAGGAGGCAAGGACGGTATAATATCATGTCTGTGAACAACTCTTATAAATCCTCGAGAAAAGTCATGACTGGTTTCAATTTCCTTTGCAACCTCTTCAGAGTCAAAAATTGTGTCAATGAAATCAGCAAATTCTTGATTACCCACTCTGGGTCCGCCAAATGTGACAACCAATGGGTCGTATCCCAACAACATAAATTCAATTCCACTCATCACAGTGAACGCGGCACCTAGAGAATGCCCAGCAATCAAAAATTGGTAATTGGGGTATTCCTCCTTCATCTTGATTCCAGCGCTGATAATTGCGCCTGAATTATCCTTGAGGAAATTATAAAACCCACGGTGCACTTTACAATCTTTGCATTCCATTTGGATATATGGCTCGCCATCCTTGAAATCCTTGTCATAGACAATTGGCGTGTACTTTATTGGAAAAAAGTTCAAATCGGTAACCCAATCACGCCGTGATGCCGATCCTCTAAACACCAATATAATAGTCTTTCGTCGATGGTCCAAAGCGTAAAATCCCGTCCCAACCTCATTCAATCTATTAAAATCAAAAATTCGCACAATCTCGACATCCTGTAGAATCGAGTTCTTGCATGCGTTCAATGGACAATGTGTATCCGGATCCCCCAAGACACCTGTAGAAAGCCCCTTTGTCACGCAGTACGCCACTGAGGCCAAATTTGCAAACTGCACTAGTTTAACGTAATCCTTGGAGGTGGACGATTGTTCAAATGAATGACATAGCGATAGAAACAACATCATCAAGAAGAGCTTCATGGTATAAAAGATAATGGCATGCTTTGTAAAAGAAGAAACAACTTCAAAAAAATCAAAAAAAAAATCAACAAGCAGGTTCCTGATGGATATAGGGGATAAATATGTTATGCACATCTCAGCTCCTGATGCAATTTGTTGCACTTTACAGTACAGTAGTACAAACCACAAAGGGGGCATCTCGAGTAATTCGACTTGGAGCCACAAATACAGCAAAGCTTTGCCCGTGGTCTTGATCTTTCCACAGTTTTGTTTCCATCAATGATGTCAATAAATTGGAAATTTGATGAGAGAATCGTATTAATTGAAATCAAGTTTCTCTCTTCTTCATAGTACAGATTCAAATTTCTTCGAGCTGCCAATATCCTCTTTGTAGATGGAGTATTGCCCTGTCTCGATTTTTGTGAACCACTTCGGTTATCCCTGTTGGAGTGGATACTTGTGTAGGCGAAATTTTTAGGCAACTCGAACCCCTTGGTAGAAGATTCCTGATTCAACTCCACCAATCTCTTTTGTACCAACTTTTCCAACTGAATTTGCTGAACTGACTTTGAGGGGCCACTAGTTTTGCTCTCATTATTGCCTTGTGTTTGTGCATTGAATAATTGATTAAGGTTATAATTGACTTTCGTTCTCCCCTTTTTATTAGGCGGTCCTTCGCCACCCTCGTTTTGCGATTGCCTGCTCCCTCCCATCAGCCTAGCTGTGAGGTTTATAGATGAACTAAAATATATCGTTGAGGCATTTGCGCCACTTGTTTTGGGGACCTCTTCAACCAACATATTGCAACGATGGTTTAGCAAAAGAATAATTGTTTTTCCATTTTCGTAAACTTTGAGAAGCTTTAGAAAAGTTTATACATGTGAAGAAATTAGCACAACCCTATATTTTTTATTCCATTATATATATATATATATATATATATATATATACCTATTTACAGATTTACCCTCTATTCCATTATTCGATTGCCTATATTATCCCCTCCAGCTTCACTTCTCCAGCTCTTTTAAGCTTTCCTGTATCTCTTCGTGGCTAAAAGGCTGATCCTCTCTAGCCTTATCTAGCATCGGCTTTATCCCTTGCTTGGCCAAGTTGGCATTGATACAGGTAATGTAAGTGTCCCAGAACTCGGTACACTCGTTTTCAATCGATTTGCCTTTCAAGAATTTCTCAGTGTACCACTTGTTGAAACAGTCGTCATAAGCATTTTTGGCTGGCGTGCACTCTGGAGCAAAAGATACCGACATGATATTTCCCATAACCGAGCGTAGTGGTGAGCCTGAAAAAGATGTTGCTATGTGAAGAGCACTGGGGAGCAAGGAAGTAAACTTCGTTTGCAGATTTGTCGGTGATGATATTGGTGGAGAAGTGGTAGCTCAAAGAAGGATAGGTCGTGTACAACGCGACAAAATGTTGCGAATTTTTATCGCGAATGTGTCCGAAAATGAAAACAAACTGACAAAAATAAGACAGAGTTTGAACTAAACACCATGAAGAGGCTATCAATTGCACCTCCGACATCGAGGAGGAAGTCGGGCGCTGCATCACTGGAAGACTACAATGCAAGGAAAGTTTTGGAGCAGTTGGACCAGGACACCACTTTGGTTCTTCAAGATATAGACAAGAATATCTCACGAGCAAACGCGATTATAAATGACAAGTTGAAGCCGGTTATCCAAGATTATGGAGTCGAGAGCTGGAAGGTGTGGCATAATTCTGGATTTTGGAAGAAATTCTTTGAGCAATCAGCCAATGTTGTGTTGAACAGTTTTGAAACACCAATAAATGAAATGCAATCAAGCTCCAACTTTTTAAGTGAGGTGGAAGAAGAGGGAATCAATGAACAGCAACCAAAGACGTTTACGTCATTGGATATGAAGCGACCCGATTTGAAGCATGTTGTAGACGAAGATACGGCTACCTGGTCAACAGAGCAGCACAATCCTGATAGACAATTGTCAGCCTCCACACCACAAAGAGGTCAAACACAACAACAGAGATCGAGATTTGCGGCAGCACCAAAGATGGCAAAATTACCCGATAGCATCAATTTAGAACCACCCACGTCTCATGATACGAGGTTGTCACCAACGAGGCGTCATCTGAAAGCTTCGCCAACCAGAGTTCAAATAATACGTCAGTCTCTTGATGCCTTTCATAGGATCTCGATATCTCCTCGCAAGCAGAGAACTCCAATTGCAAGAAGAAGCTCAGCAATTGAAAACATTCTCAACTCTTCACCGACATTGCCTGAACCCCCGGTGTTGCAGTCTGAAATTGGAAGCGAAGCTTCAAGAATTCATAGTCAACATACACCAGGGCCGAGTTCTGATCATGAGGGCCATTTACAAAGATTCCCAAACACTCCCAAGTATTCTGCATCGCGGTATAGTAACTCATTGACCAATACGCCACTAGCAGTCCTTGAAGTTGATGAGGGTGACAACGATTTGCAACCACCGAAATTAGAGAGTGAAACAAGTCAAAAAAGCCCCGCTGGAGTTGTAGACAGTGAATCAAGTGAAGAGGTGTTACCCGAATTGAACACCATCGAATTAAAGAGCGGAAGGAAAAGGTCGCAAACGCCGCCTGTGGGGAGTTCAAGCAAAAGAAGAGTTACGCCAAAAAGATCAAGTGATCGTCGCGAAACACTTGAAGAGGAAAACGTCTTTTTAGATAAATCACGGAGACGTACACGCGAGTCAGATGTCAACCCTACTTATAACGAAGACAAGAGCGACCATTCACGATCGATCTCTCAAATTTATGCTGAGGGTATCTCGAAGTTGAAAGATGACGATGATGGTTCTAATGCTGGTGATCATGCAGATGTCAAAGAAGTGTTACATGAAGTCACTGCTGATATCACCCAAGGTGGAACAAGAGAAGTTACGGAAACCTTGACTGGTGATTTGGGTCCTTTTCAAAAGCGTTGGAGGAATCTTTCTAAAGAAAAATATTGATAAAGGAAGACAAAAGTTGATTGTCTTAGTTTTAGGTAGATTTAGTTCTGTTAATGTATTATAATAGCTGTTGATAAGTTTACAGTGTAATATCTGAAAAGCAGACATGCGTTCATTGCGATGAGTGTTGCCTTATCTTGTCATCTTTGGGCTACAAATGTGGAAGCCTTTCGGTTTTATCTAATTACCTCAATAGTGCAATTTGAAAACATTTTCTTATCGGTTGCCACGTGCAGCAGCCTCTTATGCCAAGCACAGTAAAAATGTGCATCGCTTCCTTGAAAGATTCCTATTCGAGCTGAAACGATAACGTAACTCAGTCAATACTAAATCATGAATTAGAGGGCCTTTCTGTGCTTATTTGTGTATGATGACAAATTGTTGTAATTTGATTGGCCCGTTCATTGCTCACAAAAAAGAAAAAAAAAAGAATTTGTAAGTCACATCATGCAATCTAAAATCGTTGCAAAAATGACTGCAAAAAAACTTTAAAAAGAAACCAAAATTTTAATATATAAATAGCCCATGATTCCCTCTTTCTTTTCACTCCTCCTCTTTATTACTTCAAACAAACAAACAAACAAACAAAACATCACTTCTTATAATGTCTGCCTGTACTGCTTCTCATTGTGTCTGCGCTCAAAAAGCAACTTGCTCTTGTGGAGCCCATCCTGCAAACCATTGTGTTTGTGAAAAATCTGCTCAAGAGAATATAACACCAGCAGCATCAGATGCGTGCCCTTGTGGTAAGCGTGAGAAGGACTCTTGTACCTGTGGTGCTGATGCTCATTGCCATGGAGAAAGAGAAGGTGAAATTGATTTCACCAACTTGAAATAGAGATAAAGTTTGTCGCAATTTTGGTTGCTATTAGGGTAGCTTTGTTTTTTGGGTATTTATTGCTATAAAAGGTTTGGGTAATAATATATACTAGTTTAATAAAAGTTAATTATGAAGGTTAAAATATTTTATTGTAGGTTTTTCGCAGCAATTTGGTGGGAATTTATTGCAAAATTAAAAAAGAAACCCATTTGAGAAAAACAAATTCTGGAAGCTTGAGGGTTACAAAACGAAAGATAAACTTTTATTTATGCGTGCACTGCTTTTTAGTAGACACCGGGGTGATCATTTAACCTTGTTCTCCGACGTCTTTCATTACGCTAAAAAGTATCTGATTGTAGACTAAATTACAAACAAGGTCACAAAGTTGGTAGACTATGTTTCCATACACCTGCACTTGATTTTTCATAACTCGATCTCATCCAAGTAGGCTTTGGTGTTGTAAAGCTTTTGAATTTGGAAACAGAGAGACATTTAATAGGGAAAAAGGACAAAACATGATTAAAAAATTGCTGACTTAAAAAACCAACATCACTTATTGAACAAAATCGTCCCAGATAGTTTAGTGGCTAGAATTACCGTTTGTCGCATGGTAGACCAGGGTTCAATTCCCTGTCTGGGAGCATATTTTCTTTTTTACTTTTTATTTTTTTGCTTTTGATATTTCTCTATTTTGTGTATCATGAGATATAGAGATGGTTGGAATGGGATGATGCTACTCTAATTTGGACTGGATGTGCTTTGATTTGGGAGGGATCAAATTATGTACCTGGAATAATTAAATTTTCCAGATTCTGGTAGCCTTATCTTTCTTGAGAACAAAGCTTAATTCAAATTGAGGTTTGTGATGCCCCTTAAATTAGACACAAGTGCCTTGCCGTTTAACTGTTGTATATCTAAACCTATTACTCCTGAGGCTCCTACCATGAGTCTGTTTCTTCAATGGTGATCTAAATAACAACAACATTAACACAACCTTTGAATCTGAATTCGGTGTTCACCAAGTCGCTAATCCCAGAAGGTTAAGAAACTTAACTCCGTCGTAATCACTTAAAGTGAATTCATCAAATCCAATCACAAAATGGGCATTAATTATTTTAATCTTACTAATGATGAGTACATAGGCTTTGCTGGTGTCGTGTGAGGTGCAACAAAAGTCGTGTGGAGAGTGGCGAAGCGGCATTTGCTACCCTTTTTTTGGTTAGCAATTATAACAATGCATTAATAGAAGTAGTGTAATAAGAGTCAAATATGCAAGGCCAAACAATAACATCACCATTTTCACATTGAGAACTAGATTACCTGATAGAGGATGAAGATGCGAATACTTTTGATACATAGTAGTGTAAACGTGCTCAGAAAACCAAAGCCGACTGAGGATTAACAACCTATGACTTCATTTAGTTTAGGGTCTGTCTATTCTTAATCTTTCATGCAGAAGTGTTAAATATTGCCAACCGCTTACTTTTTAGAGAAAAGTGAAAAGAATTTTACATCAGGAAAAAAAGAAAATTTAAAATATATCAAAATCTAACTTAAGATAACCTTGGCATAATGGGTCTTGATAGATTCGTTTCGATCTCCTGATCTTAATTTTGCATAATCTGAGTGAAAAGGCTCCCTAATTCACTCTTGTGTATATCATAATTGACATCTCGTGACCTTCTCGATGTAAAAACAAAAAAAAAAGAAAAAAAAAAGTATTAATGTTACACACGGAGTTGGACTGGAATCCGAAAATCACAATCGCGCGATGTATGGTAGGCTAAGAAAAAGAGTAAACAACAACAATAAAACACAAAGTAGACAGAGAGAGAGGTTGAAGCTATAGTAGAGTCTAATGGGTAATCAATATAGTTAGGAGTGGTGGCAGAGTACAAGTATTTCTATACGTGTACATAAATACATAGGGATGTTTACTACTATATAAAAAAATAAGAAAGAAATAAACCACCATCGTTTAGCAGAAGTAAAGTAGTCGAACTAACGTAAAAATGTAGAAATCAATTACGTCATAGACGAAAAGTTTTCAAATGATTTAGTTGCAAAAAGAGCACTTAAAGAGACAGGTAGTGGGATACTACATTAATAATTAAAGCTACTTCATAAGCTATAAAAGCAAGACTAAGCAACACTTCTCACCTCTCCACTCCTATTATAGGTTTTCTCAGCAGCTAAATCATGAATCATAAATCTGTTTCTTTTATTTCTTTTATTTTCTTTTTTAGTTTGAGCTATATCAGCTTTGTGTAACCCCGGATTTTCGTTTTTTTCTTTTCTTTTTTTGGCATATTGTTCCATGGATGCACTTTTGGCGCTATCGAAAGTTCCAACAATACAAGAAGCAGTTCATGGATCTTTTCACCTTTATTGTTATGAGTTCACGAATGACCAAAACAACAACTCAGAGAGAGAGCATACTGTATTGTACTCTTCAAATTCATCAACTTCTGTCTTATTAATCGAGAGCAGTAAACCAACAGTAGCAGAACATCACGCCAAAAAGCTGGCAACATTGTAGACAGCTTAATGAAAGCAAATCTTAAACTGTCAATGGGTATATATCTACTATTCCTATTACGTAAAGGGAGAGATCCACTATAAACAAAGCTATTACGTAGTATGTAAAAAAATTTTCATCAAATCTTTTTCTTTTTTTTTTTTATTTTTTTCTAATAAAGAAATGTACACAAACGAGGAAAAACTTCAAAATATATCAAAATCCAAACCAAATAAATTAAACAGCTTTTTCCCAAATATTTGAGCTTTTGTAGAATACAATTTTCTTGTTTAGTCCACTCTTTTATTTTTAAACTACACACCACCTACAGAAACACTCTTTCCCCTCCCTTCCTTTTCCTTACACATTCAATACAATACGTCAAAACAACACACATGATAAACTTTACTCAACATGTGGTTTAAAAGAGATGAAAAACAGAATGTCGTTGACAACAACAGCGACTCAAACTCCCTTAACGAAAAGGTTATCAACAAAAGATCAAATGAAGAGCAAGAATTATTTACTGATTCAAGTAGTGTCAACACTGACAAAGCTTCTAGTGTAGATGGTCCCGGTTCAACCAAGAGGACATTGTACAACAGGCATTTGCAACTAATAGCCATTGGTGGCTCTATAGGTACTGGTTTATTTGTTACCATTGGTACTACGGGTTTAGTTAATGGTGGACCACTAGGTCTACTCCTATCATATAGCATATCGACATTGTTGGTTCTTTTGCTAACTACTGCCACGGGAGAAATGGTGCTGTACATGCCAGTAGATTCGCCATTTTTGAATATGGCAGGTCGTGTAATTGATCCTGCTTTTGAAGCGGCCGCTTCGGTCAATTTTTGGGCAATGCAGAGTCTTTATATCCCCACTGAAATTACTGCTGTCAATAATATAATCCATTTTTGGCGTGATGATTACTCGCCAGCAATCACTTTTGTTATTCAAATTGTCATATACGCCATTATCAATATGTATGCAGTTCGTGTGTTTGGTGAATGCGAGTTTTGGTTTTCGTTGGCTAAATTGACGCTTTGTATTGGGTTATTGTTTTTCACATTGATTACCATGTGTGGTGGGAACCCTCAACATGACGCTTTTGGTTTCAGAAATTGGCATGTTGCGGGTGGTCCCATTGGAATGAAGTATGCAACGGGGAGTTTGGGCCGATTTCAAGGATTTTTGGCTTCGCTTAGATTATCAAGTTCCTTCACTTGTGTTGGTAGTGAATACGTAAGTATGACAGCTGGTGAATGTGTTAATCCTAGAGCTAACATGGCCATTGCTTTTAGGACTGTGTTGTACCGTTTGGTGGCATTTTACCTTGGTGGTGCTTTATCAGTTTCCATTTTGATTGCCTACAATGATCCCAAGTACGTTTCGTTGACATCTGATAGTTCAAATGCTGCTTCTTCGCCATATGTTGTCGCTATGCAAAACATGGGAATTCTGGTGCTACCGCACATTGTCAATGCAGTTGTGCTAACTGCGGCATTTTCAGCTGGTTGTTCATATACTTATACATCCTCAAGATGTTTGTACAACTTAGCCAAAAAGGGATTTGTTCCTAAATTCTTCAAAATCTGTACCAAGAAAGGTATCCCCATCTATTGCGTCATTTTATCATGCTGTTTCGCCTTATTGTCGTTGTTACAATTGGGAAGTTCCGGAACCAAAGCTTTGAACTTCATGTTCAATTTGGTTACTGGTGCACAAATTCTCAACTACGGATTCATGGGCTTCACTTATATTGGATTTTACCATGCAGTAAAAGCACAAGGAATTGATCGGACGAAATTCACCTATAGATCTTGGTTCCAGCCATATTCCATCTATTTCACCACATTCATATACTGGTGTATTATTGGATGTTTGGGATACCAAGTGTTTTTGCCAGGTAGGTGGTCAGTTGACGATTTCTTGTTTAGTTATGTCATGATTTTTGTCTCGTTAGCAGTTTTCATTGTCTGGAAGTTGGTAAAGAAGACCAAGTTTATTAAACCCATTGATGCTGATTTGACAACCGGTCTTGATGAAATCGAGGCTCATGAGGCCGAATTCAATGCACAATTTGAGGAGAGCAGTGAAGCTGAAAATAAGAGCAGATGGAAGAGTTACATGAATTGGATATTCTAAGACTCTGCTTATAAATCATTATAGAAATAGACTTTTATATTTTAGATAGAGAATTATTATAGAATTTGCAAAGTATAAAAGAGAACAAGTGATTGTTGCAAATTGAAAACTTGCGACACGAAATCAAAACTTTTAGTAGTAAGACTTGTCTATTTTTCTCTTAACTATAAACTTTCTTACAACCATTCCCAAGTGATATCAATTCTACCTAAACTCTGGTCAGCCAATTGAGAAAATGCCGATGGAGAAAAATCGAGATCGTTATAAGAGCAACCTTCACAACGGTCAACGACAGTGACATCAACTGAGTTTCCTTCATAATAGGCTCTGATCTTTTTACCGCACAATGGGTTGTTGTTTGGATTATTGCCAACATTGTGAGCATCGTACATCTCATGTGAGATGGCAATGATATAGTCGGTATCCTGGCTAGTTTTACCACATGCACCTAAGCCGGTGCTGTAGTAGGTTCCTTCTCCCGATTGGATAGCTCCCGATGGTTCTGATGATGATGATGATGCTGACAGTGTTTGTGAGGAGGTAGAGGATGGCGAAGTTCCTTGTCCTAGTTGGGCTGAGGATGATGGAATGGTCTGGCTGGTCAAAGTTGTTTGTTGTTTTGCTGGCGAAGTTGAAGTTGCAGCAGCGGCAGGTGACTGGTCGTCATTGGCAGATGAAAATTGTTGTTGTTGCTGTTGTTGTTGGGTAGCAGCAGTAACATCAGCAGTCTCTGTGGTGGCTATAGTTGGGGTATGAGTAACACCACTTTGGTCAACAACTACAGTGGTATATGCAGTTATAAAAACGGTGTGTACTTCTGGCGCTGGAGCTGCACTGCTAAGGGAAAGCAAAGCAGCAAATAAAACTGTTGAGAACTTCATAATAAATGGATATGGCTTTTGGACTTTAAAGAATGAACGTAAAATAGTGAGTGAAAGGAGTGTGTGGGATTGTAAGTGCTAAGGATCGTATAGGGTGAGATACTATTAAATGAGTGTCAGTGGTTTGGATTATATCAAAAGCATTTGGGGGCAAAAAACCCATCTTTCAAGAACCTAGCTCCTCTTTATATACAATTTCATAATGTATAAGGGGGAGGAGAGGAAAAAAGGTCTTGTCATTGTTCCATATATTTTTTTTGTTAATTTCGTTTCAGAATAATGGTGCAATAATGGGAAAATCAGGTACGTCTATTTGCAAAAAAAGAAAAACAAAAACAAAAACAACACAATAAAGCGTTGCAGAATAATAATAATAATAATAATAATAATAATAATACTCCTTTTGGTTATAGCATTGGTAAAAAACCACCACATTCACGTCTGTAAAAGAAATTGCAATTACAGCTCCCCTGACATGGTCTTTGTAGTGAATATAGCGCTCCTGTTTTATTTCGTATATTCCACAATTCCACGCGTCAAGCAAAGGGAAAAGGAAATAGACTGCAAAACTATACTGTTATTAAATGACGTTAGTTCTGTCAAAAAAACTAATTGAGATGTTGTTTATTATAGTTTTTACCACCACCCCACCCCTTATTATTTAGTACTTGATTATAATAATATAATGTTATGGTGCTTAATTATTATTTTCTTTGAATAACAATATTCTTTTTCGGTTGTTGCAACCAGCAGCACACGTCTTTAATATATTGCTTTTGTGTTACATTTCACTGTTTTCTCTGTGAAAATCCCAAACTGGGACCACTTTGGGATAGAATAATCTCATATCAGGCCATACAACCAGCCTCTTCCGAGAAGCTGTGAAGGTGAGCGACGTCATTGCATATAAGTCAAAAGGATGTATTTACGTCATTGGTGATGAACTTTAGACTAGTTTTCAATACAATAAGGTTCTCACTCAAAGAGAGGTTGCTATTACTGTGCCATAACTACATCAACTAGTAACGAGTAGCGTGTCATATTCCAGCTAGCATCTTTGCAGGTATGGAAAATCCCTTTCTCTTGGAGGTTAAGTGTACACCGACTCTTTCATTTCTTTTTATTTTAAAACACAACGCGCCAAACTTTTTTCCCTTTTTGGTGAATTCTATTTTGGCTCGTGTTTTGTCCGCACTTGACAACCAAACTGAAAAAGAAGAAAAAAAATAAAAAGATGAAACATACAAGGGTTCTAGACTATCTCCGAGACTACTGTATAAATGTATATGCATTTTAATCTATACATCTATCGGCAAACACTGTCTCTAATTGACTAAATAGCCATTTACTTTGGAACGAAGACAATCCAATTGTCTTGGCGCGTAATCTCATATTACGATCATCAGTAATCAATATACAATACTTGAATAACTTGGCCATACGCGAATTCAAGATCGGTGCGTCCTTCTTGCAGTATGACGAGTTGTGATGGTGTCTGTTTCCATAGGGGAGATTTTGTCCATGGTCCTCTTGTGAATAATGGTCATAGTGTCCCTGCCCCTGTGGTTGAGGATTGAGTGGGCTTCCATAGTAATGATGCAAGTCTTCATTGTTTGATATCGACGGAGATGACTTTGTAAATGGCGACAACTTCATATTGAGGCCCTTCATCAATCGTTTACCCATTTCATCATGTTCATTTACTGCATGTAGAATCGTTTCGTCAACATTTGATCTCCAATTGGAATTATTCTCAAATTCAATTGTTTCATTAATATCAGAAGCAACTGTACCATCAAATCTTAAAGGCACAATTTCTCGTGTAAGATAGAGCTCACGAATAATAATCACTGACCTTGTAGCAGCATCAGCTATAGTAGCTTCAGCTGATTTTCTCAATGCCCGTAGTTCTTGAAAAACAATCAATGGAATCGTAATTTTTAAAACGCCATTCCGCACGCATTTGAAAATTCGTCCACAATGCTTAAGCCATATGTTGGTGTCCAATGTGACGTAGGTGATGTTGCTGTCAATTTTGTCACCAAAGTTTCCTTCAGTGTCATTATTTATATTTCCTAAAGCCAAGGGGTCAGTAGGTGTGCCAATGAATGCATCGTTGTAAAACATGTCTCCACCAACACCAGCAGCAGCAGCAGCAGCAGCCGCGGTAACAGAACCAGTAGCACCACCGCCACCACCACTTGGATGGCTAAAGCTGTGGTTAGGGTTGAGGCCCGAATAGTGCTTTTCCAAATCATTCTCATCGCCATATCCAATATCTTCATCATCATCTATAATGTCATCCTCGTTGTCCTCATCTCCATCATCCACATCTTCATCGTCATCGTCATCGTCATCATCATCATCCTCAATGATATCATCCTCCAACTCTAAATTCTCGTCTTCGTAAAGATGACTATCTAACCCACCAAACCACAACTCATCTTTCTGCAAAGGCGTGAGATTCTGATGCGTTTCATTGGTTAAATTCTCAGGCGATATTGGCTGACAAAAGTTGTTGTTGGTAAATCTATCATCATCGATAAATTGCTCGGCAAAAGGATCAGTCATAGGCTTGTTGTAAACGTTTTCTTCAAATTTAAAGTCCGTGTTTGTTCTAACCAATCCAAAGTCGTACTCGTCAGCTAATGTTCTTGCTAATAAAATTATACGAACAATTCGTTCATCATTATCATTTTCCATTTGGTTTCTTGATTTCTGATCAAAAGAGTCACTTGGCATGTTCAAAACAGGGAAAGTACCGCTAACGGGCAAATCAAATAAGTTGCTATTCTTGATCCCCGCTTCTTCAACATCTATGTAATCGCCCTTTTCAGAAATAAAATCAAACCACAAAGTGCCCCAACATTTCCAAACTTCAGGAAGAAATTCGTTCTCACAGAACCAAGCAATATAGGGCACCTGCAAATACTGAGTGTATAATGCACACAATTTGGGACTGTTTTTAACAAAGGTCAATAACGAATTCAAATAATTGACAAATGATTCCCATGGAAACAAGTTTTTAAACAACCAGTTGAACATGGGCTGCGACACGGGGTACTTCTTGACTCCTTCACCAACACAGATTAGGAAATACAACCACACAATGACGTGTCCAGTTGATGCTTGTTTTGGTCCCACCAAGTAATGATTCAATATCCGCATTGATAGTTCCAACACTGATTTGTTGATAAACTCCAAGCTGTAAAACCAATCATAGTTGTGCAAATGTGCAGCAACCACCGATTGTCCATCAATTCCGCCTCCGCTGAGTCCAGAAGCGGGACCGCCAGCGACACTCCCAGAGACACCGCCACTAGCACTACTATTACCCGCATTGGAAGGAATAACTTCTTCCGACTGAGAGATACTTCTTGATTTCCTCTTTCTATCCTTCTTGTCTTTTCTCTCTTTTAATGCCTCTGGTAGTTCAAAAAGTTTGGCAAATGGATTTTTGGCATCGCCAAATCCAATCAAATGATTAATATTTGAAATGGCAAACAACGAACCCTTATTGAACCAGAAATTCATCTTTTCCAAAGTATTTGTAGCTGATGGCGCCTGGAGTGGCTGTGGTGGTATTTGAGTAGGTATTTGCAGTGGGTGCTGAGGCGGTAATTTCTGATAATACAGGTGACCTCCTTGCGGATCATTCATTGTCATTCCACCAGAGCTGTAAATCTCTCTAGTGAAAAAATTGTAGCCATTTGAGTCTGAACCAAAAGTTAATCCATACCTCGTTACCAAATCTATACCATATTGTAATTGTGAGTCGTGAATATTTTCCACTGAGGTACCTTCACTATTGCGTCCATTATAAATGCTGAGTAACACCTTGTGAATCTTGATAAAATCAATAATAGGAAGCTCCAATAATGATAGAATGTTTCTTTGGGTACAAATGTTTTCAACAACTAATCTAAGATAGTGTTGAGTGGGCACAAACGGATCTCGACAAGTGACCGACTTGCTGATATTAACCAAGGCATCCAAATTATCTTGTTGAACGGTGCACATGTGGTAATGGATTTTTCCATGACCATAAAGTGTCTTCATTGAAACAGAATACCAATACTCTGCACTAATTTTCCAATCAATGAATTTGGATGAATACAATGCTATTGCCATCCTCGATAAATCTCCCAATTTTTCAGCCCACCAACCTTCCATCTCCAATATAGGATCGGTCAAATTTGATATTATGTTAAAGCAGTGGGAAATGAAACAGGCACAAATCTCATGGTCCTGAAAAATACCCATAATGTTTTTCAAAACTTCTAAAAACCCAACGATTCCATAAACCCACATTCTTCTGGGGATTTTGTATAATTCAACAATATTTTTACCAGTTTTAAATTGTGTTTGATTGGATGATGGCTTTAGTGACGTGACCAAAAAATCATAGTAGTTGTCTAACAATGTCATATTATGGTGATAAACCGTCCAAAGGTCATTCAGTAGCTCGGACGTCCTTGTTGGATTAAAATTCATTGACGAATTCGAGTTTAATGAGCTGGATAAATTTTGATTCACGAGTTGATTTCCATACACCATGCTTGGATTAGGGTTGGCTGTGAGTTGGTTGATTTTGATGGTGATCTCTATGCAGTTCTTTTGTACAACTTCCTCATAGTTGACTATGTTTTTATAAGTTTCTTTCAACTTTGTTGCCAATTGCTGTTCCTCATCTGACATGGCTCTTTGTTGTGATTGCTGTGATTGTGATTGCTGTGACTGCTGCACTTGTGGCTGCTGTTGCTGTTGTTGCAGTTGTTGGCGCCGGGGTGATTGTTGTGCCAGCTGTTGTTTCTGTTGCTGTTGCTCAGAATAGCTCTGTTGCTGTGACTTGACTGGTTGATTATGTACTAAAGGTTGTGTCAGTTGCAGCTTTAATGAATGTGGACGTGGATTTGATCCCACATTTGCTTCAGCATCATGAGCAACCAGATCCAAAATGGGGTTGCTATCAGACAGATCAGAATGGTTTTGTTGTGGAAATTGCATATTCTGGTGATTCACTTTCGGACTGGATGGAATTTCATAAGATGATGGGGTTGGTGTTCTCATATGATTAAAAGCAGCCTTGCGCATATTTGTTCGAACATTACTACTGTTTGAGTTGTAGCGCAAGTGCTGTGGCGTTCCTGGTGAGTTTAATGCTGATGATGGTTGAGTAGTATTAAGGTTTATATGCCCGTGAATGTTGTTGCCATTAGACAGACTTAATGAGTGCTCTTGTAAGCCTTGCATAACTTGTGGTATTTGAGGTAGATGCTGACTTCGTTTGTTGGATTCATGAGCCATTTGGTGATGACAGGAAATGTAAAGGAACTAGTGTTATGAATGGGTGGATGCTATGGGGATATATATGTATGTAAGGAACGAGATGGATATGCTGATGTGATGGGAGTTTTTGATATTTTAATGGGGGATATGAATTTGAAATTGTCACAGGGTATATATATATATATTGCGTTATTGTTTTTGTTGTCGACTCTTTATAAAGTAGAAAAAAAAAGAAAAAAAGTGTGCTGCGGGTGATGTAAATGTGTGTGATTTCAATTAAATGACTTTTATGTCGTTTTTTGCTCTTTTTTTTTCACAAGGAAATACTTTAATAAAACTGTGATGGACTGATTGTAATCGATTGATTGATATGGTTGTCTACCTAATGCAGTCTTTTCATAAGTCGACCAAGTTGTTGCTACTACCGCCTTGGTTCCTGATAAGATTAAGCTTGGTTTTGAAAAAAAAAATGCCGTTTGATCTGAATTTTGTAGAAAGAGAGAGAGAGAGAGAGAGAAAGATTTGTCAGAAAATTTCATTTCAAACTAATCAGAACGTAGTATAACGTAGCACAACGTAGCACAGCATAGCATAGCACTACGCAGATCAAAATACAGATCAATAGAGATAAAAAGAAGAGAATGAATTTATCTCCAATTGAAAGGGATACTTAATATGTCGCGGGTGGATCAAACAGATAGATCAAAATGTAGTACACTTTTTAACAGTATGAGAGAGAAGACCGGAGGGTAGCTCTAAACCTAAGCCACATTCTCTTATTAAGCTTCTGCAAATGAATGAAACAGTCAACGAATTTGAATATACCAGTGTGGGGGATAAAACATCACGAGTTTGAGAAAAGGAAGCTCGAACCTCAGTTTTATAATCGGAATAAACTATTCCTTCACTTTCGAGTCATTTGCCGCACCCAAAAATTCTTCTACATAATTAGAATACCGATTCCAATCAATGCAGACTCACAATGCCTTTAGTGTATTACGCACTGGGAAAGCTAAATCATGACTCAACATCAACACCAAGAAACAATTGACGAAATAAACCAGGTGTTAACAAAGTCATGATAAGATATTACTGACTGTGCCTCCTCTTCCCTCCCCACTTCACCTTGCTCTTACCTCTAAATTGGCATCAACTTGCTCCTATGCAATACAACATATGCAACAACAAGGAGAAAGTTTGTCAACTATGACAAAATCTTCTATTCTTTTGCCCTGAATTGAGTCATTGTCACAAAACCATAATCTGCGACACACAGATCTCTGATTTTGCGTCAAAGTTAAAAGTCCCCTTTCTTATTGCTTCTTTAAATTCTTCATGCTTTTCTTTTATTAACGCTTATAGTTGAATACACACAACACATATTTGTCTATCTAGTACATCACCAGTAACACAAGCAAAAATAGTATATTCACGTAACGAAGCCAATACTGGTATTTGAAACTGACCCTGCCTGAAGCAACATTCCAGAAAAGGAAAAAAAAAGAGAAGGGGAAATAAAACGACTCAAAAATTGAACTTTAAGTGATCTCCAATAATATGGCAAGACTTTCAGGATTACAAAAAGAGGTCCTACATCTTTATCGCCAATGCCAACGATGTATCTACACCAAACCTAAAGAGACTCAATCACATTGGAGAAGCTACGTACGAGAAGAATTTGAAAAGTATCAGAAATTGCCCAAAAAACAATTTAGCACTATTGAACATTTACTTCGAGTGGGTCATAGAAGGTATGAAATGTTTCTGAATCCACAGATCAAGGATATACATTAACAGGAAGAGAAAGTGGGGGAGGGAGACAATGAGAGACGATTATTTATAGAGAGATGCATATGTACATAGTGAATTTAGTTTGATAAATTCAAAAATAAAACAGTCCTTTGTCTAAAATATAACGAGAAACATACAACGCTCTTCCACATACACCTTTAGCTTCTTCAAAACTGCCTAAATACTTTGCTGTACTCAGTCAACAACAACTCAGTCATATCATTTCTGCTACCCATATCAACCATTTCTCTTTCACCAGTTTCATCCCTGGCCAATGTGGGGGCAAACACCACGCTCAAATTTTTAACTCCCATTCGATTCACTTCTTTTAGTTCGGCAACTTTATGCAAATGCTGACAAAGTGCATACAACACTGACCTATTGGCCGTGGGTAACTTCTCAACCAATGACGATAATGAATCTAATCGTGAATCCCTGTTTTGCAGACGCGCAATTCTTATGAATTCATCGTAGTGAACAATAGGTATAACTGGATCAGGTAATTTACGAAGATACCTCTTAAGTGCCGATGTCACAGAATGTATGTCGCCATCAAGCAAGTCATTCAACTTGGACCATTGTTTGTCATCAGGATCTTGACCCAAATTGCTAAATGCATTTTCAATGGCAACAATAGCTGAGTTACCTCCAGATATACGGTATATCCCTTCAACTTCCAAACCTCTTTTTTCAACTTCAATTAAACAACGCGATATAATCAAAGGAACCGAGGTTTTCTCAAACTCGGCCCGTTGCTGTAACGTGGTGTTGAACAAAGATGCAGTTGAGTTTGATTTTGACTTTGTCAATTGCAATACACTAGAACTTGAACCATTGTAATCAGTATTCAAAAACGAATCAAGTATGTTGGTCGATGTTGATCGGCTGAATTTGCTACCACCACCCGTTGAATTTCCATTGCTTGACACAGGTACACGTAATGCTTGAGAAGAAGTACTATGAGGCAAAGAAGGGCCTGAAATGTTGGTACCATAGTTATTGCCACTGCCATTATTGTCATTCCTTGTAGACACAACATGAGGAGCTCCAGTTTTAGCCCTTCGCCAAAACTTCAATCTGGTTGCCTTGTGGGTTTGCTCATCCTCGGGTGCAGCCAAGGGCTGTTGCTGTTGCTGCTGCTGCTGTGGTTGTTGGCGCTGTTGCTGCGAGTAATGACTTTGTTGGTGATCGTTATACCCAAAACTTTTACCATCTCTAACAGTAGAAGCTGTACTAAAATTGGTCGATACGTCATCACCTAATGCATCTGACTCGCTACTGCCAAATCTATCCAAGCCAGATGAGGTCGTTTGTTGTCTCATCTGGTGCTGCTTTTGTTGTACTTCGAGTTGTTCATTCTGTTTTTCCAATTCCTTATTTTGTTGCAGCAAAAGAGCTTTCCTCTCTTCTAGATCTCTGATTTCTGCGACCAAGTTATCATACTTGATAGTCTCATCGGTTAAGTTCAGTTGTATTGATTTCAATTGGTCACCGAGTCTCAACTTGTCCTGCTTCAACTTTTTGACGTCCAAGTCCAAATTTAGCTTTTCAGCCGCCAACTTCTGCACCTCAGTTTTCACCGCCTTTATGTCAAAGGGATCATTATCGAAAAACATGGTTGAGTCGGATGTCAGTCTTGCATGTGTTTGACTATAAGGCGGTTTAAATCTATCCACACCACCATTCTTTTCACTTTGACCTGGTGAGGTAAAGTATTGGGAGTGTATGGAATTAAGCCCAGCAAGAGTACTGCCTGCGATCGAGCTATCCGAAATGTGTCTAGTATGCTGTCCTTTGTTGACATCTTCTCTTGGTGAAGACTTGAAGAATCCGAATTTTGATTGGTTTCCTCCCGATACCGAACGCTTGTGTTTCAAATTACGTATAAGTGACGTGGTCCGTGACAACTTTTGTGGCTGCAGTGGCAGCTCCGCTTGTGATTGTTCTTCATCATTCTCCGGTTCCAAATTGGTAACTGCAGGTGTAGGGTTGCTGATAATTCGGGGTGATTGGTTTATTGAAAATGGAGTTTGTGTATAATCGCTTCGAAGTTTATTCAATTCTTCTTTTGTTCGTTCTGGAGTCAACAGATTAGTAGGGATCCCCCTCTCTTCTTGCTCTTGTTGTTGGCGCACTTGCCTCATATATTCCCGTTGTTCATTTTCTTGATCCACGGCTAATTTTCCAGAGTCATCACTATAAGTAATGCCTTCCAATCCTAAACCATAAGCCACAGATTCATCGAATTTCAAACCCTGTAAGCGCTCCCTCTTTCTTGTAGGGGTATCTGGTACCGGCAATTTTGGAGGTGGCGAAGATAACGACGAACCAATAGGTGCAGCTGTACCGCTTCCTGATCCAGACATCTTCCTGTGTCTCAGTTGCTGAGGAGTGGTATAGGTTAGATTCAGATTCAGATTCAGATTTGCTGCAATGTCACTGTCAACAGGCACTGCATCCGTTTGTATCTCGTCATTCATTTCCACCACCCTGGCTTGCCTGTTTGCTTTGGCATATGGTGAGGGACATTGGGATCTATTTGAATGTTGTTCTTGTTCTATAGTTAAACTCTGTGCCTTCAACTTATTGTCATTAGTCGAACTTCTACTGAGCAAAGTACCTGGAGAGTCAATTAGCGGAGAGCCCATAGTAGCGCTGTGAAACTCATGATCATGAAATTGTCCCGGTGACAAAATCAACAAGTTCTTATTCTTCATATCGCCTGCAACTTCTTGAGGTACATTTTGCGGAGTTAGGTGTTTCTCTCCATCCCTGCGTTTATCAGATGAAGATTTCAAGTCAGCAGGCGCATCCAACTGATTGTTGTTGGAATATTTGCGTTGTTCTGATCTGGCAGGGTAGTCAGAGGGAAAATCCGAAAAATCCAAATAAATGGATTTATCGGGGTTCAGTAGTTGCGATGCTGGTGTGTCTGGGTTCTTGGAGTTTGCTGTATTGATAGGTGAATTATGGCTAGAATGCGATTCAAGTTGGCCTTTGATGTTTGATGATGTCTTTGTTCTCAAAGATGTGCCTTTGGTTTGTGCAATAGTGTCAGGTTCATTTGTATCAGAATCTGAGCTATTTTGCACCTCCTCAATTGAAAAATCATTTTCTGGCAGAAAGACAGCAGCCCCTGGACTTGGATTTCCATTCGAATTAGACTTCCTTCCGGGCTTTTCATGTGTCGCTGTTTGACTGTATGAAGAATTGGCGGGAGCCCTTGACAGTTCGCGAGTTTGCTGAATTGAATAATTGTTTGGATTGGCTGGTGAATTATCATGGCTCAAATTCTGTCTACTAGATGGTATCGAACTTGAACTAGCTGAAGTATTTTGTGTGTTTGGTGCCCTTGGTAGAGATTTGTTTTTGTTTGAGTTCATCGACAACTGTGAGTTGTTCTCCCCTTGTTTGTAAAGGCTGGTGGTGGAGGCACTCTTATTATTTTCACTATTGTAAGTATTAGTCATGTATGATTGGATTAAACTGTTTCTTGAGCTGCTAGCTGATGCTCGGCGATAATCCTCAAGCGCCTTAGATTCAGCTCCACTCAGACTCGGTGCAGGGCTTTGTCTTTCCTGTAAAGTTGCCAACTGTCTCTTTTTAGCATCGTACTTTTTCTTTTTGGCCATTAATTTTTCATGGCAATCCATACAAAACAATCCTTTTGATGTTCTTGCATATCGTAAATCCTCAATTTTTCGTTTACATGACCGGCATTTAAAACAGCTTGAACAATAGGCTTGGTCACCGGTCAAAATTGCCAAATCATCGATTTTTCTTCCACATTGTTTACAATTGTATGAACAGTTGGAGCAAATTAGGTTCCCGTTACCTAGAACTAGAAAATTTGAATTGCAGCCTAGCGAAGTCTCACATTTGGAACATTTAAAACAGTCGATATGCCACCTATCTTCACCCAACTCATACGCATGGCCTTCAATAATCTGTTGGTTACATTTTTTGCAAACTTCACGTTGATGATACGTGGGGCTGTGATAATTTTGGGACGAGTCGTTTAAATCATCGCGATCTACTGTCAGTTCATTTGTCCTCGGGGTCATGTAATTGCTGTGGCTTCCATTATTACTTGTAGTTGGTGTTGTATTGCTGCTGCTTGGCTGGTATGCAGCTGCGTTGATCGTCAGGTTCGTTTCTACCTCTGTCATTTGTCTCCTTGCGTGCTAATGGATGAATCTGTTGTGTAAATGAGTTGTGAAAAAAGTTGATTAAATGTTAGGAAATGAGCGGCGGCGGCTAGTTATGTTGTAGCAGATGCAATGCAATATACTATGCCAATAAATTAGTCTCTATATTGTATGAAATTTGGTGGAATAAAAAGAGTCAAGATTAGATCTTTTTATTAATTTTTTTGTTGATCTGGGTATAATAAAAGTCTAAGAGACGAGTAGAGAAAAAAAGAAAAATTACGTGTGCGTGTGCGTGTGCGCTTGAGAATGCGTGGTGTGCGATCGTATGCTGTGTGGGTGAGTTGTGTATGTGTTTGTTTGTGAATTATGTTCAAACTTAAACACTTTGCAAAACTTTATTCTACACAAGAGCTATGTAAGCGATTTTGCGTCGACATTTTGATTGGGTATTGCATCGATTCAACTGTGCTTGAGTCTGAAGGGAGGGATTTATTGGGAGGGAGGACGCTACGGGGTTTTTGCTATTTATAGAAAAGAAGAAACAAAAGGAAAAAAGAAAAACAAAAAACCCTCTCACATTCACATTCTAAACAAAATAAACAGACAAAACAAACAGACAATATGTAATTTCTGTTGTGGAGACAGAGAGCGAAAGAGAGACAGGAGAACGGTTGAGCGCGTTTGTTAACTCTACTCAAAAGAGTCTTTCAATAGCAAGTCTCTACAACAGTAATGGCATTATTATAGGAGAAGTTTAGGGCTTAATTACAGAGAGATGATGCTGATCAGTAACAAAGACTTGAAATGTAGAGAGATTTTATGCAAAATTTAGTCTTTGGACAGGCATTAATACTAATCTTACATGGAAATTCAATTACATGCTTCACAGAATTTGTCACAAGTGGGTGATCTAAATACTATGCTCTCAACTGATTGGATTGGGTAGCAAGGGTTTATTTATTGACTTTACTGTGCCAAAGAGACGTCCCCCCCTCATGTAAGTGTCATGAAAGGGTTATTTAGAATAAATTTAATGAGTCTCATACTAATGTAGAAATATTCAGAAATCGCCCGATTTATATTTTACAACAACGCAAAACATTATGCCCTAAAACCGTTTCAACATGTATTGTACTTTTTTATAAATACGACGATAGATAGAGAACTAGTTTGTGATTCCATCTTTTCCTATTTGGGATAATTGGATCCAGTTGGAAGTATAATAATATCAAATGAAAAAAAAGCCCAAGCTCCTTTCAAACTTAAAATGAGAAAGGAGGGAGGGTGTGGACGGTGTTCAACATTGGACTCATAAAGGTGGCAATAGCTCTATATTGTGGTAGAGTTAAGTAGACCTGTACTAAGGGAAGCGAGTGCAACATGGTGTTTTCGAATTTTTCATTAGTAAATCTCGACTTTCGACCCTATTAAAAAGGACAATAAGTGATTCTGGCGTGTACACAAAAGTAAAATATCGCACAAAAGAATACACCGTATTTTTCTTATTCTGGACTGGGTTTTGCCACGACCTATACTCGTTGGAGAAAGTCTATTCATAAACAATGTACAGAAATTGGCTACTTGAGCCGCTTTGTTTTTGGGATGTAGCTTAAAGAATTAAAGCCAGATACCCATAGATATTTCGACTATTCATTCGGTATCCGCGGTGATAAATGCTACAATTATTCATGGTGCTATAAAGTATGAGTGGGATTCTATATACAAGTGAATCTGGCAAAGCTAAGTGAATATAAACAGTGTGTGGCTTTTTATCATGATTTTGACTCCCTTATAAGCATGCAAACTTCCTCACAACTCCTCAGCAGTCAAATCCTTTTTAATCTTGAATGGTCTTCCTCTCCAATCAATTTCATGTCCGAACATGGCAATAAACCAAATTGGCAATGCCAAAACTTCTCGTAAAAGCCAAACTTGTAACCACTCAATGACCTCTCCGACCAGCTTTACCACGTGTATGTCATCCATCCATCGTGGTAAATAAGTTACATTAGCTGATGCAGTTGACTTGACATGGTTGATTAGCACATTGTACTGAATAAAATCTGACAAGCACCAGAAACCCATATGCAATAGAAACCACTTGATCGAAAACCATCGATGGAAAAACAATGTCGACATGGCAAAAGTTCCATACACTCCACTTACGATTGACTCAGTCGTGGGTTCAATAAAAGTTGCCAATGACACCATGTATTTTCTCACTCGCAACCATCGCACTCGACGTTGCATATAATCTTGCACTGTGTTGTCGTGTCGGCTTAATGGTTGCACGACAACATCTCCAGTTAAACCTGTTCGCCCATTACAATTCTCCCATAGCGCAATACCAATCATGTTATCTTCACCAATGTATCGAGCAAAAAATTTGATGGCGTGTCCCAAGCCCAAAGACGTATAGGCGGCAGCATCAGACTTTACTTTTGCATCACGGAAAAAGGGCGAGTTCTTATATGGGATGAGTTTAACTGCTTGGTCTAAATCGGATTTTCGATACATGTTGGATTTTCCATTGACACAAGGGGCAATTGATAAGTTATTTAAAGCAACGTAAAATTTTGAATGTGATGAATGGAGAAACATTTCATCTAACTTTGCCCCAAGCAATTTCCTAGAGTAATTGCCATTGTTATTACAACCATGACCCAGAGGATGATCAATATTGAGCTGTGCCGTCTGGGAAAGTTTTCTATTTGTCAAGTTTGAGTTTTGTGAAGTGACTGATGCATAATCGGAATCATCCTCTGAATACGTTGGTGTTACACTCCCTTCTAAATCCATCGCATTATCATCTCCTCCCCTTCCACTAATCGAATCAATACAAAACGCCAACGGCACATGATGCACCAATTTGACTGGTCGTTTGTCCCCGACTTTGCGCCCATTATTCAAGTTCATATTCATTGTAAATACCGAATTTCGCAAAATGTTTGAGCTGGCCCAAACGTTACTATCCATCACCCACAAAATATCGTATTTGGCCTTGAGAAACCCTTTGGCCAAATTATTGACTTTTGGATTCGGTCCATAATGCTCGCTGCTACTTTTGGAATCAGGGTTGAAATTGTTGCTGACAAGGATTTCTGCATCGATGGTGGGATATCTAGCAATCAATTTTTTAATGATTGGAACACTAGGATCGTTTGGATCATCAATACAAAACAAAAGTTGGATCTTATCCAGAGGGTAATTTTGTACAAACGACGATTCAAGACACGAACTAAGTTCAGGATCAATTCCTTTTATGGGACGTATTATGGTAACTCCTTCGTATGTCAATTTTCCATCGTTTACTTCTTCCCCTGGTGTTTCCTTTTTATAGCGACTTCGTTTAACTTTGGTGGATAGAAGAGTCCGATGGCTGAATTTTAGTAGTATTTCAATGAAACCAATGTTTGCCACGATGGAAATGACGATGTACCAAATCAAGAAAAATATCGCTGCACCATATCTGAAATTGGAAACTTCACGCATAGAGAATGCTAAAAATGAATGAGTGGGAGCGTGAGACTGTTGGCTGGTGTACTAAAACGATTGACGACGTACAGAGCCTTGATGATTTGGGAGTATCTCTTTTGTGCTTGATGTACACATGAAGTATTTTTTTTTTTTCTTTGGGAGATCGAGAATATCATCGGTCGAGATTTACTGCCGATATTTGTAAAGCGCGTCGCAGAAGAGAATTATTTTCTTCATACGTCATAATGAGCTATAACATTTGGGCTACGATACCATGACTGTTTGATGCCATTTGTATGAGTTATTATTTTACTATAGTAAATTGAGTAGCTGTAATAGAGTAAAGCATGTAGAATAAGCATATCATCCGTTGGATCGTGGACATTTCAGTCTCGTTTCAATAACTTTACTGTGGCTATTAAAACCATTACATTCATCTTTAAGCTGTTGATAAAAATGTACAAGGCTCTTTTGTAAATCTAGTGTTACTCTTCGTGGCTTGCGTTACCCAACCATCCTAAATCAAGCGGTTAGCAAAGTATCACCAACTGGATCTGAGTAATCAAAGTTTTCAATTATCAACCTGTCATCCTCGCTAGTACTGGCATTGTTTTCGCTTTTAATACTTTTCCCTGGAGCAATGTACCGTTGTCCGACGAGACATTTTGGAGTCACAATATAAACCGTACTTGTTCAAGTGAAACACATCGATTCTACTACTTGCAACATAATGTTCCTGTACGATTCTTGATTCGCCGTAATTTAAATCAGTTATACCTTTTATCATCACATTTTGAGTTTGCTCACTATATAGTTTTCTCTTGGTCTGTATAGATTGGAATCGTGCTACTGATTAGTTCAAATCGAGTAGAATTTATGCGCATACACAGACTTTCTTCATGGATGAGACCAAAAAATTCCCCTGTGAAGGTAAATTTACGAACTTTCCTAACCAGAAGTCAAGATTAATAGCCGAGGACCAAGTGAGTGTGTTGTTGTTTATCTACCTGTGCTGTTCGCTTAGGCATGCATTGTAACAAGAAGACAGGCTTGGGCGTATAATGGGAACTGGACAGCCTTTGGAAGGGGAGGGATTGCTGCAAAAATTGTCAAGGAGTGGAATCAGCAATCTTCCCCCCCATTACTAGGTCAATTGGGAAGCTGGCTACGTTACTTATACATCCTGTAATGAAATAGATCCTCTCATGTACAAAAGCAAAGTGCCTTTATTCAACGACCAGTGTACTATTCCTGGTACAAAAAAATATTATCTTTTTCACATACAGATTGACAGATGAATGATGTTGCCCTAAAGTTCCGCGGCTCTTTCCCAAAGCCGTTGTAATAAGTTTCTTTGCGTGTGTTTTCTCTCTTCATACTATTATTATTATTTTTCTACCTCGGTAGAAACTGTAATACATGGTCGTGTAATAAGAACAGAACAAATCAATGCAAATACACCCATGCAGCAGTACTTTTACAACTCAAAAACGAACTTTCTACACGTACACGCATACAATCCCCACAAAGATTTTCTTCTCCCAACAATTACAAAATTACACAATGTTTTCTGGCGCTTAGTATTTTTTAATTTTTAAAATTTTCCAATCCAATTAAATGCCATCACCAGGGGAATATACCGAAATTTTATAAAAGAAAATACATTTTCCCTTTCTCACCCCAGTTTTTTCTCTTTTTGTTGAAAAAGAAGAAATATATATATATTTTGACGCTTTTCTTATTAAACCAAGAACTTACACTTACACCTTTACTTCTCCTATCATTATAAATCTAACACCAAGTCACAAGTTAGATATATATATATTACAGGTTTGAAGTGTGTTCTCTAATAATATGTTCAAATTAAGTCTAACAAAACAACAAGTATTGTCAATAAATAAAACGTCGTCCACTACTGTCAAACAATTATTCAAGATGCCAATTTTAGCAACCAAGACCCCCTTTTCCACCACCACTGCCAAAGGTGAAACGTATAAATTGCAATCACAATTACCCAAATTGCCAGTTCCTGAATTACAAGAAACTGCTGCTAAGTATATTAGATCAATTGAACCATTTTTGAACCAACAACAATTGCAAGATTCGAAAGCTAAAGTTGAAGAGTTTATTAAACCTGGTGGAGCTGGTGAACAATTGCAACAGAGATTGAATTCATTTGCCGAAGGTAAAGATAACTGGTTGGCTGAATTTTGGGATGATTATGCTTACTTGTCCTATAGAGATCCTGTTGTTCCATTTGTATCGTATTTCTTTTCCCACAAGGATGTGAGAAATATAGTTGGACAAGATCAATTGTTGAAGGCGACTTTGATTGCTTATCATACGATTGAGTTTGCTGAACAAGTGCAAAATGAAACTTTACAACCAGAAGTGATTAAAGGTAACCCATTCTGTATGAATGCGTTCAAGTACATGTTTAACAACTCGAGAGTTCCTGCTGAAGGGTCCGATGTTACCCAACATTATGATGCCAATGCCAATAGATTTTTCGTTGTTGTTTACAAAAACAATTTTTACAAGGTCCCTACTCATAATGAACAAGGACAAAGATTGTCCAAGGGAGAAATCTACAGCTATTTGCAACAAGTCAAGAACGATCCAACCCCAACTGGAGTGCCAGTTGGTGCGTTGACTTCATTGAATAGAGACGAATGGTTGAGTGCCTACAACAACCTTTTGAAATCACCCATCAATGAAGCTTCATTGACTGATATATTTGCTTCTGCTTTCGTTGTGTGTTTGGATTCAAACAATCCAATTACTATTGAAGAGAAATCCAAGAACTGCTGGCACGGAAATGGTCAAAATAGATGGTTTGACAAGCCATTGGAGTTTTTCGTTAGTGCCAATGGTAACTCAGGTTTCCTTGGTGAACATTCAAGAATGGACGCTACACCAACCGTTCAAATGAACAACACTATCTTGAAGCAAATTGCTGAAACCAACCCTGAGGAATTGATTGCTGAGATTGCCACTGTTGCCCCAAGAGTTGGTAAAGCTGATATTTTATCATTTGATATCAACCCTACATCAAGAGCCAACATTGCTTCAGCCGTAGTTAAATTCGATGCTACTATTGCTGCTCATGATGAAGAGATTTTCCAACATTACGGCTATGGTAAAAATTTGATCAAGAAGTTCAAGACATCTCCTGATGCTTATGTACAAATGTTGATGCAATTGGCATATTACAAATTGACCGGTAAAGTGAGACCAACTTATGAATCAGCCGCCACTAGAAAGTTCTTGAAGGGAAGAACCGAAACTGGAAGAACCGTTTCCAATGAATCAAAGAAGTTTGTTGAAACTTGGACTGATCCAAAGGCATCACTTGAAGAAAAAGTCGCCACTTTCCAAGCCGCTACTAAACAACATGTTGCTTACTTGTCCTCCGCCGCTGATGGAAAGGGAGTTGATCGTCACTTGTTTGGATTGAAACAAATGTTGAAACCAGGTGAAGCAATTCCGGAAATATTCACTGATCCTATTTTCTCTTATTCGCAAACATGGTACATTTCGTCATCCCAAGTTCCTTCAGAATTTTTCCAATCTTGGGGTTGGTCACAAGTGATTGATGATGGATTTGGATTGGCTTATTTGATCAATAATGATTGGATCCATGTTCATATTTCATGCAAGTATGGTAATGGATTGAGTTCGGCCCAATTGAAGTGGTTCCTTGTTGATAGTGCCAATGAGATGCAAGATGTATTGGTCAAGGGATTATTGGGCGATAAGGCCAAGTTGTAAGTTGAAAAAAAAGTATAGAGTTTTTTTTTGGTGAGAGAAGGAGAATAGTTAGTATATACATTACAGAATATACATATAAAAGAGAGAGAGAGAGAGTTAAGATCGTGTGAGTTTTTGTAGGTTTACTGTGTTTAGTGAGGACAGGTTTTAGGGACGTAATATTTATCGGTGAGGAGGGGGGGGAGGGTTATAGAAAGAAATGATGCAGGGGATGGCATTTAGAACAATAGGTATTTACGATAATGTTTACGATGATGATAATGATGATGATGGTGGTGGTGGTGATGGTGGTGATGGTGATGGTGATGGTGAGAATGTGTCAACTTGTGTCGTATTTTTGGTGGATCAGATAGCGACAAAACATAAAAGCAAAACCCAAATTGGAAATATATATATAAATATAGCAAAATAAAAGGTGTTTTCTGGTTGTTTGCATTGTTTGAAAGGTGGAAACGAAGAAAACAAAAATTGGAAATAAAAACAAAAAAAAAAAACGGTCAAAATTCTAAAAGCTATATTATTATTCTATGACGTGCTTAAGTATTTGTGTTTCAAGTGTAATGGATATGGTTATGATTCAGTCGTGTTATATGTTTTGATGTATGGGAATGGAATGTTTGGAATAAGGTTAGTTCTTATTTAGTGATACAAAGTGATTTTTAGTTGACCCTGTTGTTTAACTTTTGGCTTAATCAAGGGAAATTCATAGCCTTTTGTGTAATTAATAAGACATTACCGAAAATTAAATTTTAAACGTTACGCGTTTAAGAAAAAAAAAAATAAAAAATAACAACAAATAATTCTACTTTTAACCGGTGGATTTAGTAAACCTACAAAAAAAGTAGATGGACAGAAGTGAAGCCAAGTAAATGGGATTGGCCATTGAAGGAATGTGTATACCCTAGCTTTGAAATCGAAGAATGTTAGACTATGCGTGGGGGCGTTGGTACTACTACTACAGCGACGATTTTATTTGAATAATTGTGTATGTATTATTATCTTTTTTTTTCTCTTTCCTTCTAATTTTGTGGTAATGATGAGGAAAGATGAAGGAATGATGGATTTGATATTACGAGTAACTACGGATTTGATCCTCGGTCCAGATTAAGAAATATTAAACGCCTAGGAAAAATATAATTATAAGGTTACAATTTAATGTGAACAAGACCAGGGCGGAACCTTTTCGACTCACAATTTGTATGTGCCTGTGACATTATTTGAAGAATTGCTACTTTAGTAGGTAAGTATATGTTGATTATACGTATCAATGGGACTACTACTGCCATCATCTACAAAACCTCAAAAGAGAAAAAGAGAAAAAAATAAAAAAATAAAAAAATAAAAAAATAAAAGGAAAAAACAATTAAAACATTCTCTTGTGTAACTCCAAGCGAATTTCAGGGGAAGGCGAGAGAGAGTGAGAGAGAAAGAGAGAGGCAGAGGGGCAGATAGTAGGACGAAATTTTAGTCGCGTTGGGATTTTGGTTATGAGGTCCTAAAGCCTTATACTTTTCGTGGTAAAGCGCCAATCCGCACACATCAAACACCCAGAGAAGGGAATGAATGAAGAATGAATTGTAACTGACAAGCCCTTTCCTTTTTTATTCTTCAAATTAATTTTCTGCCATTATTGAATGCGCAATGTTATAGGTATCAGCTATTTGTCTGTGGCTAGGTTTAAGGACCTTGTATAGTCTATGGTTGCTCTTGACAACAACAACAACAACAAACAACAATCAGTTAGATAAAGATTCTTCTAGGTGTGGCGACTCTTCTTGGTTACTCAGTTTTTCTCCTTGTAAATTGTCCACTGAATGTGATTTTTTGTTTTTTTTAATTTCACAAGATATATACATATTGTCTTCTCTCCAGATAATGCTACTTTTATAGGTTGATAGATAGTAAACTAATTGGAGATTATCAAAAGGTTGAGTTTGTATTTTATCCTAGTGTCGTGTATTGATGTTTGTTGTTAGTGTTTCTTGATAATGAAGTTAACTCTTTGATATTCTAATAATAGTTTGTATGGGTCTATCACTACTTCAGAGTAATATTAAAGTTGTTGTTGTTGTTGTTGTTGTTGTTGTTGTTGTTGTTGTTGTTGTTGTTGTTGTTACACATAAACAACTTTTCTTTGTTTTTAGTTGTTCGTACTTTTTTCTTTTGTTTACCTTTTTTTATTTATTTTAAATCAAAACTTTTATGTTTGTGTAATATATATATATATTTATATAATATACCTATTGTTTTAATTGTTTTTTATTCCCAAAGAGAAGATCTTATATATAACGAATAACAACTAAAAATTAAGTATCTCCTACAAACAATTGTACAGTAGCATATATTACTATTCAAAAGTATAAGAATAAGACTCCATTTCCTTTTTCCCCTTGTGCAAAAAGAAGAACTTCCCCCTGGTGTATCCTTATTTTTTTAAATAGAGCCTTGTTATGCCTGTCAGGAAGTAGTTCCCCTGGGGAAAAACAATAGCATTACACATATCACATCACCATCACTATCACCGCCGCCACCTGAGAGATCCTCACCCAAAATTTTACAACAGTTCAGGCCCATCAGCAGTGTATCATATAACCCAAAAAAAATTCATCCTAGAAAGTGGTTACCAGTAACATACATAGAACTGGCAATTGCGAACTTGCACAACTCATAGGGGATCCATACACAGTTAAGATAGTAGAAGCCATTGAAACTTATAGAAACAGATTGCCTATCAGAGATCAGATTCATAATTGAATTGCACAACCTATAAACCTTCCAGTTATTTTTGTTTTTGTTTGTTTTTTTTGATAGATATCGTATGCTGATCTAAATCATCAAAAGAAATTCATTAGCATAAAGTTGCATATATCATTAGTACCAAGCACCCCATCCAGAGTTGAAAAATAATAATCAAACGGAAAAGTCATTCAAATTTTGCCTGAAATAGTTTTTAAGAGGCCAAAAGAAAACCGAATATACCCTGTTTATAGACTTACTGAAGTCGTATATATAACCCAACCACATATCATTACGCAGGTAAGTTATCATCAAAAGACTTTGGCTATACATTCATATTTTCCATTAACTGATCTATCACTTGTTCACTTAATTAAACGATAGATATCAGCTACAGCTAGTCGCTCAAACCTAAAAGAACAAGATTGTAACACGATTCACATCCGAACTACACACCGTACAACGTTGTCAATTTTTATGTCACCACAAAGAAAGTTATGCCACCGAATAGACCATCTCATAAACGACAGAAATCATCTATTCTAAACCAAGGCAACTATAATTTTACACAAGAGGAGGTTAAGGAGGAGGAGGAGGAGGAAGAGGAACAAGATAAACAAGGTTTACAACCATCGCTACCTCCATTTGCCATTCCAGTGACACATGCACATACACATACACATACACATACACCAGCTCAAGTTCAAGCCCTGAAATACCCACAGGCACAAGTACAAGCGCAAGCAAAGATACCCTCAACTTCTACAAACCTAGATCCTTTGTCTTTGATTAATCAACAGATCGATTTTCCACACTCTTCAAACAGAAGAACAGACGAACAAGATGTGTATAATTATTGTTTTGCTCCTTCACATACTCAAACACATACACATGCATATCATAACCAACAGCAACAACAACAGCAACATCACCATCATCATCATCATTCGTTTGGTTCTAACGTTAATCTCCGTCAACATACACCACAATCCCAACGTGTACAGTATGAATACAATCAAGAGCTTCAAGGACTGGTGCCGATCGAAAGACGCGTTGCTTCTACTGGCTATGATCGGTTTAATGATTTTCATCCAATATCACCACCCCAACCTCTACCTACAACCAATCCAAATTACCAACAGGGCGGTACATATCAAACCGCATCTGGCCCACCATTGCATCAGTATCGTCAACAATCACAACAACCACCACCACTTTCACAACAACAGCAGCAGGTACGACCAATACTGCATCTGCCACAGCATACCTTCTTCAATGAACCCAACATTCAGCGTTCACAACAACCAAGTTCCTATTATAGATCCACTACCTACATCACCGATCCTTCAGCGACTGGATCTTTTGCATTTAATCCTGCATCCTCACAAGCTCCTCCAGTTTACCCTACTACTTTAGATCCCAATCACTCAAATCCACAACAACAGCAACAACAACAACAAGCACTATACAGTTTTGATCCCACTACTGGCAGTAGCATTGGCAGACAGTACTCTAATCAGTCGTTATTCTCTGCCGCCTCACTTCAACCTACAATGCAGGCATCTTCTACTACGTCGGGCCCACTATCTATACCTATATCAGTAGTGACAACGGCACCTACTCCCGTACCTACAGCTACTGCTCCAACAGCACCTACTCCTGTACCTACAGCCACTGCCCCAACAGCACTGACTCGAGTCACTGCAGCACCTGCACAAGCTGTTGCTCCAGGACACCACAAAAATGCCTTGTCCATTTCTTCCCATTTAACTTCAATCAGTTTGGAAAGTCAAAATTCTCCTGAACATACCCTTACTACTGACCCTCGCAGATTTCACCGTGACACCAACCCAGTTCTTGCTGATCTTTTACTTGGCTTATTTTCCGTTGATGGGAACAACATTGGAGCTTACTTGCATTCGATAATTTACAAACTCAATGCGCTGTTCCCCTTGGATGATTTCTACAATTTGCTTTACAACAACGATCGCCAGCTACCCAATAGTGCCAATTACAACTACAACCAAAAGATCGACAAGACTCCAATTGCATTGAATTCTCATGATACGACTGCTACAGTAATGAATCAAGTGTTGGACGTGTTTCGGAACCCGACAATTTTACATGAACATTTCCCTCATCAAGAAGGTCAAAATCGGTTATTTTCAATAAATTATCACGAATTACTACGTACATTTCTTGCCATCAAGATCCTAAATGATATGATGATTGAAGTGCCGCTGAATATGAATCAAGATTCATTGACATATTCAATACCGCGCTTGTCCATCTTCAAGACGTATTTCATCATTTGTCAAAAATTGATTACACGATATCCCAGTTCATCAAACACCACCAATGAACAACAGAAACTTATTCTTGGCCAGTCGAAATTGGGCAAATTGATCAAAATGGTGTATCCCAACTTGTCCATCAAGAGATTAGGCAGTAGAGGTGAGTCGCGCTACCATTATCTTGGCGTTATTTGGAACGAACATATAATCGACAACAATGTCAAGCAATTGTGTGAACAGCATGATTTGGCAAACTTGAGTGAGATGTTCAGCGAGGGTGTTGGAGGCAGCTCTGAAGGTGGTGGAAGCACCGGAAGCAACTTTGAACAAAACGAGCAGAATGTGTTGCTTCCAGAACGAGGTCTGATGAGTGATCGTCAAATTGGTGCCATTCCTTCAGGGGTATCGCCAAAGAAACGAGGTAGAAAACGTAGTCGGTCAAGTGTCAGAGAAAAACTGTATGGCACTGTTGGAACTGCAACCGAAACTAGTGATGCCCCTCATTCAGATACGATATCGGTGCCTCGATTATCCTTTCTCAAGAAAGACCTGAAGTTCCCTCTCGAGTCCAGCTTCACTACGGTTTTAGTTGACAACAATGAAGACAAAGAAATAAGACCCAATTGGTTTACGAAGTTACTCGATGATACTTATGCAAAATCGGACGTAATTGATCGAGATTTAATCAAGTTTATATTGCTCAACAACTCAAACTTGACACAAGATTCAAACTTGCTTAAAAATCTATTAAAATCAGTGTTTAAACCAAGTGCTGTAGCACAACCCCACACCACCACCGATGATAGTCATGCCAATATTGACTTGTTAATATACACAATCATCCTATTTGAGAGTCTACCATACTTGCTACTAATAGAACCATCAGCCGATATCAATATGGTGACAAATTTGCGATTGAATTTGCTATACTTGATTAATCATTTACCCGATGAATTGAAATTGTTAAACTCGCCAGTTTTGCCTCTTGAAAACGCTGCCAAATTTTTAATTGTGGTCAAGAAGATGATCAATTTAAATGACTTGATGATTACGTTTATCAAATTGTTGAATAAGAAAGAACTAAATACAATGATGGTGGCTGATATACAGCATTTTCTACTAGCTGAGCCTCATGGCATTGGGTTGCAACAAGGGAGTGGAAGATGGGAAGTTGGCGAAGGAGAAGGAGAAGGTGAACAAGATAGACAAGGTGGAGAAGGTGACGAGGGAGGAGCCAATTTGTTACCTGGGTTCAATGCTACGTCAATTAGTGAAGTAAAGTTTAATTTCAAAAAGGATATTTTATCCAATGATTTGATCCATAGTTTAATTGGATTTCAATTTGATCCCAATTCAACCGTGCAATTGAAGAGAGGCATTCCGGTAAATACAATAAATGAGGACGTTACTATACTTAACGAATTTTTTAAAGTTGATTTATTAACGTTCTTAACACCGGATGACTATTACGAGACTGAAAAACCTCCAGCACCAAAGGACTCTTTTCTGAAGTCACACGCATCCTCGTTGCGTCATTATCAACAAGAAGTGAGAACAAGTGTAGGGAGTATAGTTCCATTATTGGCTCATCCCCAGCCGAGCTTACAACAACATGAGGCACCACATAATACAGCATTTTACAGCCAACCAATAGGTCAGCAACCTATTGAGCCCAACACAGCTTCTTCATCATCATCGAATATGGTATTGACCACGAATGAAATGTCAAAATTAAAATCGTTACTAGCATTAATTGACACCAAGTTGCTATCGCCGCATTTCAAATCTAGATACCCTATACAATTGTATAATAGTTTCATCACCTTTGTTTTGAATGATGTATTGAAACACATCTTCTTAAAACAACAGCAACGCAGTCAAGTTGGCCCAGTAGAGGAGAGTAGCACCTCTCAGGGCAACAGAGTTAATCCAATTAAAAATCCTAATTTCAGTCCAAGTTCGAGTGGAAATAGTTTTGGTAGTTGGTGGGTCTTCAATTCGATTATTCAGGAATATTTGAGTTTATTGGGGGAGCTTGTCGGTTTACAGGATTCAATTTAAATAGAGCATTTTCTTTCTCCGTTTTCCCCGTTTTTAAAAAGTATATAGAATTTAATTAATTTAATTAATAGTTTTGCACGTTATACTCGAAAGTGCGGTTTTGAATTGGCGAATGGATATGCGATTCGCTATCCGAAATATACATGGTAGCGTTGCTAATCACGTTTTTGCGCGAGAGAGATGCCAAATAGAAAAACCCACAAAGTGGCATCGGATTTTCTGAAGAACTTAACGTCTGTTCTACAACTCTTGGTAACAACGCAATTTTCCCCTTTTGCGCTTTGATTTAGTTGACATGCACACTTACCAACAGAATTCAATAAAGCTCATTGCAGGTAACTCGCATATTGAACTATGTGAGAAAGTTGCTTCCAAATTATGCATCGACATTGCCCGCGTGGGGGCCTTCCAATACACAAATACCGAGACGGCGGTTGCCATTGGTGAATCCGTTCGTGATGAAGACGTGTACATCTTACAAACAGGCTGTGGAGAGACTGAAATCAACGACTTCGTCATGGAATTACTATTCATGATCAATGCTTGTCGTATTGCCAGTGCTAGAAGAATAACGGCGGTTATCCCCAGTTTCCCCTATGCTCGACAAGACAAGAAGGATAAATCAAGAGCACCAATAACTGCCAAATTGATTGCTAACTTGCTACAAACTGCCGGTTGTAATCATGTGATAACGATGGATTTGCACGCGAGTCAAATTCAGGGGTTCTTTAGCATACCCGTTGATAACTTGTATGCTGAACCTAGCGTGTTGCGTTATATCAGAGAAAAGTATAACAAAGACGACATTATTATGGTGAGCCCTGATGCCGGTGGAGCTAAACGAGTTGCCAGCTTGGCTGATAAGTTAGACATTCAATTTGCATTGATCCACAAAGAACGTCAAAAGGCCAATGAAATCTCACGAATGGTCTTGGTTGGTGATGTCACTGACAAGACATGTATATTGGTCGATGATATAGCTGATACTTGTGGTACTTTGTGCAAAGCTGCCGATGTATTGCTTGAAAATAAAGCAAATAAAGTCGTTTGCATGGTTACTCATGCTATACTTTCGAAAAATGCCATTGAAAAATTAAACAATTCCAAGATTGATAAATTGGTTTGTACAAATTCATTGCCTATTCAAGACAAGTTGGCCAAATGTCCCAAGATGGAGACATTGGATATTAGTGCTACATTGGCTGAGGCAATAAGAAGACTACATAACGGAGAAAGTGTTAGTTATTTATTCAACCATGTACCGGAATAATATATATATATATATATGGATTCGTATTATTTAAATACTTATTTATCTATCTTCAATCACTTGCACCATATACCATGTAACACCCAGACTAAGTTGAAACGGATTGTGCTCCAATGAATTTGTTTGTTCAGGCAAGACTTTATGTTCTGTAATTGATTGAACTCTGCCTATAAGCCACTCCTTACCATTCAAGTTCAAGTTGGATGTGTTCAAGAAATAATGCGGTGCTGCGACATTGAAAGCGGCCCAGGGTTGAATGCTTTCATTACTATTACCCGTAGCATTATCAATTCTCGTGGGGAGAAATAATAACAAATCATTCTCCTGAAACGAACTGATTGATATCTTGTGCTTGTTGCGTGACATCAACTTTCTAATTTCTTGATCCTTTAGTTTATTGTCCTTCGTTTGACGCTTGGCAAAACCTTCAACATCTTTAAACCTTTTGGATATCGCATTAAGGAAAAACCTCGTACTAGTTGAATTCTCATCAGCCAATTGAATGTTGTCTTTAAAGCTAATAATGTTTAAAAATGAATCGAAATGAGACGGCTTTGTATCATCACCAAATATATCATTAAACTTGGCTATCAACTTTTCTGACTCTTCATTGTACTTGTCAACATTGACAATTTCGTTATCATCAGATGGGCTCTCGGGTGGTTGATAAGGTGATAATGAAATTTCATCTGTCCATTTCATTGATGACTCGATATTTTCAATCACCTTTGAAGTAGGCGTGGCCGCGACTGACACCAAAGACACATCATCCTCTAAATTTGCCGTACTTTTTTTCGATTTCAACCCTTTGACTCGCTTGATCTTAAAAGTGTCGTCTTCTTTTATCAACAACAAGCCCATGGATTCCAAAATACAGCAAATTTCAATAAACGTGTCAAAAAACCTCTCAGAGGTTATTTTAAGCTTACCCATGATAGAACTGATTATCGCATTCAATTCGACAATGAGTTGATCGTGTTTCTGCTGTTTGACTTGGGTCAATTCCATCAAGTTTTCGTAATCTTCATTAACTTCATCCAACTTCAGCTTGACTTTTGCAAGTTCGCTCTGATTTGTGGTCCTCTCCTGCACAAATTCAGATTCCTTCGATGACATGTTGGATAGCAAATCATTCTTCATTCGCGTAGCATCATTTAACTCGCCGCGTAATATGGTGATTGTCTCGCCAAGACTCGATATTTCTTGATCATGACTGGCTTGCTGTTGTTCCAATGTGGAAATTTTATTGCCTAGTTGAGCAATAGTTTGATCCTTGGCCTCCAATTTCCGTCCCAAACTTTCAAATTCTTTCAACTCTAGTTTATTCTCCAATTTGTAAAGTCTGAGTTCCTCTTCACTCAGTGATACCTTCGATTGGAGATCTCCAACCTCCTTCGCGTGGTTAGCTTCAAGTTTCTCCATTTCCTGCTGCAATTGCAAAATAGTTTTATCTTTAGTATCCTGTTCTCTACGCAAATGCTCATTCTCAGCAGCAAGCTCGGTGTTGACCCGTTTCAATTTTATATTATCAAGGTGCTTATCAACCACCGAAGAATCTAAAGCTTGTGATTGGTTGGAGGCAATGCTCTCCTTTGATGGCGTTCGTTTTTGCAAGAGCTTTGTCGGATCTGAGTTGGCCACTGGTGCCGAAAATGGTTGTTTGGTGTCTATAATCATGCTCATCCTATTATCTGAGTAATTACCATTGCGAAATACTGGCCAGCTGGTAATATTCTTGTACTGTTGTTGGTGGAGAAGGCTTTCGAGTTTTTTGATTCTTGACTTTAAGCCATTGACAACATTCAAGTCAAAATCTGGGGTATCCAATTGTTCCTTACTTGACAGATTTCCCATTTTATCAGCATGCAGCTCCGAAAATGACCCTAAAGAGGATATGAGCTTGGTGACTCTCTTCATATTATTTGTCGATTGTTTCATATCATGCAAATTTTTGCGCAATATCAGAGGAAAGTTTGTGTTGACATGCCAAGTCTCCAACAATGATATGTAATTAGTTATATCATCTCTGTCTATATCAACACCTCGTAGAATAAAGAAATTTTGAATCTTGTCCTGATTACCCACGAGGGTTATGTCAACATTGGGCAATATACCGACAAAGTTGTCACTTTTGATATAATTGAGAAAAGTCCCCATTTTTTTGTTCCACATTTCCCTAAATGCTCGCTCATGTTCGCCAATTGAAGTCACTTGCTCACTAAAGTTGTGTACCACCCCCTTGGAGTAGAAATCATACCATTCAAATTGTCTCCTCTTTTCAATCAAGGCGAAACCAAACAACAAGGGTATATCAATAGTCAAGGATAATAAATCTTCACACCGTTTAACATCCTGAATGGTCTTGTGATTTATCATGCTGTTTTGGTCTGCTGCTGCTTCATCTTCCATCAACGATTTTATTCCAGCTTTGAGATTGACAGTTTTCAATTGTAGATTGGCAATGAGGGAGAAGATCTTTGGTCCGTCTTTGGTAATTTGTTCTCTGAAACGTTTTAGGCTCGAGTAATATTTATACAACTCATCAGTTGCATGCTTGAGTTCAACCGAAGTTACACTTTTATGTTGATTATAAATTTGTTCAAACTGACCTCTGGGAACACTTGAAAAATCATTAGCAATCTTTTGAGCTTTTGACCTTACTGTTCTCATCAATTCGTTAAAATTGGTGTCCTTAAATCGTTCTATGGATTCTTTTCGTGATTGTTCGATCAATTCGTCTACTTTTGCCCTATCTTGCTTCATCACTTTGGCTTCATCGTTTAATTCAGCAAGTCTCCTCGTGATCAACGGGAGCTGTTTGGCCAAATACGTTGCCGCTGCATTCAACGACTCGTAATCAAGAAAATCAACCAATTTAACCCTTTTGTCTTTGATTATTACCACAGGGAGATGTTGTAGGTTTTTATAACTCTCCTTCCAACTTTTATGCAAAGTTTTGAAACTGATTAGATTTATATAGTTATAGTGGTGATTAAAGCTCTTTTCCACTTCCGTCGTAAAGCTTGTGGCAAATTGAAATAATGCAGTTAATGACTTGAAAATGGTATTGATCTGTTGAATTAGGGACATGCAGCGACTTTCGAGCGAATTGCTTTCCTGGAGTAATGCTCTTGCCCATGCTTGGTGAACTTTTATCCTACTTGTAATATCACGTGAATACGATTGTCGATTATCAACTAATGACAGCTGCTGTGGTGGGCTAATATCATCCTTGGACGAGTTAGATACGTATGAATTGAGCAACTGCTGATCAAGCTCTTGAACAAACAATCGCTTGTCGTATACAAATACCTCCGATATATCGTTGATCGTGTTGTAGTTTACTTTCATCCCGAACGAGCTCAATAAAAACAAATCATCCAAGTTTTCAATTGAAAACGACTGCAGTAGGTAATTCTTGAATTCCGCTAGGGTTAGAAACCTGATTGGTTTCGGTATTTTGATGAATGACCCGCTATGGGCATTGTATACAGTCAAGTATGATATATCTGACATGGCCAGTTACAATTGTAGTCGTGTACGTGTTCTCTTGAATAGGGGTGGAGATGGCAATGTGGTGCAATGGATAGCACTGTCTTTGATAATTATGTTTTGTGAAATAAATATTAGTTATGGCCTGTAAGGTGATTACAACGATTCTAATCATCCACAGGTCCTGTATGAATTGCTATTCAGCATGAAAAGTCAATGCAGATTGTTTGAAATAAGCTTGATGTTAAGCCACTGGACATGTGTTGCGATATGTTCTAGATCGATCGGGTGCGATTTCCTAAACAATTTACAAACTTGTGATTGTTTAACAAACCTAAATATAGCAACCAATGTGGACAACACAGTCCTATTTTCTTCATACAACATAATAGCCCCGTAACTGCTCATCTTGCTTGAAAATTAGATGTAGAGGGGGAAGGCAAGTTCCATACGTTCCACGAGTGAAGATGAATTGTAGGACGCCTGTTAATTGTCACGTGCAATTGATTTGCCATCGGCTCACACGATAGTTGTTTGAAGTACAGTCCGAACTCCAGAGCTACAGAAAGCGTAGATGTATGGGATATATCATGTAAGCACACCATTGATCCCATCCCCCTCTCTCTATATTGGCTTACTCGCAGGTTTCACAATCGTGAGAGAAGTTAGTTACTATTTTATAATCAAATGTATTCACATTCTTACACGTATTTTAAATGCTTAAAGCGTCTCTCCGAATCTAAACGAACGTAACACCAGGCTTCCTCAAGATTAATACCATCCACCACGGTATTGATTTGAGTCTTGGTAGCCGTACTGTGGATATTGCTGGTAACCTCCGTATTGTGGCATCACAGGTTGCTGAGCATTTGGTTGTGGTTGCGCTTGACCTTGGGCTTGTTGGGAGTTTTGTTGAGAGCTGTCACTCTCGGAAGTAGCTGCTTGACTTTGACCATGGCCTTGACCCTGTTGAGCAGATTGCTGTGGCTGAGGTGGATAAGAATAGCCAGGGTACCTGTTTGAATATTGGTTAGGATTGTAGTATTGTTGTTGACCGAAGCCATTGCTAGAAACCGAGCCTTGAGCACTACCAGGAACATTTGCCTGTTGAGCATTTTGCTGGTTGGCTTGAGCTGGCTGGCCAATGGAACCCAAACCATTTGAGGCTAATGCACCTGCAGCATTAAAGTATGGGTTGTTGTAGTAGTAATTGTAATATGGGTAGCCGAATGGAGTTGGGATTTGCTGTTGTTGTTGAGCCAAGCCAGCGGCTGATTGTTGTTGCAAACCAGACTGAGCGGCAACTGGGCTTTGTGTGGCGTCGATTGAACCACCATTAACAGCTTGTTGTGCGTATTGAGCGTATCCACTTGCCGCAGCAGGAGCAGTAACATTGTGACTAGCTGCTGGTGATGCAATTCCACCAAAGGCTTGTTGACTGTAAGCACTGTAGTCAAATCCAGGATATCCACCGAATTGAGAGCCTGGTTGAGCAGCCTGTTGTGGGTATTGTTGCTGTTGAAATTGGTTGTAGTAATCGTATTGAGCTTGTTGTGTTGGGAAGTTTTGGGCAGGTTGTTGAGCTTGTTTGCCATATTGAGCTGGCTGTGCTTGTTGTTGTTGTGGTGGTTGTTGTTGTTGGTATCCAGCGCTTTGTTGCAATCTATTTTGGGATTGTTGATCATAGGATCCGTAACGTTGTGCTTGTGGTTGCTCGGCCTGTTGCAGTCCTTGTTCTATGTCTTGTTGTTGAGATGATTGAGCTTGTTCTTGAGCTTGTTCTTGAGCTTGCTCCTTTGGTTGGGTGTGGGCTTCTTGGTTGTCCTCGGCTTCTAACGACAAAGAACCAAACGAGATACCAACAGAATCAACTTGTTGTGAACTAGGCAAAACAACTTGTGGAGCTTGTGGGATAGTTGGTTGTTGTAAGGAAGCAGCTGCGTTTGCCTCTTGAAAGGTTTCGGTTTGTTGGAGTGGCTCACTTTCGGTAACTGCTGGTGCTGGTGGTTGGTTATCAACTTCGGTGGCTTCCTTGGTTGGTTGAGGTTGTCCGGATTCTTGAGGGACCTCTTGGCTCTCCACAGGCGGTTTTTGAATCTTGGTTGGCTTTGGCTTTGGCTTTGGCTTGGTCTTTGGAGTGATTGCTGATGCCCAAGAGCCTTGATTCAATGCAGGAATGCTTGCTTCCTTCAACGCTGGTTTGGATTTCTCCATAGGAGCCTTTTCTTGAGAGGGTTCCTCTACCACATCTTCTTGAGGTGCATCATCTGTGGGAACTTCAGCGCTAGGTTCGGGTTTCTCCTCGGTTTCCTTTGGTGTCTGTTCTGGCTGTTTCTGTGCCTTTGGCTTATCAGTGCCCAATGCCGCTGCCCATGAACCAGATGGTTCTGTCGTAGACTCTGTTTTAGAAGCTTGTGTGTCTTTTGCGGGTGCTTTGTCTGCCGACCTGATTGGCTTCTTTGTTGCCGATTGTTGTTGTTTCTTTGGAGGTCTGGTGGATGGTTTTGGCTTGCCCGAGAACTTTTTATCACTCGATGAAGTATGGGTTGTAGTATGTGTATTATTTACATTATTGGCAGCTTCTTCCTTTGGCTCCTTTTTCTTGAGTTTGTCCTTCTTGCTTGGTTCCCACCTGGAAACTTTATTGTTGACAATCAAATCAATTACGATCTCGAGAGCATTATTGTTTTCTTCAAGCAAGCCACTTAATTCATCAGATTCCCAGTCCGGGAACATTTCAACCAAGCTGGTCAATTCCGAAGATGTGTTATTGTTACCGTTGAACCTTTTCAGGTGGTTCTTGAAGGTCTTTCGATTCGATGACATTATTCTCTTTTTATGTGTATGTGTATGTAATATATTTTAAAGCAACGCTGTCTTGAAACCTGTCACGTTTGATACCTTTTGCGATGATTGATCAATGAATAAAACGGTCAAGTTGATAGATGCAAGCACTAGTTGTTTAAGTTGTAATGGTAAGCCTTTGGTTTAAAAAAAATTTTTTTTTTCAGCTTTTTTCTCAATCATGAAATTGTCCGAATGTCGAACGAGAGAAAGTTGAGTCGCAATGAATGACTTTTCAGAACTCGCCACAGTAGTACATACTGACGCATTGAAATCAAAGTTTATTTATTTTGCTCTTACTTTACTATAAAGGTGTATATGTCTAGAGCTATCAAAGAACTTGCTTCAAGTTATTGTCCACCCCAGCACTACTTGACTTTGTGATCATTGGATCGACGACGTCACTTGCAATGAGCCTGAATAATTTATAAATTAAGTTCTTTAGATCATCTCCAGTTTGTTTGAAATCGGGATAAGAATTTGCCTCTAATAAAAACACATTGTAATTCTCGTCCACCAAAAAGTCTACTCCGAATACTTCGATTGCATTCTCCAATGGTTGGAAATTCAACTTATCGACAGAGGTGGCTGCATTGAACAATTCTCCCGTTATTTCACACAATTGGTCAAATATTCTATTCTTGTCGCTGTGTGAAATTCCTTTCAACTTCCAAAATGGAACAACTAAAGGATCTTCTTCTTCTTGTAAGCAAGTATTTGTTAAGTGTCCGTTCAAATCAATCTCCCCTTCGGTAGCTGTCGGTTGCTTGTAGGCCTCTCCAGCAAATAGTGTCAAAATGTTCTTGTACACAAAGACTTTCAAGTTCCCTTGACAAACGACATAAGTTCTCAAATGGAACTTTCGGTTGTCATAAGCTGGAAGTAATAGGGGATTGGCAATATACTCTTGAACGATAAAGTGCCTCAAGTGGGATAGGATTAGGCCATTACCTTGTTTCTCTTCCCTGTCATCTTCATTGTCCTCCTCATCTTCATCGTCGTTATCAAATGCATTAAAGATGGCTTGCAACTGGTCCACCGTTTTGAAGATACTAATACCCTGACCTTTATCACTCATACTTGGTTTGACAATCCAAGTCTTATCTCCCTTATTTATGGCATCTCTTAATTCATAGGCCTCGTCGAGCGAGTCATCCAAAAATTCGGCATAATCAAGTTCCAATTGGTAATTCTCAGGCACAGCTTTTTTCAAAATTGAGTCAGGATGCTTGACAACATATTGATGTACAGTGTTTGCAAGATAATGTTTCCGTATCAATGCCTTGCGGTAAATATAGGAAGGAATAAAGTAGTTCTTGTCATGGATTAAATCGAGATTGATATCTTCATATTCTCCGTAATGAAACACTGGCTTCTCGGCTGGTACCATTTTAGGATCCGATATCACTCCATAGCCTAGTGTCTTGAAAGCCTGCACCAAAGGTTCATATACATAAACGTCTTTTGGAATCGTAATCAACAACGTCTTTGACGCGCTCGATGGCTCTTCTTTTTCATCAAGAGTCACTTCTCCCGACAAAGTCGATAACAGCTGGAAAGCCGCCTTCAAAGGTGTCACACTTATACCTTCCTCCAACAATATTCTACTATCAGTACGATTATGGTCAATAAGCCCATCCTTATAAACACGCTTGAAATCAGGCGTCCAATCAAACTGAATCTGTCCCTTGTCATTTAGAGTGTCACGTGTAGTATAGATTGACTCCCATTGATTTTGAAATATAGGTGCGTATTCAATTTTCGTTTGGCCGAGTTTGAGTGAGTCCACCAATGGTATGTTAATCGAGAACAAATCAATCTCGGGGTGTTGGTTAAGCTCAGTGTACAATTTTTTGATCAATTTAACAGAAATTTTAGCAGCTTCTTTCAACGTATTGAAGTCATGATCCATGCTATTGAACGCATAGCTCAATGCGATAGCTTTTACCCCATGAGTAACCGCCTCCATTGCGGCTCCAACAGTTCCACTTGCAAGAATGTATAGATTACTAGAATTCTTTCCAAAATTCGGACCACTGACAACCAAGTCAATCGGTTTGTTCTTGGAATGCCTGTATAAATGGTGGATACCTATATCAGCGCACGCTGCTGGTGTACTATTAACAAGACACCATTCTTGATATTCTTTGTCTTGGCTATATTTGGCAATCGGGTGATCGAAGGGACCTTCATATTTGTTTATATCAGGGTTAGCTTCCGCTGTAGAATATTTGGTATATATATAAGATGATACTAACGGTTTCCCTGCAAAGTGTGCCTTTCCTATCCACGACCTCTGCTGGTCTGGAATGACGATTGAAAGATCCCAGTCGGTATTTTTCTTAATCTCGTCAACCAAATATTTCATATACGGGCAGGAACGATCACTGATTGGCCCATCGTCATTTGTTAAAAGTACGTGCATTGGATCGCTTGAATTAAAAACACGGGAGTGATAACTTTTGATAACTGCTCCTGTAAACCCTTTCTGATGAAGGAGAAAAATCAACAAACGAAAAAAATCAACAGGACGATTTGAGTTGCAACAAAAATTTTTTTACCACTTACCAGCTTGATCAAATACTACCCAGTTAGGTGATTAAGAGAGATGTCGGTGTTCCTTGGCTCATCTTCGCAATACTCCTATGCCACTGTTGATCCAGAGAAGATCAAAGTAGCCGATATCCAATTCCAAGCCACGGCTCACACATTCAACAAATTATTACGAAGATGTGGATCGAAATGCCTTGTGCGTGAGTATGGAGAGGGAGAGCTAACCAAAGGAGAATCTGAATGTATTGACAGATGTGTTTCGAAATATATAAAAGCTAATCTAGTGGTTGGACAGCATTTTCAAAATCAAAGGCTAGATCCATTCAACAATATGCCTGAGTATAAGCAGGTGCAGAGTAGATTAAACGGAAGGGTATGAAAGTTGGTAAAATCTTGTACATAAAAAAAGGCACACTAAGCTGATCTGACATTAACACTCATTATATAAATTTTAGTTTATTTATACGACTATACTTTAAAATATAAATGTCAAATTTACAATTGATCCTTGGTGTGGAAGACTTCCAAAGCTTCGGTGATTCTCTTGGACATGGTCTTTTCACCTTCTCTAACCCAGACTCTTGGGTCAAAGTATTTCTTGTTTGGCTTGTCTTCACCATCTGGGTTACCAACAGGGGTCTTCAAGTAGTCTTGCTTCTTCAAGACGTAATCCCTGATACCTTCCAAGTAGGCATATTGACAGTCAGTATCCAAGTTGACCTTGACAACACCATTCTTGATGGCGGTGTCAAATTCCTTTTGAGAAGAACCAGAACCACCGTGGAAAACCAAGTACAATGGGTGCTTGTTGTCGGTACCAATTTGTTTCTTGGCGAATTCTTGGTGTTCACCCAAAATTTCTGGTTTTAATTGAACATTACCTGGCTTGTAAACACCATGGACGTTACCAAAAGCAGCAGCAATTGAGAAGTTTGGTGAAATCTTTGATAATGATTCGTAAACCTTGAAAACAGTTTCTGGCAAGGTGTACAACGATTCTTTTTGAACGTGTTCGTTGTTGACACCGTCTTCTTCACCACCAGTGATACCAATCTCCATCTCCAACCATTGGCCCATCTTGGCCATCTTTTCAAAGTACTTGGCACAAGTACCAATGTTTTCTTCGTCGGCTTCTTCTGAAAGATCCAACATATGGGAGGAGAACAATGGAGTACCGTGTTCAGCAAAGAACTCTTCATCGGCCTTCAACATACCGTCGAACCAAGGCAACAATTTCTTAGCACAGTGATCGGTGTGCAAAACAACTGGAATACCATAGATTGGAGCAATTGCTCTGATGTAGTGGGCAGCAGCAACGGAACCAGCAATCGAAGCTTCTTGGTTTTTGTTGTCAACACCCTTACCAGCAAAGTAAGCAGCACCACCTTGAGAAGTTTGCAAGATGATTGGAGCTTTGCTGTCTCTGGCAGCTTCTAAAGAAGCAACAACAGTCGATGACGAGGTGACATTGATGGCTGGGATGGCGAAACCTTTTTCTTGTGCATAGTCAAACAAGTCTTTGACATCTTTACCGTAGATGACACCGGATTTCTTTAATACTGCTGGAGGGGCCATTGTAAGATTATATATTTAGTAATTGATTAATATGAAATTGTTCTAAAATTCAATTGATTTGAAAAAAAGTAAATAAGATACTTGTTCTTATTTTTTTTTCGTTGGCAATGTGGGTGAAAATTCAGCTTCTTTTATATATAAACATATTTATTTATTATTTTATTCATTCATTCATTCATTCATTCATTCACTCGGGGCAGAAGAAAAAGAAAGCAGAAAAAAGTCTACGTATACAGGATTTCCTTACACTAAACCAAAATCACACGTTGATCTCTCATACATGCATTACTACTACGGACAAGAGAAGGACGTTAGAAGATAAACCTCGCTAGTTACTGCTCCAGCAATACAGTCACTCTTGAGATTGGGATTACCCGTCTCTCTATTCACTCTGATGTCTACTTGTTGTGCATATTCCCTTCTCAAGCCCAGCCTATCAATTGCACCCCATTTTGAATTATAATTGCTCCTCTTTTAAAGTGCAGGGAATCTATGGTAAATCTGGTAGTGTAACCTTGACAAAGTTGAAAAAAATGAAACATCACCAAATCTTTCGACGCAGTAGGGCTTTGTGTATTTACAAAAATATTTGTATGGGTTTCATTGCCCCGTCAAGCAAATGACATCAGAGATAAATCAATCTAAGACAAATGAGTACTGTATAAAAGCATTGTCGCAAACCAAAGCATCCATGATGTAACCACACGTAAACCCACCTATATCTTCAACCGTGTACTTCCAAAACACTCAACTCAGCTTGACTGCCCATGCCGAAACATGGGGTAAACACGGGACCTGACAGTTTCTATTATTATTTTTGTTTTACGCTTTGCATTGCTTGAAAAAGAGCAAAATTTCCGAAAACCGCCGGGATTTTGAGGCCCAGTGCTCCGTTGGCCCATTTTCAGTTTTCCTGCATATAATAAAACATATGTCAAGAATTGCAAACCTGGGTGTACAAGTTGACACATGGTTTCACAATAGAGGAAATGAAAGGTCGATGGTGCATCTGTAGCTGCGATTAATTGTGTGCAATTGCTCAAGACTGCTTGGTTAGGTCCTAGATCTGATGGATCTTAGTTGTGGTAGAAATTTCTCAAAGGAGAAAGGAAAAAAAAAGGAAAAATTATTCAACAGCGTGTAGTGATGGGCTGATCAGAGTTAACACTTCCTTAGATTGCAAACAATGGCCGACCCACTAACTACGATCGATGGATTCCCCTACTATCAATTCGATATCAAAAATCAGGATGAATTTAAACGTGTATCGGAATTGATTTCAACTCACCTATCCGAGCCATACTCGATATATGTTTACTGGTACTTTCTTAACAACTGGCCACAATACTGCTTTACTGTCAAAGACAAGCATCATATCATTGGTGTCATAATCTCTAAGCTCGAGCCACACAGAGGAGTTCGATCGAGGGGATATATCGGCATGTTGGTAATCGACCCAACTTATAGGAAAAGAGGCATTGCTAGCAATTTGGTGAAATTGACAGTTGACAAAATGGCCAAGGACAATGCTGATGAAATTATGTTGGAAACGGAGGTGATAAATAAAGGTGCTTTGAAGTTGTATGAAAGCCTTGGGTTTTTGCGAACAAAGCGGTTATACCGTTATTACTTGAATACACATGATGCGTTTAGGCTCATACTACCGTTGAGCGATAAGTCACATACAAGAATCGCGTTCCTACCGCCAGCTTAGCGTTTGGAAATGAAAGAGTTTCTGTCTGGTTTGTCGAGTATGCAAAATGGTAAAGAGAGCATGTGCTTGCACTTGTTTCTGTAAGTGATGATAGGCCAATACTATATGCAATAATAACATACTGCTCTCATTCCAGTATGTCCTTGCAAACACCTCAATTGCTGTGTGATGCATCCGTAATGTATAGTACATATAACAATAGAGACCTCAATATTGTCAAAAGTATAACTTGATATGTAGTTTTGTAGCACCGATGGTTCTCGCGCTCCACACGCTCCACACGCGTTAATGAAATTTTGCCATAACGTTTATATAAAAAAAAACTCGACGCGTCAGCACTTTTTTGCAAAATAAAAAAAAATTTACATTCAGCATCCCACTTTCCATTTTTTTTTATCTACGAAGCAGATACTCAATCACATCTAAGCAAATACTAATCATCATGTTGGAAGGAAAGTTTGATGAATCCACATTATTAAAGAAAATTGTTGACTCAATTAAAGATTGTGTCAAATTATGTAACTTCAACTGTACTGAACACGGAATCACTGTGCAAGCCGTTGACGATTCACGTGTGTTGTTAGTTTCCTTATTAGTTGGTCAAACTGCATTCAGCGAATACAGATGCGATAGAGATGTAACCTTGGGAATAGACTTGGAGAGTTTTAGTAAAATCATCAAGTGTGGTCAAAATGAAGATTACTTGACCTTGTTGGCTGAAGATAGTCCTGATAGTGTCATGACCATTTTTGAAGACAAGAAAAGGGAGAGAGTTAGTGAATATAGTTTGAAGTTGATGAATATCGATTCGGAATTTTTAAAGATTGATGATATGGAATATGATACTGTTATCAATATGCCTAGTTCTGAATTTGCTAAAATTGTTAGAGATTTGAAAAACTTGAGTGAATCCTTGAATATTATCGTTACTAAAGATTCAGTTAAATTTACTAGTGAAGGTGAAACAGGTACTGGAAGTGTGGTGTTGAAGCCTTACACCGATATGGACAGACCTGAGGAGAGCGTTAGTGTTCACTTGGATAATCCAGTTGATTTGACTTTTGGGTTGAAGTATTTGAATGATATTATTAAAGCGGCTAGTTTATCTAGTACAATCACGGTTAAGCTTGCTGATAAGACCCCGGCTTTGTTTGAATTTAAATTGGATGTGGGTGGATACTTACGATTCTACTTGGCACCAAAATTCGATGAAGATGAATAAGGTGGTTTAAATAGATTTAATAATTTTTAATTGTACAAACTGAATATTTTTTGACACGTAGAGGCATATTGCATATACGCTTATATATAGGTATAGTCTCATGTATCACGAGCTCTTTTTATCGTGCATTTCTTGCCCCCATTTGTAAAGATCATTCTTTAATCGATCTGCCCGCACCATACCATTTCTCAACTGGGTAAGGTTTTCAATATACTCGTGTTGTCTCTGTATACTGACTTGTAAATAATTGATAAGCTCCTCTTTTACGCCTGTTTCATCTTTAGCATCTAACTGATCCTGAAACGTTTCAAAACGTTTCACTGCGGTAGGTAATGCAAAAAAGGGGTCAGCTTGCTCTTCTTCCTCACTCTTGTAGTCGTTTGACGTGTTAGGGTCTTGACTTATGATTGATTTCGCCTTTTCCCTTTTCTTGGCAATCGATTTCTTTTTATCTTCATCTAGCCCATGATCGTAATCTTTTAATCCAATGTTTTCTTCCAACAAGTAAAACCAATCTTCACCATTCAACACTTGAAGCAACTTGTTTAACCAATTTAAATTGTTTTGTTCGAATTCAATCAATTCGATTAGCTCCATGGCTAATTTATTCAATGTTTTCAGTTGGTAGGTTTTGGATATGGCTGGATGGGTAACGAGCTCCAGTGGATGGTTGATTGGTGATAACAATTCAATTATGCGTGATTGTTTCAACGGGTGGATTCGATCTTCATCGCCATATTCATCATCATCAGACCATTCAGCATCATCTCCATCCACGCCGTTGTTATTGTCGTTGCTGTCATTGTAAAACTCACTCCACTTTCTTTTGTTTCTCATATTACCACGTTCTATTGAATGATTAGTCAACACAGTATATTTATCACCATTATACTCTACTGCTTTACTATTAAGACTGTCTAATGATGGATGTTGGAAAAGTAGCTTGAGACCACGATTATATATAGGAAGCGTGTCGTTGGCTTCAAACGTTGTTGCAGTTTTTGTCGATGAATTTGTGGAAACGCCGTCTGGACCTAGCTTGTTTCTCGTAATGAGAGCGTCCTTAAACTGTGCTATTATTTCCAAAGATTTGCTATCCATTTTGCTGAAGTGATTGGGGTTGCTTATCTTGGGCGAGTTGTTCTACCGTGTGTATATATGAATGTGGTTGACTGAACTTTGTTGTGAGGTTTTCAGAGAATTTTATTTTTGTGTTGAAGTTTTTTCTCATCCATTGCAGAGTTGCAGAGCCTCGGAAAGCATGCAAGAGACGTTACGTAATGTAGAGAGTATACAATGAGTTAAGCTGGGAGTATGATGACAGGTATTTCATCTATTAATCAAAAGAGGACTATGGTCATTTACAAGGTGTGCTAGAGGAGTATTATGCAGGCAACACAATATAAAGCATTACTTCCAGCAGTTTTGCTGGTGGTGCTCTTTATGTTTTCCCAAAGAAGCATTGGAGATCAACATATTCAAAGACACTTCGATCGTAAACCATTTAGTAATGACAATGCATTAACTACCGAAAGCCTGCTCTGCGTCTTTCTCCTTCATTCGACTCAGACATCTTTGCTTTATATCGTACAAGTCAACCACACTTCTCTCATGCTTCTTCCCCAACCGTTTTCGCCTATTAGTCAGCTGCAAATCCTGTTTCATTGCATCTCCTACTTGATCCAAATCAACTGCAAATAATCGGGCTCCCAAATTGCACAATTGTAGGCAATGATGCCAATCACGTAAATAATACGCCTTTTCACAAGCATGGAGAAGTTTAGCACTGTCGACTTTGTTTTCTATTGGGTTGAGTTTGTCCAAATCTTCGTAAAGCCACGTTTCGGTATTTATTTGGGGTCCCGATGATCTCCAAAGCGAAAGTTGGTGGGCGTATTCTTCAGCAGTTTGGACTTTACGCTGCTTCGGCTGTGGCTTCTGTTGTTCTTGTTGCTGCTCTTGTTTTTGCTCCAGCTGTAAGGACTCTTCATTGTTTTCTAGCTCCAGCTGTAGTGGTGGTGGTAATGGCGACATAGGAGGAGATGGCTGGGATGGCAGACGTGGTGGTGATGATGATGATGAGGAGGAGGGAGTTACCGCTTTCGACGAGATTGGACTTTTCGGTACATTGCTCATACCGTAGGATCGTATATAGATAATGTGTTTTATTATTTTGGTTCCCCTTAGGTTGTGCATTTTTGTTTTAACGCATCGCAAAGAGGAAAAAAAATTGTAAGACCAAAATAGATTTCAATCTTTTTGGCTGAAGAAACAACTCTGTTTTACAAGAAATATGAATTTAGACAACGATCCCCCTTTCTTCCAGCCAAAGGGCAGAATCCAGTGAGACCCTCTGTGGCTGGTTGTTACAAAAAAGCCATTTTATCCTATACTAAGAAGCATACTTTTTGTCGTTCTTTTATGTAGCGTCGAATACGAACATGAGGTTTACGACGCTGAGAATAAATAGGGACTATATAAAACAATTTACGGAAATGAAGTCAGGTAATCCCTTTTTCCAATTATTACATTGAACCCTTTTTTTTTAATAAGAGTTTTTCTGTTTTAGTGGCAAAGATTTGGTTTGCAAAGCTTGCAAAAAGGTGTTCTTTTATCGATATGGTATTAAAATCACGGACACAATAGATACCTTAGGTATCAACCATGCACCTCTTTTTGGTTCACAGAGTAGCTTATTGAGCTAGCCCGATGACCTGGTAAAGCACATGTAACAGGCCCTTGCAACTTACTCAGGGAAATGTTGATCTAGATTGGAAGCATTTCCGACCCGAGTCAAAACACTATTATTTAACCGAACATGCAATGCTGGTTATACCGCATTGCAACATGGTTACAATTACTCACGGCGACTAAATTCACTTGCACAAAAATAAATTTCGCTTTTCTAGTGATTCGGCTTTATTAAGAAGTAAGAGGACGACAATAAACGTGGGTACAGCGGGAGAACTTAATTTGCTTCGAGTCGACGTGAATGGGATGTAATTAAAGAGTAAAATTACCCAAACCAACAAATTAAAAAGCTTTCAAAACAAAAGAAAGCGGCAATGGACGTCAGTAATTGAAAGGGGTCTATGGTATTTCCGCATTTCCGTTTTTTATTCTTATTATATACATGTTTTGTGTCATTCGTGGCTATGCAGACTTTCGTATACTATTAACTCCAATATGATATGCACAGTTGATAAAAATTATGAAATATTAATAAACTTTTCTTCTCCTTGTTTTTGTATAAGTCCGACCTCTCAAACATCATAGTTCTATATCTACCTCCTTTACGCCACCCAAAATTTACCTTACATATTGCGCTTGCTCTATTTGGTTGTCTTTTCTTATGATGTTGATGTCGTGTCCAAGTCAAAAAATGAAGATCTGCGTAAATTCGGTAGAAAAAATAAAAAACAGAAAAAGAATGGAGAGAACAATAAGACTTCTAAGCCCAAACTCTTCGTTTTCGTCTTCTGCTTTTTCTGTTCTCTGTCTACCTCGTCTTTTTCAGGGGCGCGAAAAATTTAATTTAAACTTAATTTTTTTTTCCTTCTTCTTCTTCTCCTAAAAAAAAACAAAACAAAGGAATGTTGTACAATAGTACACTACCTTTTTTCGATTTGTCCGACTTTGCTGTTTGTTCGCCTGGAATGAAGACAATAATTAATAAGACAAATAAGCAAAAACAAAAAAATTCAGGGTAAAAAACTTATATATGTATTGCTACAGCTAACTGCACATCTACTTTCTTCTTTTATTCATCATTAGAACAATAGCTCTGTTCTAGGACGGTGCTTTTCTATTTTATTCTATTTTTATAAATAAAATTGTCAATTGTAAGAGAGAGACGGGTAAGCGGTTAGTCTCTAATAGACGAAAGATCCGAGCAATTATAGTAAGTAAAATACGTTTCGTATATTCTGCATAATAGCAAAAATAGGAAGGACACGGTTATAAGAGATAAAAATGTCCATTACCACATGCTCTATGCTATGCGAAGCAATGCAAAAGCCTTGTGTTTGGTTTAGATTGCTATTAGACTAACTTTTTTTCTCTTCCTCTCTCCAGCCTTGAAGCCTCGTATATGTACTGAAAAAATTACCCCTATTACTTTCAATACAGCAAAGTTCTAAATACCAAGGCTAAAGAGACACTAACTATGCTCTGCCTTCTTTGCATTTTAATGGAACGATGTGCATACCCTTTCAGTAACACCGAAAGGTAATACATAACAATTGTTGATTGGGCATGTTTTAGCCTTTGACTATTAATATTTTTGTGTTTTGTGAACCAACAAACAAACAAGCATTGCCTTGATCGTAAAATTCCATTGTTAAATACTTTTTTGTTTTTATTTGGACGATGGGTGTGGTTGGGTAACAAAAAATAAAAATTTACGCTTACGGATAAAAAAAAAACTTCTTCTAATGTTCCTGAATGGGGGAGAAAAGAAATTACAATAAAATTGTTTTTCTAAGTTGTTAGAGCATAGTAACAGAGAGTACTACTATACTAACTGAATAATTTTGGGTCATGGTAATCGGCTGTATGGCAGATACAGTTATCTCTTACTCTCTTATTCTCTTACTCTTTCTCTTACGAACTGTGTTCTTCACCTTACGTCATTATCTCCATAGTACAAAAATAGAAAGTTTTATTTTTATTTTATTTTTAATTTTATTTTCTTATTTTTTTTATATTTCCATTTTTGTGTTTCTATTCTATTTGTCTTATATAAAATGATATACGAAATGAAATTGGAAATTGCCGAATCATAAAAATTTAAAACCAAACAAAGAAAAAATTCACAGCATCAAAGCATTTGCCCTTTTTTCTTCATTAAACGTCAGTTAGCCTTTCTCTTTTAGATTTTACCAAGAGACACATAGTACAAAGCATTTTGGAAAGAGGATTATATCTCTTACACTACACACCAGTCACCAATTGTTAAGACAAAAAGAAATAGTTTTGTTTCAATTTGTCCAACTTCAAGCAACGTTAATCACCATTTCAAAATACAAAACAACAGAGTATTTATCATGGATGTGTACCAAAGAGCATTAAAGAACCCAGATCCACCAAAAAAGCCAACTACACACTCAAAATCGAATCTGTTGGAAAGCGAGCCAAAAGTCTCATTTATTCCCGGGGTACCAAGCATTAGTCAGTTGCATCAAGAGCTGCGGCTACAACAAACTCTACAGCCATTACCACCTCTTATACAGCCTCAACAACATTTAAATACCATAGTACCAACGTTTCCTGCTCAACAACTGGCCTTTCCTCCGCAACAATCTCAACCAACATCACAGATACAGACACAGTTTGTGCAACCGCAGCCGCTGCTACAAGTTCCTAACCAAGGGAATATGCAGCCACCGCATACTATCTCGCCCAATAACTCAGTCACCAGCATATACCAAAAGAGGTCGCCAGTGCTAACAACTGCACTCAATCAACAACCAGAGCAAAACCAACAACAACAACAACAACTGGTGCTGCTGCAACAGCACGCTCAATTAAAGCATGATTTCTCGTCAAAGAAAAAGAGAAATTCACGCCGTAAGCATCGCAATTCTCATCTTGGCTGTGGTACATGCAAAAAGAGAAGAATAAAATGTGATGAGACACTACCATCCTGTCTCAACTGTTTAAAGGGGAAGCTTCACTGTGCTTATTTGAACCTCGATAATCATGCAAGAAGTGCCTTACGAATGGCTCAGTATAATCAAAACATGAGACAGGAGAGATCAGAGACTGACAATCTTACTGATGAACAACAGCAACAGCAACAGCAGCAGCAAATAAACCCCCCACTAATTCAACAGCAATCGCAGAACGGCCCAATTCTTGCATCAGTACCAGGTGCACCACCACCGCCGCCACCACCTGGAGTGCCATTAATGGCCAATAGCGGTTCTTTTATCACCGTGCAACAACCGATCGGTCCAGGTCTAGGACCAGGACCAGGCGCCAGCTCAGCCATGCCTTCTACGGCTGTAATGCAGTCACCTTATGGCCCAATATCATTGGTTCCTGTATTGACCAACACTGGTGCCGTTGTATATGCACCCACATCAACTTTGGCAGGTGTTGAACCAGTTTCTCACCAGTCTACACCAACGCCATCAGTGCAACTATCGACACATGCACAGCAGCCACTATCCCAGCCATCTATTCCACTACCACCACAACAACAACAAAGGCCAAATTCAATACGTGGAAGGGTGCCTTCAGTTTTATCAGCATCATCATCAGCAGGCCAAGATACCTCAGTCAAAGTTCCAGCATCAGTGTCTCCATTGCAACAAAATCAACGTCAACGATTGCCATCATTAACGCCGATTACTTCAACAGCTGCCAGCGCAGCAACTTTGGCGTCGCAAAATATACTGATTAAACCAAAACAGCAACAACGAGATGACCAGCAGCATCCTTCCAACACTGATATCAGGTTCCCACCACTCCCTCTCGCACCTATCTCAGTGCCTAGCATCAGTGTATCTAAATCAGTATCATCATCAGTCTCACCTTCAATCAAGTCCGATTCTGAGTTTGTTACCACGCTGAACACAGCGCCTGTATTGTCGCCAATATCAATGGCGAATGACGGTACTAAAGGTGGCCCACTGGCAACGTCTGATAAATCGCCTATCCTTCCAAGCATTTCGCAAATCACGGGACAACAGTCAACCAGATCCCCACCTGGAAGTGCTGGCAATACACCTGCAACTATGAATCTGTATCGAGAAGACCGTGACCGTGACCGCGCTTACACTCGTTCTGAAGCAAACACAGCCTCAGTTTCAAGATCAAGGTCACGCTCACCAACACGATCACATTCTCGCACAACAAGCCCCCAATCAACGGTGCCAAATGCAGCGAATGCTACTATTACTACCACTACTTCAAATGAATCAAATCTAATTCCGAAACTGGGATCGGTGTCTAATTTTGGCTCCCTAAGTATCAAAGAAGAGGAGATTAGTAAAAATGGCGAATTGCTGAAGTTGCCTAAGACTGGTGTCGATGCTGCTGCTACTGCTGCCGATAATGGGTTGCAAGAGGAGAAGGTGTCAATATCGAAATTGATAACTTAATGAAAATAACAATAATGTGTATCTACGAGCACAGAGAGTGGTGTGTGTATGCGAGAAGCATTTATTTAAAACTGTATTAGGACCGTGTGCATGTACTAAGAAAGATGTAATGAGTAACGACGGATGATATTTTATTTAAAGAGTGCAAAGTGAATGTAGTAACAAAAGTTAGAATCGTGCATCAGGTGGGAATCGAATCGCGAAAGGGTAAAAAAAGACGCCACAAGTCCTACCCACTAAGCACGATTGAAAATTTTATAATTTTATCAAGTCAGAGTGGCTCTTTATGCTAATGAACGGATTTTAAGTAACTTTTATTAAGGAGCATCGTGGTCTTTTTGGTCAAACTATGGGCTGTTGGGTTGACCAATTGAGCCGCTTACTTGGTAGACAAAACAACGCTAATGGGAACTGCTCTCTCTATAACAAATATAATACAATGTCTAGATTATAAGTCACATCGTCTCATCTAATTTGCATTAACTCTATACATCTCCTACTTATTTGCCTCCTTTATCTCCACCAGCACCGCCAGCCGCAGCCGCAGCAGCCGCAGCTTTCTTAATTTTCTTCTTATCATCAACCTGTTCAACCTTGACATCCTCCAACCCTTGTTCCTTCAACAACCCCTCAATATACGCTTTTGCTTCATCACTCACATCACCCTGAACTAAAATCTCATCCAATTTCTCGGCATTCTTGGTGACACTAGCACCAGTGGCGAATTTCGATGCAAATGTCTTGGCCAATTTTTTGGAATCAATGTTAAACACCTCTAAACCGGATATACTAATAATGTGTTTCCTCTTGTTTCTTTCAATTCGCTTAATGATGATTTTCGAGCTCAATTTCTTGGCTAATTCCTTTTGTTGTTTTAATTCTTCCCTGTGTTGCTTCTTGGCTAAGTCTTGTTGGATCTTGTTGTTCTGATCAATGGAGAGCGATGAGGTTGCTGCGGCAATGGTGGACACAGGATCTCCTCCTCCTCCTGCTGCTGCTGCTGTTGACTCTGATGAGGTGGTGGTGGTATTGGCAGTGGGGTAGAGTTTAGAGTAGAGGTCAGCGTGATTGGATTGGAGCCATTGTTGGCATTTAGCTAATGAGATGCCAAATTCACAAAATTCAGGTGGGTATGAGCATACTCCACAGTATATTATCTTCTTTGGTTCTATTTCTGACATGTGTGGGTTTGTCGTAACGGGTAGTTGCTGGAATAAACTGAATTTTCATCAACCTCTTCACAGTAATTTTTTTTTCCTTTGTTGAGTTTGTCTCTGTATGCACGCCGTATTCGCAAAACAACCAAAATGTCTATAAAGATACTACCTCTCATTATTAATATATGTATATTATATTAAACACTCTTTTCTCTACATATTTGAATTACAAACTTCAAAACTTCTAGCGGGCCTGCTATCCTCTAACTCCACACATTTCCATAAACTCCTCGTCAACAAAATCTTATCATCAATGATTTCATAAATCTTACTCAAATAAAACCAAACTTCACAATTGTTGGCTCCCACTGGCCAACTCAAAGAATACTGTTCTAACATATTCTTCAATCTAATGATTGCCGCATCCATATCCTTTGTCGAAATGAATAAACTCTTGGTCGACACATCATCAATAAGAAACAATTTTGCCAATCCCAAGATGGCATAACCAAATTCAATTCTACTGTATTTATCACTGCATTGCAAAATTTCCAATGTCCGTTCATATTCTTGCAATGATAAGAATTTCTTGGTCTTGGAACTCAATTGTCCCGTAGCTATAAATGTCTTGATATTGGGTTCGTAAATGGACTCAGCTTCAGCGATACATTGTTCACACTCATCGTATAAATCATTCTTCAAAAACACGCGTGCTGTCCAGAGCCACAACTCTTGAAGCAATTTACGTTCAAGAATGTTATCCCTTGGAGTAGTGCGGTGTGCTGAAGGGATAGAACGCTTCACTGGGGCTGGTGCTGCCACAGAAGCAGCGTTTGATGGCAGTAAACCGGTACGGGAAGGCGATGGCGACAATGGCTTTTCTTGTACGCCATTTCTCAGATCATTGCCGTTTTTAAAAAACTCGGGCTTCTTAATACGTGATCCAGGACCTCCACCACTACTACTTGTCTTTAACGATGACTGCGACACAACCGAGCCCCTTCTTGCTGTCGAGTCGGGTCTCGACATTGGATTGGGAAGTGACTTGGGCAATTTCGAAAGTCTTCTTAATCGATCAACCGTGTGGCTCCGTTTCACATTTGAGCCATTGGATTCGTTAATAACGGAGCCGTTTTGCATAGCTATTGGGTTAGTCTTTGCCAGTGTGTGGGAGACAGAGTAAGCGGCATTGGTTGGAGAGCTAGCTCGTGCTGGTGGTGCTCGTGTTGACCCAACATTTTGTAGCTCAGCAGCGTCAATAAAGCTTGGTCTGTGTGACCATTTTTCATTAGCACCAAAGTTTCGTGATGAAGCAAAGCCGGCACCGTTGTTAGATGTATCAAATGAGACTTCGAAAAGTTCATGATACAACACAAATACCTCCGAGATGAAATCCATCATATATTGTGATCCATGGATCGATTCCAATACTGCCAATTGAGTCAATTTCAATTGCATGATTTCGTATTTGGCATCAGTAGACAATCTAATGTCTCTTTCCTTGTGCTTTAAGATGTACAATCCGGAAATATTTAACGCCTTGTTGATGAATTTCTCAGGTTCTCTAATCTCCAACTTTGGTGGCATATAGCCACTATCAACTTGTTGGTCAATCCCGTTTATATCACCATTTGCCTTACTAACATCATTAAGTAAATTTTCAGGTAGTATATTATCATTGAAACTTGCTGGTTTATTGGCATCGTCGTCATTATTGTTGAATGATGTAATCAACAACACCAAAAGATTCCACGTTTTGAACGATTCGGGGTACCGTTTCAAAATAAATTTACACAACTTTAATGAAGGTTTCAATTGTCCAACATTTGCCAAGGCTAATGCGTAATGGAACAAGTAAACTACATTACCAGTTGAATTGACAATCAATGAGTTTTTGTAATTCTTCAACACTTGTGCCACATGGCCATCAAGAATTTTTTGATTAGTTGATTCGCACGATGACAAGTAGTAGTGGTAGTAACCGATTGAGTGCCATGCTTTTGAAATCAATTCGATAAATTGAGAATGGTCTGATTGCAACACATTTAAATTGTATTTGCGGTACAAAAATGAAAGTGGGTTTCTATCACCAGCATAATTTTCATCATCATAACTCAAATCAATCAAATCGTCAAATTTCGCCATATAATCTTGCAACTGTTTAACATATCTATGTAATTGTTGCAAAACAATAGGTTCGTCGGTGAATTTGAATTTTGGATTAGATTTAAATGACTTGAGTGGATTGAAATGAATGATACAAGTACTGAATGTGTCAATAATGGCTAAAATGTCCTCAACGTGACCACCTTTTAACTCTTGGTCTTTTTCCAAGTAGTCAATATATGTATTGAATGCAGCCAAGGCTTCATCGTACTCATTTAAGTCAATCAATGTGTAAATAAAATTAGAAATGACAATTCTACTTTGATATGTCTTTTTCATAGCATCAACCAAGAATTCTTTTGACAATGACGGCTTGAAAATGGCCAAGTTGAATGGCACATAACTCAATGATTCGTACAAGTTGTTGGTAAAGTCATTAACTTGAGTATTTTCATCACTGGCATCCGGAAATTGAACTCTCAGGTGAATGCATTCATTGATATCAACCACCAAGAACTCAGTATATTCCAGTTTAAAGTTTCTATTAATGAGTTTAGCACTTTCTGGGCGTAAAAGAAAATTAGCTAAGGCGATAATCGCCACTTTATTTTTGAAAAATGGTAATTTGGTCAATTGGTTGCCAAATGATAACTGAATAGTACGATTTTTAGTTAATACAATAGCAACATTACCAAGTAACAAGTCCAACCAGTGATTTGCGGCCACTTGAGATTTAGAAAATGGTTTCGTATAATAATTTAAATAATCAGTCCAGATTGATAACCCATTCTGATTACTCAACCCTAGTAAGACGTAGTATCTAGCTGTCAAATACTGAATAAATTCAAAGACACTAGTAGACACATTAAGATTTTTGCTCACTTGAAAAGTCACTTTGATTGATGTGAGCAATTTGTTCATTTCACGAATATTTCCATCAAGAAATAGTAAATGAGCCATCAATACCGTGTAATATAAATTACTTTCATAGCTTCTTGTTGACTTGTGATAATTTGAGTTGATTGAGGATGTGTAGTTTATCAATTGAGCTAATTTTTCCTTTGGTGAGTAAGTTCCATCATTCGAGGAGACTATATCTTGTACTGATGATAACTCTTCGCCATAAAACTCATTTTGTACTAGTAACTTCAACTGGTAGTCTATAAACACCAATTGTTGAAACAAGTCTTGACTGTCTTGAAATTTTAATACATTTTTTGGGTAACAACCAAAATTGATGGCTTTGACATACTTTTCGTTCTCCGAGTTTTCAATTAACATGATAGTTCAATTAAATGGTTGTGGTGTATAGCCATGCACTAGATGTTCCTTTTGTTGTTAACGATGTAGCACTAAATTTTTATCGTATTTTCGTTGATTTTTGGTCTCCTTGAAAATATATTGTTCACAAGAAATGTTCTGGCTCAAGGGGTGATGCGCTAATAGGCAACTGATGTAGACTAGAAACTTGGATGTATCACAAGTGTGAAAGTGGAGATCTGTTTTGCAATTAGCCTCGGTGTATATCTATAACCACAATGGTGACTAACGTGGTGGCTAATGGTTTCTATCGCACTAGTTACTTTGTTGTAATGGACACCAACACACACAGAGAGAGACTGACTTTAGTTGGGGGAGGGATGTATTTGAAAAGAACTGGTTGGTTACCTCTGTTTAAAATTGTGAATAAAAAGTTGAAATATTTTTAATTTTATTTTCCCCAATTAATTGAATGAATTTCTTGTTGTTGTTGTTGTGTTTGTATAAATGGTAGAGTATGTATCTCTCTCACTCTAAATTGTTTGTGCGTGTGCTTGTGGGTTAAAAAATAAAAATATATATATATATAATTTGGTAGCGTTCCATGTGAAAAATTGAAAAGTTGTACAATTTATTCCCTAATTGAGTAGCATACACGTACCAGACATTAAAAACTCGAATTCAAATGTACATCAACTTAAAATGGTATGTGTCTATCAATAAAAGGTGGAGAACAAGGGGGCTGAAAAGATAAGTAACTCACTCTATTTTACTTGTTCCTTGAAACATATACAAACGTTTCTTCAAACACGCCAATATTTTCTGCGTCCCCTCATTTCACGTTGAGACACACACATTAACAGACACACTTGGCGATTTTTCCTAATCATTTAACCATCTACAAAAGGCTTTTTAATACCAGATTAGTCATCGAGTTACCTTTTTAAACGCGATTTACAAACTACACTTTCTCATCATTTCTTTCCTTGACTAATCCTTGCAAGGCTGAATTTAGTTTCACTTTACAATCATTGTCTTGCAAAAAATGATTCATCTCTCAAGAGCTTGATTGTTTCACATGTTGACGCCTTAAACAAAGCCTTTCATTGTTGTCTTATCTATGTATTTGCCCCACCTCTTGCCCTTACCTTTCATCCTCGCTAACACATGCAGACATCTGCTATTGTTTTTGAAAAACACATGGATCGCACAGCATAACAACTCGATCACAAAAAGTAGAAAAAGAAAGGGTGTACTGACTCCACTTTGGCTTAATTCCGACTATCTCCGTCGTAGAATTATTTTGTGTCCTAAATCTCGTAAATACTCGCAACCATTTAAGTACTACATCTCCAACTACATATATGCCTATCTATCAACACCTTTCAAATACTTTATATAAGCCAGGTAAGTCAGCAATCTGAATCACATCTCTAGCGAGATTCTTTGTTGCTAAAAATTGTTTCTTAATCTCAGGAAACAACACATTTTCCAAATCATGTTCTAATGATTCTCGTTTAGCCACCACTTCAGCAACACCTTCTATCTCAAATCCATCATCTCCATCTTCTTCATCCTCAAATGGTTCGGGGATATACAATAGTGCAATTTGTCTCAATATCCCATGCAAACATTGCTTTTCGTTTTCATAGTTGATCTTTGTACCTAATCGATACAAAAAATACGAAAGTTTTCTAAAATCAGGTTGGATATTTTGCATAATCATGGGAATTGTTGTAAGATTATTATGTTGATCAATCTTGATTTGGAAATATTCGTCAAACATATCCCTCATTTTCATTATACTTGCAATAACCTCATCCATGGGGACTAGCTCATTTTCTCCTTTAAGTTGGTACAATGGCTCCAATATGCTTTGTAGACTAATTGGTTCATCAAATTGTATTTCACCATAATTGCAAAACTCATGCAATGCAACTTGATAGTAAAACTCTAATAAAACAGCAGCATAGTCACATAAATATAGTTTAACATCATATTGAAAACAGCATAACCGTTTAGCTGGATCAATAACACCCACAAAAACTGCTTGGTTGAATACATTGGTTAATGGCCTGTCAATAAAGTCACACAATTCATTTTTCAATGTACTAATAGATTCAAGGTTGACTTCCACTTGTGACCTACTTGGGTTGATAGCTGTCGTAGATACATCTGGCTCATTAATTACTGTAGCATCTCGCACCGCGACTTCATCTTCATCTTCTACTTCTTTTGCTGGGGGCTTCTCGCCTTCAATTAATTCATCATCAATACTATTCAAGATCCGACTAGTGGGGTACTCTGCTTGTAAAAAAGGATTAATCTGGGATTGATTTGCATCAATCCGCACCAATTTATTTTCCTGTCTATATTTCTTCAATGGTTGATTCCTAAACTCATCTAAACTCTCCTCATCCCCCAATTCAAAACTTCGTTTGGAAACAATACTTTGCGTTTGAAATTTCCTTGACGTATCAAAGCTCGACAATATACCATGCACTTTCCCCACAATCACATCAATAATTTCATCTTCATTCAAAAATCTTACTTCTCTTTTAGTTGGATGCACATTAACATCCAAATTCTCCGGTTTAATTTCTAGACTAATGTAGAAAAATGGATAACTTCCCTTGGGAAGGAAAAACTGGAAAACAGAATTAATTGCTCGTTTTAGTGGATCACAGGAAACCAATCGATGGTTGATGAATATAATCGGTTGGATCTTCTTTTTGTTATTATAATTGGCATTAGTTATAGCACCAGTCGCTTTAATTAAACCTAAATTCAAAGCATCATCTACACTGCTACCCCCTTGATTTGGCTCTGTGGAATCAATGGCGATATCCAACAACTCATTAGCAATAGCTGAGCCATAAACCGTCCGTATCCTCTCCTTCAACGGCATGTTTCCTCTGGTATTCAATTGATGCAAAGGATCACCAAATTTCTTGCAACTAAATCCAACATGTTGTGTGTGAACTCCATATCGGCCCACGACATCCAATATCTTGGCAAATTCATCGCTTTTCGACTTTAGTCCCTTGAATCGCGAAGGCAAGTTGTAGAACAAATCTTCCACTGTAATTTGTGTGCCATCTCGACCAGCGATTGGCTTTGGCTGTGACTTACCATCCACCGACGACTTAAAACTAGGTGTACATAGTTTCCCATCTAAATAGAATGCCTTGTACGCCAATTTAGACTCTCGCGTCTTTGTCGTTACCGATAATCGAGATATATGTGATATACTACTCAAAGCTTCGCCTCTGAATCCATATGTAGCAATCAGTTCCAAATCTTCAAACTTGGTGAGCTTGGAAGTAGCAAATCGTTCACATAAAAGAGGTAGGTCCTCCTTATTGATTCCTTCGCCGTTATCAGTAATTTGGAGTAGCTTGAGTCCACCTTCTTTGACAACAATTTCGATATTGGTTGCTTTTGCATCGATTGAGTTTTCCAACATTTCTTTCAATGCATTAGCCGGTTGAATGATTATCTCACCAGCAGCTATCTTGTTGATAACTGACTCGTCTAGCTTCTTTATCGTTTTTGAATCTGACATTTATCGATACTATGGGCTTTACCTCATTGGAGAGTAGGAGCTGCTGCGCAAAGGCTTTTTACCTTTTGCGACTCCAACTTGTATCCCACGCGCCAAAGCAAAAAATAAAAATAATAAAAATAGAAAATCGCGTCGTGCGTTTTGATTGAATTTTGATTTTCTTTTCTCTTCTAGACTAAAAAAGTAGGACTCAGGAGTCATCAAACATCAAACATTGTCTCACTCCCACTAAGGCGTCCATCTATACCATTCTGATAACCGTTACCCATCCACATAATACAGTCCAACATGTCTACTGTCCAAACCCAGACTGCCCTGGTAAGGAAGACAAAACTCACAAAACAAGATCACCTTGGTGCATACAACAAATTACGCCAACGGATGAAGAATCAACTCAGACTAGCTGCTAAAGGTGAAGGATCAGCTGAATCATTAAGTAATATAGAAGAATTGAAACGGTTATATAATGCCTTGGAGAAGGAAAAAGTACGAGATACAAAGATCCATCTTGAGGATTCAGAAGTGTTTAAAGAAGCCTCGAATTTTGCTGCTTTGAATGCTCGTAATTTACGGTTTGGTGAAAGTGGAATTGCCTTGGATGAAAGAGATGTTTTGAAAAGGTTGCGCAAGTATGCTGCTACTGATAGTTCCATATTGAGTGATATTGCCAAGACAGATGAAAATGACGCTGATGTGGGAGGCTATGATGATGATGATGATGGCGATGATGGCGACGATGAGCTCATTACTGATGAGTACACGTTTAACAAAGTCAACTGGTTGAAATTAGGGGTATTGTACCAACAACTTAGTAGGAAGCCAATTCTGATAGATTTCCTTAACGGACCTTTGGCGAATGAAAAGAAGAGAGCCATCACGAGGACAAGAAATGTCGATGACACCAAGGGTGGTCGATCAACAACTGCCAGGAACGTTGAAGCTAGTGATATCTTACAGGATGAGGAAAAAAACACTGCCTACATGGTGCGACTAGTCTATGACAAATACTTAAAGAAGCAAAATGATGAAGACATTAATTTCTTTAGATTTTTCATAAACCCTAAATCATTTGCTCAATCAGTGGAGAATCTATTTTATACCAGTTTTTTGATCAAAGATGGAAGATTGAAGTTGTATACGGGTGCACTGGGGGTTCCTTGTATATCTCGTGTCAACCAAAAGGAGCTCGAACAAATCAAATTGGATAGTTCAAACATATTGTCGTCACATCACATTGCCACTTTTAATTACGATGTGTGGCAACATTTTATAGAAGAGTTGGATATTAAGGAAGCGTTTTTGGGCCATAGAGAAGAAATAGAGGATCAAATTCCTGCTGAAGATTTATTTGAGGATTTTGGTGATGCCGAAATATCATTTAATAATAATGAAGCTGATACTACTTCTAGCAGTACTACCACAACCCCAAGTTTCGATGAATAGAATTTTGCTTTTTTTAATTTCCCTTAACGATATTTACATGCTATTTTTGTCTATGTACAAAACTCTATTTAATATTTACAAACTCTATTAACCTCATCTTCATCTACGTTGGTCCATGAATCAACGGTTGTCAACTCATCCAAGGGCCATTTTCTTAATGGCGTAAAACTTAAATCCGTTTTCAATTGTAACTTCTCAAATATCTCCATCCCCGCCAACCCAATCATGATTGCATTATCAGTACACAATGATAAATCAGGGAAATGAAACTTGAATGGATCAGGACCAATTTCGTCAAATTTCAAATCGCGAAAAAGCTTTTCACGAAGTCGCTTGTTTGCAGCCACACCTCCTGAGCACACAAAATCCCGAACACCGACAAGCTTTCCATCAGCTGTACTTTTACGAAGTCCATGGGTTTTTAATGCTAGATTGATCCTATCAATTATATGATCAAATACAAACTCTTGCGTCTTGTAAGCAATCATTCGCTTAGTCTTTTCGTCAAATTCACCAGAACTTCTGTCAGAAATGTAAAATTTCTTTTTATACTCTTGAATATTGCTTAAAAATTGGGCAAATGCAAATTGAATACCCCCTTCATTGAACTTGCCATTTTTGGGCGTTTGATAGGGCAACGTCAATCGAAATTTATACTTATTACCTATTCTCGTGTCAACATTCATGGCTTCAAATTCGTCTTTTTCAATTTGGGGTATATTGTTTATAAATGTTTCCAACTCTCTACCCAACATGTTACCATACATTCCCAATTCTCGGGCACACTTGTCTAATGAATCACCCACAGCTATATCACTGACATTGATAATGATTTCATGTTCCGATATTGACTTCAGCAACACAAGTAAGGTGTGGCCGCCACTGCATAGTAAGCTCAAGAACGGAAATTGTGGTGGGTTAGCATGCGGTTGTTGAGAAGACTGCGGGAGGAATGATGTCAACAAGTGACCCAACATGTGGTGCACTCCAACCAAAGGCACATTCCAAGCCACGCTTAACCCCTTGGCAAACTCAGTTGAGCTACTAAGCGAACCTGCCATTCCTGGACCTCGTGTAACACAGATGAGGTCAGGCGGTGATGTGGCAGAAATACCATGTTTGTGGCAAAAGTCTCGACACATGTTAGCAATAGTAGCCATGTGGTAAGTATATGCCGCTGTGGGCATTATACCACCAACATCAGCAGAGTGGAGCGTTTTCTTTGCATGGTCTATTATTGTCGGGGGTTGATTTGGTTTGGTGCGTTCCAAAAGTGCAATGCACGAGTCGTCACAGGAAGATTCTATAGCAAGAGCTCGATATAACCGAACATGGTTGAGAACAGGTAGTCGTCTTGTAATGCTTGTGGTGAAGGTCCTTATCATAGCATGGCTTTTCTCTGCAGTGTATAATCGAAGTAAGATTATGCGAAAAATCAATCATCTCGGAAAAATCGATGCGATGGAGTTTATCAATGAAACCTGAATCTTTAGCTAGAGTGGTGTAGAGACAATAGGAGTAGTACAATTTTGTATACAGTAAACGTCTTTAAATGCTTCAACGCATGACACTACGCTATCTATACAGTTCACGCTAATTTATTCTTATAGCCTATCTAGTCGTGTGAATGGATCTGCAATTTTCTCATTGGAGAGTTCCTTTTTCGTTTTTTTTTCTTTTTTTTTATTTTTTTTCACCTTCAATTTCATTTTGCAAAAGGGAAAAGTAAACACTAACGGTTTCCATTATAAAGTCCGATTGGAGATTGTTGTTGATATAGTCATTACGGCAGACATATCTGGAATAGTTTATTGATATTTATTCTCTGCACTTGCATTCAGGTTTGCGAAATAGGCTCATCTGCCAAGACATCAAGATAACGACCAACCAAGGCCAATCTGACGAATTTTAGTTCCTTTCTTTTTTGCACTGCATCATAGTCACTACATGTCCAAAGGTTTGCTTCTGTAACACTTCAGGTTCCACGATTTACTACATGATATGTCACAACTTTTCACATCTTCGACAATACCGCTAAGTTTTGAAACGCATGACGGACATAACACATATAATCACCGTAAACCTCCACCGACAGGAAATGACCCGTTTGAGGAAGTAGAAGGGGTCCCACTTTGGCAATATATGCTAGCCGGTGGGCTAGGAGGAGTAGTTGGTGATAGTTCTATGCATCCCTTGGACACTGTCAAAACCCGTCAACAAGGATTCCCATACAATAAAAAATACAAGAATATGATACCTGCGTTTAGAACGATACTAAAAGATGAAGGATTTTTCCGAGGTCTATATGGTGGGTATAGTCCAGCAGTTTTAGGTTCGTTCCCATCAACGGCTGCGTTTTTTGGTACTTATGAATTCACCAAACGAAAATTGATTGACGACTTTGGCATCAATGAAACGCTATCGTACTTTACCGCTGGATTGTTGGGTGACTTGGCATCCAGTATATTTTATGTCCCTTCGGAGGTGTTGAAAACGAGGTTGCAGTTACAGGGTAGGTACAATAACCCATATACAAAAGAGTGTGGATACAATTATCGTGGTCTATGGAATGCCGTAGCCACCATATACCGTAAAGAAGGGTTGCGAACATTCTTCTTTGGATATAAGGAGACGCTATTTAGAGATCTACCATTCAGTGCATTACAATTGTCCTTTTACGAGCGATTTCGCCAACTAGCCATATATTACAACCATGGATCCACAGACTTGCCCGTTCCAGTCGAGCTATTCACTGGTGCAGCTGCTGGTGGGCTTGCTGGAGTACTTACAACTCCGTTAGATGTGATAAAAACACGTATTCAAACAGCCACCAATGTTTCGGACTTGAATGATACGTTTTCGCCAAAGAGTACTAGAAACCCCGTAGTGAAACTTCTCAATCGAAATGCAACGTTGAGGGCGCTAGTGTCAATCTATAAACACGAAGGTATTTTAGGTGCATTTAGTGGTGTGGGCCCGAGATTTATATGGACAGGTATCCAGAGTTCGATTATGTTGCTATTGTACCAAATATCGTTGAAACAATTGGATACAATTTTTGGTGATGGAAAGAAGAGTTTAGAGGCTTGAAAATAAAAAAGTGTATATAGACATTAGAAGTAATAGACATATCATATGATGAAAGACGTTGTTTTTGCAACAGATGGCGAGGCAGTCTTTGGGGTAGATAGTTTCATCCGCACTACTGTGACTATCTTGTGAAATTCTGTGCCCATTTCTTGAACCACGGCATAAAAAAAACAAAATGTAATCGCTTTGTGTTACCCCCACAGAGTTAAAAGCAAAGGGACGCTGTTATTAGACAACCAATTTTCATTGAGATATGTTCACATCTTTTTTTATCCTTTAACTATATTGACATCATGCCTAACACTTTATCCAATTCATACATCCAATCTTCAGTTTGGAAGCCAGACTTGTTCAAGGGCAAAGTAGCTTTTGTCACTGGAGGTGCTGGAACAATTTGCCGAGTTCAAACAGAAGCTCTCGTTTTACTAGGTGCAGATGCTGTGATCTTGGGAAGAAATGTACAAAAGACTGAAGACGCGGCAAAGGAGATTGCCCTGTTGAGACCTGGTGCTAAGGTTCTTGGATTGGGAAATATCGACGTGCGTAAAGTTGAAAGTCTTAAAGAGGCTGTGGAAAAGACTGTCAAAGAGTTGGGAAGAATTGACTATGTCATTGCAGGTGCTGCTGGTAACTTTTTGTCCGACTTCAACCACATGTCGTCGAACGCTTTCAAAACTGTTGTCGATATTGACCTTTTGGGATCATACAACACTGTCAAAGCTACGTTTGAGCAGTTGAGAAAGAACAAAGGTTCCGTGATTTTTGTTAGCGCCACTTTACATTACACTGGTCTTCCATTCCAATCACATGTCAGTGCCGCTAAAGCCGGAGTAGATGCTTTGATGAATGCCTTAGCTATCGAGTTGGGTCCTATTGGTATACGTCTTAATTGTATTGCCCCTGGTTTGATTGGAAACACAGAGGGTGGTGCAAGACTTAACCCACCAACAGAAGTTCCCTTGGAAAATAAGATCCCTCTTGCTAGAATTGGCACTACTAAAGACATTGCTGACTCTACAGTGTACTTGTTTTCCGAGGCCGCATCCTACGTCACTGGTACAGTTTCAGTGGTCGATGGTGGATTATGGCAAGTAGGTGGTATGTTGGGAGAGTTGTATCCAGCCGTGGTCAAGATGCAAAATGAAGACCCCCAAGGCAAGTTGTAGATTTAAATGGTTGTATGTATGTGTTTGTATTTAAATGTGTAACGCGCGACTCCGCCATATTTTGATTTTCGGTTGAAGAATTATATATCACCCCTTCTGTTGCACACTTTTTTTTTTTTTTATTTTAAGACACCGTCAAGTCAAACCAAATCATGAGTGATAATGTTGCAAGACAGAAATCGGCTAGGTGGGTAGCCGAAGTGCCCAATTATGGAGATTGGGGAGAGGAAGACTACGACGATTATGAAGACGAAACTATTAGGCAAGATGCAACAACTACACGAACACAATCAAATCAGAAGAGGTGGTCACAGGACAATGTGGTACACGAAGAAGTTCCAAGAGCTTATGCAAATGAACCTGCTCCTAAAATCATGGTAGATAGAGAAGATAAACTCGAGAAGGATACACAAAGTGAGACTAGGAACCCTTTAGTCTTGTCTATTGACAAACATGCAAGTCCAACAGATACCGACAGTAGTGATGAAGAAGATGAGGAAAAAGACAAAGGGAACATCTCCAACAGACAGACCAGATATGATTGTGACATAAATGAAGAAACAAGCATGAATGTCCACGCTCGTAAAGGAAGCACATATGAAGAAGTGGTGCCAGGCGCATTCAGAGACGACGAGAAGATTCACAATGCTTTGGTTGGCTCAACCGATAACAAGGAACAAGTTGAAGAGGACCATACAAGGAATGTATATTACAAGCCGGAGAGAAATGAATTCATTGTACCTCCCACTCCCACGTTTAGTGAATTCTCGGGCCATTCAAACTACCCAGAGACATTCTCTGAAGCAAGTTTCCAATCAGACAATTCGATTCAGAGAGAACCAGTACACTTACCAGTAAAGGATGCAACATCGAGTGATGCAAATAATGCAATTTTGGAGCAGTTGGATGAACACAACTTCAATGAACAGGAGCAAGCGGCAGAAGAAAGTCCCGAAAAGTTGGTTCTTTCAATTGACCACAAAATTAATCACCATGATGATGATGATAGCAGTACTGATGATGATTGGGGATATCAAGGAAACGACACTTCTGAAGAAGAGGACAATGGTGACCATTTGAAAATTGAGACTGAACATGATATCGATTCTTATATCAATGAATTGAGCGGACACACATCTATAAAAAACGATGATGAATCGGTGAGAGCTCCAGAGGTAGAAACATCAGAAACTGAGCCTAATGAGTTTACCTCTTCAAGTAATGATGAGATTGAGAGCCCCATAGCACCATTATCTATCGTTCAACAGCATAATTCTTACTTGAACGAAATGGCGAGTCGAAAACTGTCTGTGAGGAAAGCCCCTGGCAGAATTGAATCTGGGGATTATTCAAATATTCTCAATGGGTATGGCTATGAAGAAGAGTCAAGTACGGAGCCCCAAGCAACACATAGCCGTAAGGAAAGTGCAGAATTTGTACCTCCTAATATGGATACACGTTCAATACTTTCAAGTGGATCCCTATCAACGGGAAAGCTTTCCTTAGAGTCTAAGACATTCCAGAAACCAGATACGAATGATGGAGATGATGATCTCAACTCTCGCCGAGTTTCACAAGCCACGCTAAGCTTGGGAAATTGGGTACCAAACACGGATAGCTATCGTAATAAGTTTATCAATGACAATGATAATGAGTCAACTATTAACTTTGATTCTGATGCGGCATCCAAGTACAACAAATTCACAAAGGCTCGCACACCATCCGGACTTGCTGACGTTGTTTCTAATGCTAGTTCCATATCAGTTCCCGAAACTATAGATGCTGCCATGCCTAGTATTCAAGAAGATACCGACGACGAGCAACCACAGGATCTGTTTGGTGATACTAAATCAACCGACAAGTTGGAACCTTTTATGACACAAGACTCACTTTTCGAACCTAAGCCTTACCAAAAGCCAGTGTTTGGTGAAGAACGATTAACTCCTGCTAACTCAAAGGATCATTTGCCTCAAAAATACACAAGCTTACTCCCCACTGGACAAAGAAAAGCATCAGACGGTACAGGTGAAGTTTCCATACAATCGAGGACAGTCTCAACAAATAGCAATTCGACCACAGTTGTTACGACGGCACCTACTACGTCGTCAATGACCGAGTTCAAAACAGGAAAATATCCTGTTTCAAATTGGAAAGCTATAGTCACGATATCACAACCAGTTGATCGAATAGCTGCCTTTAAAAAGGCTTTGGCAGACGAGGCGGAGTACGAAACAGGATTACAATATTGGTTAAATTATACGTTAAAACAAAGTCCTGACGTCAACAGTAACATTCACATTGGTCGTATAGCCTCCCAAGCGTATCAGAACGCGCCACATAATGAATTGAGAAGACATGGATCATTAAGGAGTAAGGTGAACGTGATGAAAGATAAAGTGGAAGGAACGGGGTCTACAGCATCTAACTTTGGTAAGAAGTTATTTAGTCGTAGCAGAAAATTTATTTCAGGTGATAAGTAGAGGTGAATTAATATTTGGATGTAAAGTGTGTAAGAAGGTGTTACGATTTAAGCTTCACTTTTTGCGCCTCGGCTCGAGAGTAATTTGGCTCATGATATTTTTTTTGTGTTGTGACTTGCAAAACATAAACCCCAGACTTACTCTAGACATGCATTGAGAAATGATAAAGTGTTTGATAGACAACACCATTTTACCACCTGTAGCGTTTATCATTAACAATACCCCGAGCTTCATATGGGCTATTATTGAGTTTTTTCTCGACATTTGCTTCTTCTGGGTCAAGCATTTGTATCACATTTACAATAGGAGAGATCCATTGAAAGAGTACATAAAACAACTACAAAATGCATCAAACTACAACGAGTGGAGGCTGACGGCGTTTGAGATTGATCGGCTTACAAATATGGACTTGTGGCGACAAAACTTTATCAGCAAACACTATGATTACGTCTTGATCAACGAGAGAATCAAATCCTTGACCGAAGCTAGAGAAAACAATGACTCGCAGAAGATTATGTCTTTGTTAAGATCAGGACTTATTAGAAATTTTGGGGGTATTGCTCAGAAACGATTATATTTAAAGTCGTACATGGGCACCAAGTTTAAAATTGAGGAATATATAAACGAAATACTTCATTGTTTGGAATTTTTAAATGAAAGTTTGAGCAACTCTAGTGGGAACGAATATGTAATGAATAGTAAGCAGTTGAAGTTAGACTTTTTCCACGATACAAGACAGAGTTTTGGGTCTTCGGCTTTGTTACTACAAGGTGGGTCGTTGTTTGGATTATGCCACTTGGGAGTTGTGAAAGCATTATATTTCAAACGACTCTTGCCTAGAGTGATTGGTGGTAGTGCAGTTGGAGCTGCAGTAGCTTCATTAGTTTGCACGTCTACGGATGATGAATTGATTCCCATTTTAGTGAATATTGAGGAAATGATGAAGAATATCGATATTCTCAATCACGAAATTGACGAAAGATTTGGCAATGTGATTGAAAATGTGGTGAGAAAGGGCTACAGTCAGGACATATTACTCTTTCTCAAGTTTGTCCGTGATACCATTGGTGATTTGACATTTGAAGAGGCCTATATAAAGACAGGGAAGATTTTGAATGTTGTGATACACCCTACAAGCAGGAGTGTTCCGTCTTTGCTCAACTATATCACCGCCCCCAATGTTATTATCTGGACCGCTATTTATGCATCAATAGGAACTGGGGTTTTGTCTGACGATATAGCGCTTTACGTTAAAGATTATAACAACGAAATTGTTTTGCAAACGCCTGATTTGGATGTCAAATTCTTGAAACCACAGGAGGTAACTTATCACACATCCTACTTTAAAAACAATGTAACAACAGACATTTCACAGCACCATTCACCATTCACCAAGTTGACGGAGTTGTTCAATGTTAACCATTTTGTCATCAGCTTGGCGAAACCTTACCTTGCACCTTTAATCAGCAATGACTTGAAGCATTACCATGCATCATATGGTAAAGTAAGATATGACAAGAGAACAAGAACTTACGACGGTAATGAGATTAGCAAGAGGGATATTGAAAAGTTTGCAAAAGACAGCGGCTTCAATTTAAAGAAAAAATTAAAGACCATCATTGGCATGGAAGTTTTACACCGCCTTATTGTGCTTAATAAATTGGGTTTATTGACTGAAGTCATGAAGCGTTTGTTTATCGATGAAAAACCAACTGCAATGCAGTACGCCGCGTCAATTAGAGAAGTTACCATCGTTCCCGAGATGAGGTATTTGGTTAAGGATCTTGGTAGAGTTTTTGATATTCATCGTACTAAAGAGAATATTCCATATTGGATTTTAGTCGGTGAAAGATCGGTATGGCCCCTTTTTCCCTTGTTGTGGACCCGGTGTGCCATTGAATTTGCATTGGATGATTTATATAATTTGCATAGAAAACGTAGTTAGCGGTAAAATATTTTGACATTTGAGTCTTTTGTGATGTTGTATACATAGCTTTTCTCTTCCACTATTAGATCATCGTATTGTAGTGCTCCTTTGGAAACGACAATGCTGCCCGTGATATCTTTGGCCCTACCTGTTGCCAAGGGCTCTAGAGTGATGTTCAAGTTAGATCTAAAAAGCAACTTGGTGACAAAATCTGTAACTTTGAAAGCTGGGTTGAATATGTCATTGGCATTGTAATCAACAAGCTGCTCATCTTTGGCAACAACGACAAATAATTGGCTAGCTTTTTTGTTCAACTTGAGCAATGTGAACAATAAATCGTCACTGGATATATTTGTTGAATAGAGTAGAACCTCTGGTGCTTCAACAATAACTACCGAACCTTCATCAATCTCAACATTGAACAATTTATTCACATCATTAATTGCATCTTCTGTGTTTTTTATCCTCTCGGTGAAAAGATTTGAGAAGCAGTCAGCAAACTTATAGTTTGCTTCCAGCAAGTTAACTCCATTCTTGCGGATTCCTCTTGCAAAATGGGTTTCCAGGTGAAGGAAGCTGAATAGCACTACCTTACCAAGGTTTGCCCGTTTTTTCAATTCTTGGTTAATCAAAGAGGCAGTTCCAAAGATCGCATTTTCGATTAGTGAGTTTATTAACCAGTTGGGATTAGTGCCCTGTGAATATGTGATAGTAGATAAGCAAGATTTTTGTGATGATAGTATAGAATCTGGAATCAATGTGTGATTTTTGAAGAATACCAAATCTTGACTCGGGACAGACATCGCGATGAGCTATGCTTGGTTAAACTTGTTTGATAAGGTAGGAATAACTAGCTTTCTTGAATGGACTTTTGAAAAAAAGACAAGCTAATTCCGGAATTATGTATCAAGTGGGAAAATAAATTAGTTTTGTTCTTTCTTGTAAGAAAGGTTTTATCAAATCATCACTTTGAGTTGTGTCAAATTCAATTTTTCCGAGATTTCAACTTTACCTTTACTCCACTTTGCTCCACAGGACCATATATACAACTAGATGACGAGAAAAACATCAAAGCTAGATAAGTACGACTTGCCACCCTCATATGATATATCTGAGGGCAACAATGATGCCGAAGTTGAAGCTAGATCTAAAAAGTCGAGGCTGAAGAACGTGCCATATAGGCCGTCGCCTGAACAGCAGCGACAGATCGATCTTTTATCGGGGACTGCAACAAACAGCTCAAGGCCACAATCCCATCTAACGGCTGTCAATAGTGCAACCCGTACAGAATACTTTGATTTGCTTCCATCTTTTGAAATGTTCCAGAGCATACTAAGACGAGATGATCGTCAATTTCAGGAGGATTTTTCCAGATCTCCGCCACGATATGGCGATACCTTAAATAGTACATCTAGCAACGATGTATCGCTAGCACTGACTCCACGCCAGTCAATTGATCAGAGCCTAACCAATTTGGTCCCCGAATATACAATAGAACAGGAGTTGGAAAGACAACGGGAACAGGAGCAAGGGGTGTTCAGTGAAGTCAGTCCTAGGCCATTGCTAAGTCCCATGGTTTCATCTCCTGGTGTGCATAATCAGAACGTTGCTGTAACGCAAGAAACGTATGGGGCATCACCTTTGGACAACATAGATAAATTGCATAAAGCAACAAATTCTGCAATCGACATTCAAATATATGTTACTAAAACGATTCCACAGCCAAACACCAAAAGTGAATTAGAATTTCGCTTAAAAGAGTACACCAGTGGTGACCACGTCAATGGATATGTTGTTGTGACAAATACTTCAGATTCACCGGTTGAGTTTGGTCTCTTCACTGTTTCACTTGAAGGAACTGTCAAATCTACGGAGAAGAATCCACACGCATTCAATTTTAACAACAAGTACAGCCGAATCTTGATGAAGAAGTTTCTCAAAATGTATGATTTGAGTGCAAGTTACGGATACACATATGTGCCAAATAGTGCTGGGATCGAATACGAGCCATTTACCTTGGATAAAATGGATGGTTGTTTGATTGGTCTCCCCGATAACAGGATATTACAGCCAAAGACCAAATACAAGAAGTTTTTCACTTTCAAGTTCCCCCATGGATTGTTGGACAACGCTTGTGTAAATTCGGTTCTTCCACATTTGTTACCACCGCCCTCAATGGGGGTGGACAAGACGTGTTTCTACAATAGAGGTGAAAGTATAACCTTGAACAAGACATTGGGATACGGCACCTTAAATATAAGGGGCACTCCGTTGTTGACAAGGGACTTTTGTTTTGACGACATGAGTGTTTCCTATACCATCGAGGCTAAAATTATCGACAAAGTTAACTCGAAAGAGGCTGTTTCGCATCAAGATATAGACAATGCCACAAATGATTATGTGATTTCTAAATCTGCACAATACTTTCTTCGCTTCATTCCAGATTTGAAAGAGCAGGTTGCATATTGCAAACTACACAGCTTAGGCAATTTCCCTGACGTAGGACTCGGTGGCAAATTTTTAGAGCAATTGAAGTACAACACCACCTGGCATCAAATTCAAGAACTAAATAATAAAGTGGAAAAGGAGATTGACCAGAAGCTCAACAGTGATGAATTATCGCCTTTTGAAATGAAGTTGAAGAATTTAAAGCTTAATGAAGACTCGAAGATAATCCTTGATGACAACTTTGTCACAACTAACCGCCCGGTAGATATATATGGAAAGAAGAAGAAAATGATTTTATCTTCCCTAATCAAAATAGGACAGCTGACAATGTCGATCAATTTCCCTGATAAGGTTATACCGTATGGGTCGCCAAGATTGTTGATGAAATATAATAGTGGAAATGACAATTCCTTGCATCCAGTAACCAGCAATATGGAAGAGCTATATAATCGAGATGATGAAGATGTACTTGACACCCTTGAGACTGACTTGTGTTTTGAGAGTGATAGCAATATTAGACCACCTCCAATAAAGGTCAGCACAAACATAGTGGTATGGTCATATCACACGGAGTACCCTCTTTCGTTTGAAATTGGCTATGACTTTTTCTACAAGAATCAAGCAAATGCACTGAATGACTCTGTAGAGACAACTGAGAAGAACTTGCACCAGATAAAAGATCAAGTTGGTCATTACATCAATTTTTTGAAATCAAATTCATTAATTGTCAGCAAAGAATCGTTCATGCACTTGAAATCTGTGCAAAAATTGGGCATAATGAAGGACACGGTCAAGGACTATTTTCGGACCGATCTCGATGAGCCTGATTGGAATGTCTCACAGTTAGGCAATGGGAAATTCAGGTGGACAAAACGATTGAAGATATCCTTGAGCGTAGAAAACAAACATAATGTAACGTTGATACCCACATTCCAGAACTGCTTAGTGGGTAGGTTGTACTGCTTGCAAGTCGTGGTCAAATACAAGGGAACAAATAGTGAACAGAATGAGTTTGCACACAATGTCGTTAGTTTAGATGTTCCGGTGTTGGTAGGATGAGAAAATATTGGTAGCGAAGCAATGACTCAATTTGGTAATTCAATTTAAGCGCGCTAATCTTTTAATCAAAGAAGTAAGAAAAAAAAATTTTTCTTCTTACTCTTACTCTTACTCTTACTCTTTTTGCCCTTCTCCTTTCTTCTTTCTCAATAACAGTAATGTTTCAATTTAAGAGGTTTCTTGCTACTGCAAGCAAGTCGTTTACAAACAACAAGTCACAATTGGACAGAGCAACGCTTACAATAAAGAATGGCCCAGTTTTCAGTGGATATTCATTTGGTGCAAATCGAAATGTGAGTGGTGAAGCGGTCTTCACCACTTCGTTAGTCGGATATCCTGAAAGTATGACTGATCCTTCCTACAAAGGACAGATTTTGTGTTTCACGCAGCCCTTAATAGGTAACTATGGTGTGCCTTCGTCGACTATAAAAGATGAGTTCAATTTGTTAAAGTACGTGGAGAGCCCTAAAATTCAATGTATTGGTATAGTCGTTGGTGATGTTGCTTTGGAATATAGTCACTGGACGGCCGTCGAGAGTTTGCAACAGTGGTGTAAGAGGAATGGGGTAGCTGCTATAACAGGTGTTGATACTAGGCAATTGGTTTCATACTTGAGAGATAAAGGGTCGAGCTTAGGTAAGATCACCATTGGAGAAGAATACGATGCAGATGAAGATGCAGCTTTTGAGGACCCAGGAGCTATCAACTTGGTTCAAAAGGTCTCAACGAAACAGCCATTCCACGTTGAGTGTCCAAAGGAACACTCGAAAAACGTACACATAGCCGTTTTGGATTGTGGTGCAAAGGAAAATATTTTGCGTTGCTTGGTTGAGAGGGGTGCTTCGTTGACAGTGTTCCCATACGACTATCCTATTGACAAAATTGCTGACAAGTTTGATGGTATTTTCATTTCCAACGGTCCAGGTGATCCAACTCATTGTTCTACTACCGTTGATAATTTGAGGAAAATCATGGATACACATCCAGAATTGCCTATTTTTGGTATTTGCTTGGGCCATCAATTGCTTGCATTGGCGAGTGGTGCTAAGACTATCAAATTAAAGTATGGAAACAGAGCACACAATATCCCCACTTTGGATTTGATCTCGGGAAAATGCCACATCACATCCCAAAATCACGGATATGCTGTTGACACTTCGACTTTAACTGAAGGTTGGAAAGAAATGTTTATCAACTTGAACGATAACTCCAATGAGGGTTTGGTTCACACCACGAAACCAATCTTTTCTACGCAATTCCATCCTGAGGCCAAGGGTGGTCCACAAGATACCGCTTATCTCTTTGATAGGTTTTTCGAAAACATAGCCAAACATAAGAAAAGTTTGCCCAGCGTTGAGGGAAGCTTATTAGTGGATATTTTGCCAAAAGAGAGAGTTGAGCAACATACGTTATAGATTTGAGCTAGACCTATATTGAATAAAGATATACTAATTACTCCTCATCTACCTCTTCATCTATTTCCTCGCCACCTTCAAAACCCTCACCTTCGTCTTCGGATTCGGAATCATCTTTAGATCCATCCACCTCTAGCACTGTGTCACTAACATCAGTCTGATATTTTCTAGCTATTCTTGATGCACGACCAGCAGCCTTTGCCTCATCCCTGGCTTTTATCTGTAAGAGTTTTAACTCATCTTTGAATCCATTCTTTACTGATCTATTGGAAAATGTATCCCACATCTTTAAACCACCAGTCACACCACCAATGACCAAGTTACCAGCAACCTCTATATCATTTGCATAGGAAGTGGTCAACACATTACCGAGACCAAAGTCTCTTGACAAAATCATGGATGGACCTCCTTCTTCAGGCGCCTTCCACAACTTTACTGTCTTTTCTCCCATGGCACTAGTTACCAACATACCAGGAATGTAGTTGTTAATATCCAATGACGAGATTCCAGCATCATGTGCATGCAAGGTCCACAATGGTTTGGAAGCTTTAATGTCAAAGCAATAGACGTTACCTTGGTCAGTACCAGCATAGAACACTTCTGGGTTTGAACTCCATCTAACATTCTCCACTTCCTCTCCAGAACCGACAGAATAACACTTGGAGAGGTTGTCGGTAAGTCGCACATCAGAAACAGCAACCTTCGAATCGTAACCACCTGTTAACAAAATTGATGGCTCAGAAGGGTTCCATTGGGAAGAGGAGACCGTCTTTCCGTGGTGTATTTGGTTCAAAGATCGCACAGCCGTACCCGTATTTAGGTCCCAAAGCTTTACTGTGCTGTCAGCCGATGTGGAAGCCAACACAGACCTGTGAGTTTTATTATGGGCTAACGACAAAACAGCATCTGTGTGATGGGTTGTCACATGTCCAGACTTTTTCTTCTTCTTCTTTTTGGCAGAAACTTCTCCTAGAATAATATCAGGGAAAGCCTTGTCGACAAAGTCCAAGTTCCACAACTCGATTTGAGGATCAAAGGTACCGACTGCGGCAAAGTTTCCAATATTAGAATCTGCCACCACCAGCTGTCCAGGTTTGTAATTTATCCATTCAACGCACAACGGAAATGCTGGCAACATTATGTCATGATGGACGTACAAAGTTGAGTCTCTGATGAGACCATTGGCAACATCGGCATCTAATTTGTCCTCCTCCTCTTCTTTGGCTCCAGCTGGGGCACCTGCTCCATCATCGTAAATGTATATATCTAACCACGAAATATCATCTTCGGTTCTTGTGGCTAAAACCAAGTTGTCAGTAGGATATATTTGATTTTCTTTCTTCTCCTCTTTCTCGTCCACTTCCGTCGGTAATGATAAGTAAACATCCTCTGAATCTTCAGACTGGTCAATCTTGGCAGCCGACAAGCCAGGAAACATGGTTACCTTCTCTCCATCATTGTCTTCTTCTTCATCATCATAGTGCTCCAAATCGTACTCTTTTAAGTCATCATCAATGTCAATCTGGTCAGTTAGTGTCTTTTTTGCATCTTCTAAATCCTCCTTGGCATCATTGATTTCAAGCTGCGCCATGGAATTGATTCTCTCCATTTCCTCGTCATCCAATTCATATTTCTCGGGGAATTCTGAGGCATAACCTCTAGGGACCCATGTGCTGGATGAAATCATTGTTGAGAGAAGAAAGCGATGAGGTGAAGAGAATAATTTTTGTCCCATATTTTGTGGAACTTCAAAATATGGAAACGGTAGCGTTGTTTGGATAGTTTCGCAACACCTTCCCGCCTCTCAACATTCAGTCACATGAAAGAGTAGATGGTATAGACCGAGTGTAATAGCGACGGAGGTAAACACTTTACGAAATGAAACCCAAAACCTTTGATTCTGCATTTCTAACTATTCTACAAAAGAATAACTCCAATACCACTTGTTTGGTCCTCTGCAACCTGTTTTGACTCCTTGTCAATACCACCGTTCATTGGGAAAGTCCTATAATTGAACAAGTAGTAATTCAAAAAGCCATCTCCACTGCCAAATTTGCATCCTTTTAAAAAAAACGTGTTATCTTGACAAGTGAGGCAATTGAAAACATCAGCCTGGAACAGCTTGGCCGTAATCAACGCGTCGTTCATCAAGTCTGTTAACCTAGCCTTATAGCCCTCTTTGGTATCGGTAGCATAGTAAAATAAATAGGCTACGCCCAACTCATCGTGCATTTTATTCTCTAAAACGGTGAATGGAAGTAGATAATACGAAAAAAAATCGGTAATCTTTCCTTCCTTTTCCACCACATATGCCTTGATAACGTCTGATTGGCCCAACATCCAATGACTGAACTCCTCCTCGGTGAACTCTTGCACAATATCAAATCTTTTTTGGTAATCATTCAACAACTTTAAGGTATCGGGTACATCAGCATCAGTCATTTTCCTCAAGCCCGGCAATTGCGTAGCATTGGGTAATGCGTAGTGAGCTATCATACTAGCCTTTGTTTTATCTGCTGGCAAGTGGCTGAATCCGACGTCGTGTAGTTTCGGCCAGTTGAGAGGTCGATGCTGGTAACGGCAAGTGGCAAGTGGAGTGGGCAAAATGGCACCCCCAGTGTATAAAGCTTGCCAAATGTTTTCCTTATTCACTCTTCTCGTGATCTCCTTAATTAATATTGGAGCAAGTCTTTTATTCCTCAACTTTTTGTGTATACACAAGAAGTTTATTTCAACACTGCCCATGGACTTGTTTGACTTGTTCAACTTAACTGTCACAGGAGTTGCCGCGATGAAGGCAATTAATCTATTGCTCGACTTTACACGAACTCCAGCATACCATTCCTTTTTCCAACCTGGTGGTTTTAATGCCCACTTGAAAAACTCACGACTATACTTGAATCGAAATGTAGCATCCGTATCTTCGACGTAATTCTCATATAACAAGTCATAAAGCTCGTTTATTTGTTTATCATCATCAATATCAACAGTACTCCATTCGAACTCAGCAAGCAATGGCATTGGCTTATCCGAAACATCAGCTGGGGTTTTGGGTGGATCAATTGGACCTTCCTCTTTAATAGACTCGTCCAATTTTGGGACAGGTTGGCTATTCCAAAAGAGGTAGTCTTTCATTTTTTTCTCCTGTGATGCAGACAAGGTCTCACCAACAGTGAGCATGTTGAGAAGGTCCTGAATAGACTTCTTGTCCGACATGGTATTAGTAGTGGTTATGTGGTTGTGTGGTGCTGGTGCTGGGACGGATTCAGTGGAAAAAAAAATTGAAAAAGAATTACCCTTGAGAAACCTGACACAATTATGAGTAAAGTCTTCAATGAGTGTAATGCTAGCCATTGCAAAGCACCAAAGTTTGAAGTTTTGAAATAGAACATATATTTATATCAACAATTACAATATTGCACAAAGCACACTAGGTTGTCATAACTACACCAACCCCTCGTTTCAACCCCCAAAAGTACTTATCTTTTCAATTTCTAAGACTATCACCCCCACCCTTTCATTCATAATATGGTTCAATCAAACAAATGGGATAAGAAGGCAAAGTTCCAATATATGAAAAAGCATGGAATTTTGCCATCATCTACACAAGTTCCAGCTACAACTCCCAAATGGAGTGGCAAAAAGAAGACGGAGAAGAAACCAGCAATTCATTTGGCCGATTCAGACGATGAATGGGACTCAGAAGTAGACGAAGCATTGATAAACCATTTCTACCCCGAGCTAGACTCATCTGAAGAGTTGACACTTCAGCAGAAAGTCAAACTAAAACAACAAATTCTAAACGATTTGAAAGAGAAGGAAGAGCAGGGGGAAACGTCTGACGGCTCGATAGAGGTAGATAAGCTGAATGGACAATTCAATATCGGTGAGATTATGAATAATATAGACAGGAAACCGAAAAAGAAGTTGCTAAAAGCTCGCTTTTCTGAGAACTTTTTGGAGGAGTATGGCTTGGAAAGCTACCAGGTAAGTGACAAGGAGTATAACATGTCTGGACGCAAAAAGGGATTTGCTAATTTAAAAGATGACTATATTATTGGTATGAACCAGAATACTCCGTCTCTGCGAAGTCTCACAGAGGAAGAAGTTGCCATAGAGAATGAGCGAAAGAAGAAAATTGAGCAGCAGAATTTTTACAATGAGGTGAAGAAGAAATTTGGAGACAAGAGCAGTAGTCAACAGAGGGTAGTAGATATTAATAATATCAAGGGAGATGACAAGCATTTGCAAATGTTGAATGGTAAAATAGGGAAAGAAAAGATGGAAGACACATTGGATGCTGATCTCAATGAGCTCCTAGACTTAAAGCTCTCGCAGCCAGAAGATGAAGTGCCCCACAAGTCCCAAGTAAGTTTTTCAAGCTTACCGAAGAAGGCGACTACCAAGACCAGCGGCGTCAAGGACGTTGATTTTTTAGACGAATTGTTAAAGTAAAATTTCTAGTGGACCTTCTTTGATATAATTAAAACAACACGTGTCAGTTTAGTCCATGAACAGACAATTTTCTATATTACAATTCTTAATGCATAGTATCAGTTTTGCTCGTTACATACACTTCTCGCCACTTTGTGGTTTACCACACACAACATTTTCTTATTCCCACCCCATGGTAGAACGAAAATGTGGAAATCGCGGGTTTGCAACAAAAAAAGAAAAAAAAATATTGTTTCCACAGTTTCCATTTTGCACATCAACAGCAACCAGCAATGCCCACCACTAATGATGAAGCCATATCCTTGTTTGAACGGGCCACATATTTAGAAAGTCAAGGACGCATGAGCGATGCAGTTGATGTGTACAGAAAAGCGTTCAAGTTGAATAACAACATTGACATCATTTACCGATCCACATACTCAAATAAGCATCTTTCAAAAGATAAAGGCAAGAACGCTTTGGTCAAGGTCGACGAGAAAGAAGTATCGAAAATCAATGTGGACAAACTAATAGACAGTTTCAGTGAAGTACATTTACAAGACGAGCTGGAGCATCCAGACGATGCACCATCGATTCTTCTTTATTTGCCAAAGGACATATGGTGCCATATATTTGAGGTCCTAATTCATACTAGTCCTGAGTCTTGGTTTAATATGTCTATAACGTGCAAGAAGATGGCACATTTAGGTTTTGGAAACAACACATACAAGTATCTTTGCCAGCTTATTTATCCGAGGCAGGTTTATGAGGAAAATGAAACGTACAAGTCGAAGTTAGTGTCCGACACAGAACTACCGATACCACTCAACCAGCTACTAATCTTACCGCACTACAAGAGTTGGAAGAATATGCTTCACGAGCGTGGTTTTATCAAATATGGCGGCTGTTACATAAGTGTCATTAATTACTACAGTGAGGGTAGTAAAGGCGAAAATTCATTGTCTTGGACCAACCCCGTGAGAACAATAACGTACTACAGGTACCTACGATTCTATACAGATGGTACAGTAGCGAAAATGCTATCAGTGCTTCCGCCAGATCGAGTAATACCTTGGTTCCTGAGGGAGCGGCAATTCATACCCGATGCGGAGGAAAACGAGGCAACTAAAATCTACCTTGGAAGGTTCACAATTAGCTCGTCCGACGAGGTGCGTATAAATATAGAAAATGGCTCGACAAGTTACTTGACATTCCACTACTACTTTCACATTAAATCGTTGGGACAATTCAAACACGGGAAGTTGAACTGGAAAAAATATTTTGCAGTAAGAAAAGCCACGAGTCCTGATGATGATAGAGTTGGAGAGGTTATGGAATACTCAATTAGAAACGAAAAGCCCTTCAAATTCCTGAGAGTGAAGAGTTATAGTATAGAATAAGATACTTACACGTAAATTTTGCAATTCGTGCTTGACACGACTTTTCTCTTTTAATGAGAAAATTTTTTTGATCTCTTTCTTTTTCTTCCTTTTTTTTTCCATTTGACCAAAGAGGACCCATTATCCATCGAACATTCAAAGGTTAAATAAGATGTCTAGGTTCTTTGTATCGGGATATAGTTCAGAATCGTCTTCTGAGGAGGAGGATTTGGTGAGTAGCTCTGAGGAAGAGTTGTTGTCTTCCTCTGCTGAACAATCAGATGATGACTTTTTTAATGATGATGAAGAAAGCAGTTCAGACGACGAAGATGGACGTCCAACAGGTCCAGCATATTTTTTGAAAAAGTCCTTTTTGAAAGGTGATGAATCTGATTCTGAAAGTGATGATGAAGGTAGAAAAGTTGTCAAGAGTGCCAAGGATAAATTGTTGGACGATATGAAGGCATCAATTGAGATTATTAATGTCAACAAAAGAAGCAACAATTGGATTGTCGTATTGAGCGAGTTCGAAAAGTTGGGTAGACTTTTGAACAGAGCTAATCAGCAAAGATTTGGAACTCCAAAGTTTTACATCAAGTTGTTATCAAGTTTGGATGATTCGATTACCGAGACTGCAAATAACGAAAAGGATGACAAGACAATGAAAGCAGATGAAGCAAGAGCTTTCAACACGTTGAGACAAAGAGTCAAGAAACAGATTAAGGAATTTCAAGTCTATTACGATTTGTACAAAGATGTTCCAGAAAACTTTGATCAAGAAGACGAACCCTTGGATCTGGCCACCAGAGTTGAAGAAAAGCAAGACGAAGGTAAGAAGTTGAGTCCGGTTTTCCAAACCTTGAAGCAAATCAGTGAAAGCAGAGGTAAGAAGAACGTTGACAGGTCAGAGCAGATTGTAAGCTTAGAGAATTTGATTAATGATCAAGTAAGCACATTTGAGCTTATTTCAATTTACCAAATGTTATTGTCAATTAGGTTTGATGCCTCATCCAACCAGTTCATGCCCATTCAAGACTGGCAGAAGAATTGTGAAGATATAAATAAGTTGTTAGACATTTTATTTGCATCGAAGGAATACCAAGTCAGTGAAACTGGGCAAACAACTGATGAGATTGACATAGAACCCACACCAGTTGACGGGGTTAAAGTAATCTTTGGATCAATCACATCCTTAATTGATAGGTTAGATGATGATTTTACCAAGTCTTTGCAGAACACTGACCCCCATTCCATGGATTACGTTGAGAGATTGAAAGACGAAAGCAGCATCTACAACTTGATTGTTAGGGGCCAGGCGTACATTGAATCTATTAATTCTTCACTTGATAGTGAGCAGTTGGCCAGGATTGTTTTGAGAAGATTGGAACATATATACTACAAACCAACACAGTTGATCCAGGGAAATGAAGTGGAAACAAAGATTGGCAAAGGTGATGCCAATGAAATTATTGATTCTTTGAGTGAGTTCTTGCAGAAAAGTGCTAATAAGCTTTACGCACAACTTGCGATGCTTTATTCCATTTACTATTACGCTGTCAACAATAACTACGAGAAAGCCAGAGAGCTCTTTTTTGCATCTCAGTTTTACAAAAACATAAATTCAGCTGAATCATCATTGCAGGTTCAATACAATAGGGCATTAGTCCAATTGGGATTGAGTGCGTTCAGAGTAGGAGCTATTGAAGAATCACACAAGATTTTGAATGAAATTATCAACTCACAAAGATCAAAGGAATTGCTTGGACAAGGTTTTAGCACCAAATTCCCTAGTCAAGCTACTGTTGCTGAGAAACAAAAATTGTTGCCATTCCACCAGCATATCAATTTGGAATTGTTGGAATGTGTCTATATGACGTGCTCCTTATTGATTGAAATACCTGCTTTGGCAGCTGCTTCATCAACCAAAGATAAGCGTAAAAACTCATCTATTAAATCATTCAAGAGCAAGCTTGAGTTTCACGATAGACAATTTTTCACCGGTCCACCAGAGAGTATTAAGGACCACATTATACATGCTTCCATTGCTTTGCAAAAGGGCAACTGGTCGAAAGCTTACGACTTGTTGGCTTCAATAAAGATTTGGAGGTTGTTCCCAGATACTGAAGACTTGTTAGCCATGATGAAGAACCAGCTTCAAATTGAAGGCTTGAGAACCTACATTTTTACTTACAAGCCAGTGTACACTAAATTGTCTATTGCTAAATTGAGCACTATTTTTGCTTTACCTGAAGAAAAGGTTACTGACACTGTGACCACAATGGGTGAGCAAGTCGAAAATGGATTTATCAACTTTTCGACTGCTGCAACCAGATCGAAGTTGCAAGAGTTGGCTATATTGATGAATGAAAAGATACAGTTGCTTACAGACAAGAACGAAAAGACATCTGCTAGCGGTCACAGTAAGAAACAACAACCACAACAATCCACTCAGCAAACAACTCAACCACAGCCCGAGGAAAACAGGTTCAAAATTGCTAATGTCAATATCAACAATGACGAGTTTCAGACAACTGCATAGGGGTGTATAAAAGTAATGTAAAAGACTATATAAATAAAACTTCCTCTTTCTTATCTAATCAGTTGCAAAATAAAAAGAAACAAAAAAAAAAAAAAGAAATAAGAAGAGACTGAAAAATTTTATTACATAGACCACTACCACTCCACAGCGATGACTGTTATGCCACCAAAGAAACTCAAAGTTGCATCACTTTGTGAGCTATGCCACTCGAGGAAGGCGGTCATGAAAAGACCAAAGAATTTGATGAAACTTTGTAAAGAATGTTTTTATAATGTTTTTGAGACCGAGATACACAACACGATAACATCAAGTAATTTATTTCAGCCAGGTGAAAAAGTGGCAATAGGGGCTTCAGGAGGTAAGGACTCGACTGTTTTGGCATCGATACTCAAAACCCTAAATGAAAGGTACGACTACGGTTTAACGCTTGTACTTCTCTCCATAGATGAGGGAATTAAAGGTTATCGTGATGACTCTCTTGCAACCGTGAAGCGCAATCAACAGCAGTATCAAATGGAACTAGAGATTGTGTCCTATAAAGATTTGTACAACTGGACCATGGATGAAGTTGTTAGCTGCGCCGGTATTAGATCGTCATGTACCTACTGTGGTGTTCTTCGGCGTCAGGCATTGGATAGAGGTGCTGCAAAATTGGGGATAAATCATGTTGTGACAGGACACAATGCTGATGACATGGCCGAGACTGTTTTGATGAACTTGCTAAGAGGGGACTCCAATCGTTTAGAAGGTAGCACACGAATAATGACACAGTCAGCTGAATCTCCCATCAAGAGGTCAAAGCCATTTAAATACACATACCAGAAGGAGATTGTGTTGTATGCTCATTATAAAAAATTGGACTATTTCTCAACCGAATGCTCGTATGCTCCGGAGGCATTTAGAGGGACAGCCAGAGAGCTTTTGAAGGGGTTGGAAAGCATACGACCTTCTTGTATCATGGATATCATATACAGTGGCGAACATTTAGTGTTGTCAAAGAAAAAGAAGCAGACGGTGAAGTATAAAAACAAAAAGGCAGAGGAAATTGAGGTCCATGCTGATGGATCCGTGTCAACAAATAGGTGTGTCAATTGTGGGTATCTATCGTCGAATAAAATTTGCAAGGCTTGTACCTTACTTCAAGGGTTGGAAATGAGTCGACCCAAGTTGGCCATCGACAGTGACGCTGATGGGGCTGCAAAGATCACAAAGACATTAGAAGGACTTAGCTTTTAAATATGTATTCAGGTGAATGAAATATAGACAACAGCTTCTTACTCATTTCTATAAATGTGGAATGGCGATGCTTGACCATTTGGAAAGACCAATGTTTCAGCAACAACCAAGTTTTCTCTTCTGGTCAAGGTGAACGCAATCACCTCAGCGATATCGACGGCTGTAAGTGGCTCTGTTCCCTTGTACACGCTATCAGCTTTTGAATCGTCACCTCTAAAACGGACGTTTGAGAATTCAGTTTTGACGGCTCCAGGGCTGATCAAGATGCTTCTAATTTTGGTTGAGATCAACTCCTTACGAAGAGCATCCATAAAGAAACGAACACTTGCCTTACAAGCGTTGTAGATGGATCCACCTTCGTAAGCAACCAAACCAGCAATACTACCAATCGAGACAATGCTACCGGAATCTTTCTTCTTCATGATTGGCAAAACAGCTTGTGTCAATGTGATGAGACCCAACACGTTGGTTTGGAACATGGTGACCACATCAGTCAATGCAATTTCGCCAACGGACTCTTTACCCAAAGCCAAACCAGCATTGTTGACCAAAATGTCAATATCAGCAAACTCTTGAGGCAAGGTAGAAATAAATGGATCAATGCTTTCCAATTTGGAAACATCCAATTCCTTTGCCAAGACCTTGATGCCTGGGTATTCGCTCTCCAATTTTTGTTTCAACTCGTTTAACTTTTCAACCCTTCTAGCGGTTATAATCAACTTGATCTTTGGAGTTACTTCAGCCAATTCAAAACACGCGGCTTCACCAATACCCAGGGAGCATCCTGTGATAAGAATAGTCTTGTCTGCCAATCTTTCTGCTGCTTTCTTTCCGTAGCTCATGGTTGAATAATTGTGTATAGAGATCCTTGTTATAAATGTTGATGGTCGTCGATTTGATAACAATTAAATAGAATTAGCGCGCATGTACGGAAGAGACAGCTGCTACCTGGAATCATTTACAAAGCACTCTCTTTACAGCCTATCAACGGCAAAATACATTTTCTGCGCCTCTCAATGGCTACAGTTTAGTTTTACGTATACAATGCGATTACGTATATTCTTATATACATAAAAGTTTCAAATTAACACGAACCTGAGCTTCCCCCTTTACTTTCTTAACCTTTTCAACAAAATTTAGTAGAAAGTTGATGGCCTGTTGCTGAAGTACAAAGCCTTGGTCTTTTGGACTCTGTGTGGTAATGGGAACTTCAAGTCTTTGGTCAAGAATTGTTTAACGTATTGTCTCTTAACATCATCAGCCTTTTGTAATTCTACAACTTTCAAAATGTGGATGCTTCTAAATCTAGCTCTGTGTCTAGCAGCCAAGTCTTGGTACATAGTTTCGACGGCACCAACTCTGGTGACATCTCTGTATTCTTTGTACATGTTGTGGATACCAGATCTTGATTCGTATCTAATCCAGACACCGAAAGTCTTAACCTTGGTTGGCTTAGCTTCGTTGATGATGTTGACGGAAACAATTTCACCAGAGGCTTTCTTAACCTTGTGCAATTTTTGTAAAAAGTACCAGTATCTTGACTTAGCAACAACGGTGTTTGGAGCAAAGATTCTCATACGGAACAACTTTGGTTCTGGGGCGGAGTCGGTAGGCAAACGACGACCGATGACTTGATATTCGTTTAATCTTGACATTCTGGAATATTAGTTAGTACTTGATGTCCATATAAGTAGATATTTCGACTATTTAATGCAATGAAGGAAATGTGAAAAAAAAAAAAAAACAGAACGATATGGCATCGCTTCAATCCTAGGGTCTATTCCATTATGAAATGCTTCACCCAGGAGAAAACTGACTCATCATTCATCGTTCCATTTAGCACTGACTGTCCTCCTCATTAGTCTCTTATTTAAACATACTTTCGTTATCGCTGAATATAGTTATCCAAGGTATTCAAATTGAAATTTTTTTTTTTCGGTTTTTTCTTTCTCTATTTGGTTTTCTCTCTTTCTCTCTTTTGTCTCTGTAAAAGGTGAGGAATAATTTTGTTTAGGTGTGGTACTTTGAAGGACTTTGTGTTAGTTCTAACTCATTTGGTAGCGATATTTACTACTGTGAGAAACATTTTTCTATAAAAGGGGCTGCAGCCCTAATTTGTAGACGTAAAGGCATTGTGAGCCGCACACCTATGTATTGCCTTATGAGAGTACGTTGGAGATTGCTTTCATTGCAAAAGTCTCAGAGATCTAGTGTATCTATCCTACAAGTCCTCTCTTCATACCTCAAATGTGTATCTCTTTACCCTATATATTTCCAATTACAAATTTTTTTTATAAAGAGCCTCTGACTTTTTGTTAGCCCTGTTTTCTCTTCTTTGTTTAGCCAATTGGCCACATTCAGTACTGAAGAAACGGTCCCAAACTGTAAACGAACTGGCGTAATTACCAATGAAATAGTGATGGTGTTGATCATGGTGTTCAGCACCAGCCCATAGTGGAAAGAACTTATTCAAACTCCAGGGGAAATCGTACCCTGAATGCGAGTCAACCGCTTGAAACAAGCGCAAGACAATCCAACAAGTTATGGTAAACAAATGGATTGATGGTAACAGGTCAAATTTGGTTGCCGCGTAGGCGTATAAAATTGGGAAACCGACAGTTCCAACTCCCAAAGCTGCTACCTCGGCAGGATGGGCGTATTCAGCAGCGAACCCGAATGGAGCAGCATATTTATGATGAATCTTGTGAATGTTTTTGTAGAACCATCCGTAATGGAAAAGTCTATGAAATGTATAATGCCAAAGGTCTTCACAGATGAAAAAAAATGTAATCTGGCAAGCCTGAATTTTCCATGAAGGAAATGGAACGCCATAGATTATATTTAGTTGAGCACACAAAGGATGGAATAACCAAATTGGCAATGCCTCGACTAAGAAATGCGACTTGAGAACAGCTTTGAAACATTCCCATTGTTGTTGATTTGTGGGTATGCTGTCGGGTTGAATCTTGTATTTTCTAAAGTATGGTATTTGGTCTATGATAAACCAAGGCAAGCATCTACCAAAATACATGATCTCGTGAACTAAGAAAAATAGAAGCCCCGTAGCAAGGATATCATTTCCAATGTACAAGTACCAATCTGCCCATAACCTTTCTACCGTATTTGAGGCCACTTGTCCATGTAACAGGCTTGTTGTCGAGTTTGTTGATTGTAATACATTCATGGTACTGGTTCTGTTGTCCGGTCAAAATCATATACCTTTCAATCCTTCCATTCTGATTATATTTATAGTTCCTTTAGGTGTTTCGTATATCATCAAAAAGATCGTATGATTTGAAGCTGCAAAAAAAATAAAAGGAATTTACGCGCCTCAAAATTAAAACAAAGCTAAACGATGGGAGAAAAATATAATGTGTTACAAAACAAGCAAAACTTGCATCTATACGAAACGAACAAATGAAGCTTTATCCGATAAACGACAAAGGGCCAACCCCTACAGTGAGTCCTGTATTGCTTAGAGTTACCAGTTACCACAAGAAGTATACTACTCGTTTAGGATGATTTATAACGCCTATACAAAGAAGGTCTGGCCAAATCACAACTTGCTTTCAAACACTTTCACCAATTCTTCTTCGCTTGAACCGCTAGATACAGAACCATCAACAATTCCATCCACAGTCACAGTTGGAGTTACATGTACACCAACGGTTCTAAGATACCTAGTAAAGTATTTCACGTCAGCGGTTGCTCCATTGCCCTCATTTGTTGGTTCTCCCCCTTCCTTAATGACAAGTTCATCCAACAACCTCTTTTTATCAACGTGCAAGTCCAACTCTTTTGAAATGACATCGTAGATCTGTTCATAAATCTGATTTCTGGTCAATTTGATGTTTGAATTGTCATAGAATTGCTTTTGATTTTCAAAGACAACTCTATTAAAATTCCAAAACGACTCATGTTCATCTCCTCTAGGGGTTTCCCGCAACAACTTGGCGTAAGCCAATGCAAACTCACCTAGCAAGATTGAGTTGGGATGCCATGGCTGAAGTACATTCACTATTACAAACTGAAATCCATCTGGGTGTTTCTTTTGTAAATTGGGGATAACCGTCTTGAATAATTTAAGAAACAATTTTGCACTAAAGGGGCAAGTGTAGTCGAAGTACAAATTGACAATGTGAGGTGCCTTCTTGGCTGTTGATAAAGTATTGAGTCCAAGATAATAATGGGTTAAAGCGTATTTAGGAGAGATCATGTTTGTTGGTAAAAGGTTGATTTGAATAAAAAAGGAGTTGGGAAAGGGGAGGGTGAGAGGATTATCAAGTTGCTTCCTTTTTGGGGTGCGCAATGTTTCCTCTGTGTAATCGCCACACTTTGTCCTGCACAGAATAATTATACATTATTTCGTTATTACTATAAAATACTATATACCGTCATACACCGCTGACTTTACCTCTAGCTTTCGCTATTTTTCTTTGCTTCTTTCTTTTCCTACTTTCATTGGCTTTGTTTGTTTTCGGTTTCGTTACGTGTGCGATATCGTCCACCTTCTTCTTACTAAGATTACGCAACATCTCTCTGGCAAGATCTAGCTCAATTTTGGTGATACTATCCAGTTCCTCTTTTGTCTGGGCATCAGAATGCATATTTAAGATATCATTTGATGGACTATTTTGAGTATCACGTAAATTCTTCGTATTGCTTAGTCTCTTCTCCTTAATACTGCCGGCCAAGTATTTTTTCCCGATATTAAACCGCTTTTTCTTCTTCTGGGCTTTGTTCAGGTCTTTGGCAATGATATCATCAATTGAGGTAGCTATCATGGACATATTGAAACTGTCGTCATCAGCACCCTTTTCTCCTTCTTCGTCTTCTGATATGCTGCCCTTTGGTGCAGACATGATGTCGGTTTCATGCATGCCGTTTCGCTTCTCAGATGGAGAATGAACCAGTTGGCTAGAATTGTGGTGAGCAGACTGACTACTAGCGTGTCCAGCGTAAAGGTTTGGTGAATACACCTGTGAGACTGTTCTCTCCACCTCAACCTCATTTTCGTCATCTGCATTGTGTTCACGGCCCAAATCTGACATGTTTGAAAATGGGGACTTCTCCTCCGCGTTGGAAAGTACAGCCAGAATCTCACTGGCCATTGCTGAATTAGCAGCAGGATCAGCTGGATGCGACAGTTCTTTACTATTGCTACTTCTAATTTCTCCCTCCACTATCAGCTCATCTCCACTGGTTTCGACACCACTTGAGCCGGATACTACCCTTTGCTGTGTTTTTGGGGCACTTTCTGGTGCAGTTGTAAATAACTCTTCACTTGAAGACAGCTTACTTTCGCCATATGACACATATTCTGAACCACTGGTTTGTTCTATCTCTTCGATTAAGCTCCTCTCAAAGTGTGAAGCTTTTAAAACTAAGCTAGAGCGTCTTCTATCTGCCGTATTCTGTCTTAATTGACGACGCGACTGAATCCTTACCAGTATCGTGTCTTCATCCTCAGAGCTCGAACCTTCTTCAGATGATGAATTCAGCAAACGTAGCATATTTCGCACTTTAGAGACTCGTTTGTTTCTTCTCAGTCTAGGACTGTTTTCTGCACGCATCACTTTTTGTGAATCGAGTTCAGCACCTGCTCTATTAGAGTGTTCATTTTCAGTAAACTGGGTGGTACTTGATGGTACTCCTAACTGACTTGAGTTTCCTTCTCCTGTTTTCTTCTTGGGATTAATAGACTTCAGGGATATGTTCGTCTTCAAACGTCCATTGGTGTCTTTGTTCTCGATGATACTCGACTCACCTTCAACGCCAGTCCCTTCATTCAGCCCATGTTCCCCTAAATGTCCTGTCTGTGTCCGAAACTGTTTTTTGACAAACGCTAGGCCATATCCATTTGCGTTTTGTCTGCCACTATCGGTTTCCTGACGTAGAGTCGTATCCTGAGTCGAAGATTCAATTTTTTCAACATCTGTAGCACGAGCAGTCCTTTTTGGGTGCGGGTCAAGCACAAAGAAACTTCTTAGCGCTTCAGAGACATCACGTGCATTGGTTTCAAGTCCAAAATTTGTTGAATCAGGTTCTAACGTATCTTCTTCCACTCTTTGTTGACTTTTTGGTGTAGTCTTGTGTGAGTATTCGCCAATTGTATTAATACTGTTTTCGCTATGCACAACTCTGTCACTTGATAAATCTCTCTGTTTACCATTCAAGCTAGCAAGGGCTTGCGAGCGTCCATCCACAATCGTAGAATTATCCTTTGCCAACGCCTCAAGGCTCGTTGTTGTTTTTTTATGGGATGCATCCTCATTTTGATTTGCCAGTTCTTTGGGTTTCTCTGGGGTCTGTTGCTGAGCTGTGTTGAGAAATGCATGCAGGGTCAACACTTGAATATCGACTGGTGAAAAAACCTTATTTTTTCCTGCCATTGGCACCTTTCCCTTTGCATGTTGTTCCAAACTTGCTTCCTTAGCTGCCTTCCGGATCCTGTTTAGTCTTTTGATTTTCTGTGCCATTGTTTCTTTTGGTTTTGGAATTTCCCTCGCTAAAAGCTTTGAATCTTTACTTCTCGCTGACTGTTTTTCATCATCCAGATCAAATATGGACAAGTCGATGGCTTCAGGTGGGATACTGGTTCTTTTAGACAGCTTCAGGCGAATTTTTATCTTTACGTGTTTTCTACCTTGATGTATGCTACTGTCATGGTTATCGATTTGGTTCAATTTGCTGGCTGTGAGGGCGCGTGTGTCTAATCCAAGAAGCGAGGCTCGCTCACCTGCTGCTCCTTCTTTGGTCATAGACACCGCATTCCTTTCACTGTCCATCTGGTTAGGAGCTTGTTTTTGATCATTTGAAACCACTTCGGTTCCTAGTGGCTTATGTCGTTTACTCTGAAGAGGTAAATCTTTCTGATCTCTTTCTTTCAGCGTCGGCAACTCTGTAATAGAAAGGTCAGAATCCTTGCAAATAACCCTCTTCCTTTTATGAACCGTTGGTGAGATTTCACGCAAGGGCGGTAATGTTCCCCTTGATTTGTTTAGTAGTGAAGTTGAAAGCTCTTCTTCTTGCTGCGCCGGTTTTTCTGTTGCATTTTTGGGTTTTGTCTCCAGAGCTTCCACTGGCTCCTTGTGGAGAATTGCTACTAAATGTTTATCAAGGGGCTTCACTCGGTCTTTGTCAAGAACTTCCAGTAGGTCTTTATCCAGAACTTTTTCTTGCACTTTCTCTACTGCCATCCCTGTCGCATTTTTGGGCGTTTTATTCAGCAAACTTTGTTTCCCTTCTTCAACAAAAGCATCTTGTAGCCTCTGTGAAATAGATTTCTCCTCCTGTTGTAGATGACCACTCTCCAATCTGGCTGCACCTGGTAAGTTTTGAAACGATGAATTGACTTTTCGTTGGCTCGGGACTTCTTTCGACGACTCGTCTGGAGTGTTGGGTGTACCTTCTGAATGAAAATGTGGTGATTTAATCATCGAGGCATTATGAGATTCGGTGTCAGTTGTTAGGGAAGAAGAGGTTTGCCTTAAATGCCCATTCGGGTCTGACATTGAAAAAATATTTGGGGGTGGTGATGGCTTTCGCCTCCTCAAAAGTTCAATTGTTGTCGGAGTCTTGAGAACTCTTGGTGAACCTTTTCCACGCAATCTCTTTAGTTTCAAAACGGGAGTATTTGATTCATCTGACGATATGCTCTTCACCTCACTGACCAGAATGTACTTGCGAATGGGGCGGTTAGTAAGCTCTGTCTTTCCCGACGAATGTTTGGCCATATCTTCATCTTTTCTGGAAAATGCTCTATAGACTGAATCAATGAGACCCATGCTAGTTTGTCCGCTTTAAATTTGTTCCACTTCAGTTGGATCGATGTACTTGTGAAGTAGCTTTGTAGCTAATCCTCTACACTTCATGTTTTGTTTTATTTTGTTTCCTCATCAGTGGACACAAAAGCGTCAATCTTTACCAACGCGTGTTTGTGCGGTTACTATTACCTCAAAGTCAGAGCAAATAGTTTGCTTAATACAGCTAAATTTGCCATATGTGCAGCACCTAGGGTTTCTGTGTTCAACTACAATCGATACAAACATTGATGATTACGTGAGGTATGTGATCTGCGACTTTACGGCTCAAGAATTGACAAAATGGGGATTTATATTGTCTATTTAATTATATGCCCTAAATCTCCCATCTCACGTTATTAAAATGATCAACTTACATTTCTCATAGAGCACCTCGTGGAATTTCTCATCGTTGTCAATCTCAAACTCCTCTAATTTTGCGCCATGTGCATTAAAATCAATCTGCTTGATTCCATATTCATTGACAAAGTCCTCGTAATCATTTCTCAAAAATAATCTAACTGAGTCAATTGTCTTAGGTTGAATAAACTCATGTTGCTGTAGATCGTCCAATTCTAATCTATCGTATAATTTAGTTTTCAAATCTTGAAGTCGTAAATTTGACGGCAATAATAATGCAAATATATCATCTTCGTAGTAAAATTTAACCTTAACTTTTTGTTGCTGTTTCTCAGTGTCTAGAAGCAAGTTCCCGCTTGAAGAATCCCTCGACCTATACGACTCGTTTGAGTGTTCAGATGCTCGAGGGTGAATTCCAAAGTTGGAATATTGCGACATTCTATCCTGATGTGAGTTTGATTTTTGACTAATTGGCTTGGAGCCTCGGCGGTTGGGGGCATCTACTTCACGATCAAATCCATTATTCAACACCTCGAATAAGCGCAAAACTTCTTCTGATCGCGAGATATGTGGTGGAAGTGCAATTAAATTGGACAAATAAAAATCCAATTTCTCCCGCCTCAATTTTGATATCGAATCGTTAACATTAATCAATGGCCCAGGTATGGATGGTATTGTTCGTTTCGAATTCTCGATTTTTCCGGCTTCATACGGAAACAACTCTAGCAACTTTACCTGCAAGTCATAAAAGTCCTGGTAGTAACGGTAAAGGTGCCTGATCTTGCCATTAGATAGTCTGGCGGTTATCAAATACTGATACCTACCGTGATCTAGTTGGTAAGAATCGACACTAGCGTCAATGATGGAAATAGACACTAATGATGATCTGTTTGAATTTGATGCTTGCCCGTCAAAGAATTGTGATGTAGACGATTGTGGGGGCGCTTTTGTGCTTGAAATGTGACCAAGTGGAATAGTTGATGCTTGGTATTTGGCCGTCTGGTCCTTCCACTGCTCTACCGATGGAATTTTGAAACTATTTATAAGTTCAACAATCTGCTCCTGGTTTGAAGTGTCAACGGTTGAATCTGATGCAAGTGGATTCAACAAATCAATAATTTTAACATAAGAAACTGGAACTAAACCCGGGCCTCCTAGTCTATTTATAGGCTTGGCTATAAACCACTCATAGTCGTGATGGGCACATATAATCAAGTTTTCTCCTGGTAAAACGTCAAGCTCGTCGTCTCTTTCTGCTTTGAATTCATACAAGGTGACGGCATACAATGTTTGATTTGGGTTCAGGGAACGAGACCCTCCACGCAGACTCGTACTCTGGTTTGACACTGTTGATGGTCGCGATCTGTCAAATACCTCAAAATAGCTTATTGGTACCATTCCCTTGGCATTTGTCATAGGATTCGTGGCTTCATACCACCCATTCTCCTCAGCTTCTCTGTGTCTTGGGTCATCCGATACATTCAACACATGGAAAAACTCCCCGGTGTTGAATCTCAACTCACCAGGACCTTGTGGTTTGTAGTCGTACAATGCCTTGATAACTTTTTTTGGCGATTGAAGTGCATTGTCTGAGTCAAGCGTATGCGAGGAAACCCTTGAAATTGTCCTTTTCGGCGAGCTAGAAGAGCTTGACAGTCTCTTGCTTTTCCTGAATGATTTGATCATAGGTGTATCTGAGTAGCAATCTCAATGAATACCGTATTGGTTTTCGAAAGGGGGGAGGAGGTTTCAACAACTGTTAATCAGTGAAAAGAAAAGGAAAAAAAATAAAAAATTGAAAAGCTAAATTTAGAAAGTGGTTAGCGCAAGATCTCCGATACAAATCGTAGGGCTTGTGGGTGGGTAGATAGGTCGTTCTTAGACTGATGGATAAATTTGTAATCGAACCGGGCAAAGGGGCCAATACGTCTTTTGTTGTTGGTGGCTTTTGCTTTCAGACTTAATGGAAGTTGATAGTTTTCTTTTGTTAAGTTTTATTTCAATTTCAACTGTTCTCACGCCGAAAGTGGACGGATATTTTTTCTTCTCTTCTCTGTTGTTGAATCGCACTTCGCGCTTGTTTTGTATTAAAGCGATGCCAGAGAGAAAATAAATAGAGAGAGAAGATATACTACCACATATAGAACCTCAATGTCTCAGACGTAGATTCCCTTAAATGCTATAGCTCTTACTTTAACAACGGTGGCCGTTGAATCCAGGCACCACTGTGTGGTTTTGGCACCTGAGAAACTGCGATAGGTAAATGGGGGAATGAAAAACAAAAAACAAAATTATCAAAAGCCACAAGTCGTGTACTTTGTGTCAATGGAATTTACCCCAAAGAAGAAACACATTCCAAAATGGGTGAAAAATTATTTAAAACATATTTGTTGCACAAGATCTTAATTCTTTTAAATGGGCTCAGTTTACCCCTTTCTTTTTTCAAAGTATGTAATTCCTTTTTAAATTCAAACTATGGATCGCGTGATATGACAAAGTTTGGCACGATCTGTGTTTCAAACTGAACTACGATCAACTTCGTATTGCGTTGTGTAATGGCGCAAGTGAGTGCGGTATCCAGAGACATCAATTCTACAATCTTGTGTGCCTAAGTGAGCAGTTGTGGAAATTATACCTTCTCCAAAAGTAAATTGACTATTGTACTCTGAGAGACGCGTTTGGTCTCGGCCCTATAGAAAAAGATTTGTTGCAACCAGAGCTACCCACTCTCATGCATGACAGCTTTACTATAAGAGTCTACTTTAATCCTGAGACACACACACACACACACATATACACTGACCTAACTTTTATTTATTTCTAATTGCTATTCGAGTCTTGATTCCCATAAATTCTATGGAGTAACTGCCTCCTGGATACATCGTTGCCGACTTCTATTAATTGGACATTGGCGTTGGAAACAAGGGTAATATAACAACCAGTAACTCATCAAACAAGCTAGCCATATAAGCTCATTTTGGGCGAGATCGAACAAGGCACTAGATCCTCATTTTTCAATCTAGAGCTTAGACCTGGCAACAGCTGCAGCTATCAACCAACTTGCATTGAAGTTACAGATTGTTTATCCCAGTGAATGGCCCTGTCCAGTTCGTGAATATCGAGGAGAGCTTTTTAGAATTACACCAACGCCTTGACCTTGTTGATTAAGCTGCATTTGCACGTCGCTCATATCATCCACATCGTATGTTTGTCCTTGGGGGGTGTATAGCTGGTGTGTTTGCTGCTCTGTATATGTTTGTGGAACTTGTTGGTGATAAGTTTGGGGAATGAGTGGTTGTTGTTGTTGTTTTTGTGGTGGTGGTTGCATATTGGGACGATTCAAGTATTGGAAGTTCTCTGTACCCGTTCTTTCAATGCCTTGCTCTTGGAAAAAGTCATCTTCTATTGGGAACGACGATGTCACGACCGAAGCGCCTGTTGCTGTTGGTTCTGGGTATCCCGCTTCGTTTTCAACTATGGCATTGTCTTGGAAATAATCAACAGAAGGATTGAGTATTGTGTCTTCATTATTAAACTCGTCATCGTAATCATCTTGTGTCTCCTCTTCTTCTTCTCCCTCCTCCTCTTCCTCTGCCCCCAATTGCACTCGTTTGGCTTTGCGTTTTTTCTTATAAACTTTCCTCCTGGGAGGTTTGATTAGCGCCTGTTCCTGTTCATACTGCATCACGTTAGTATATTTTTCTCTTTTAGAAACACCATAGTAGTAACATACCTGTCGGTACTTGGCAAGATAAATCTTGAGAGTCTCTGAATAATTCTCAAACCCTAGTGTGTACATTGCCCATAGTATGTCCTCCCCATTTAGTGTTTTGCGTTTCTCCAATTTACATTTATCAGCCGCTTGACTTGTAATAAACGAAATAAATTCACTAACACATTCTTGTACGCATTCTTTTGACTCCTTGGACAATTTGGCTCTCTCAGGAAGAGCTTTCTTCATCACTCGGCCAACTGTATCTAGTTAGTAATCTCCTCATATAAAATTACACAGCACTCTGACATGCCTGCTTTTCCTCTTCATGAAAACATACCATTTGCAATCGGTAGAAATCGATCTTGTTCTTTTATTTCGTAGTCACTATTGTGCCAATCCTTGTCGATTGGACTGTCATTAGACTGTGCTGACATGATCAAAAGAAGAATTTGAATCGCTATTGCAAAAAAGTGTCTCTGTTTGACTACACTCCCGGAAAGAGTTATATGAACGAATTTTGCACCAAAATATTTAGCGAGATCGGAGTAGAAACGAAAAAAAAAAAAAAGAAAACATTTGTGCAATTGCATACTCTTTATTGTACGTATTGTTAAAGGAAAAAAATAAAGTTATCTAAAAGATCAGTGTAAAAAACTACTTTTTATTTTGACCACGAGGGAATAAGCTCTTGCATAATATATAATTTATGCCTACATTCCTACTCTCAGTTCATAGTTTGGTATTATACTTATAATCCTGCTAACATTTTCGTAATAAGCTCTTGGTATATAACACAATCGGTCATTTCATTCTTCCAATACTCAAACACAATCTTCAGGTGTTCCAAATTAGCAACAATACTTTCCTTCCCGACCACACTTGAGATCATTTCCACCACGTCTTTAAATGATTTAATTGGCCCAGGTTTACCCAATGCTTCTCCATCCCCGTTTCCTCCCATTGATTGCATCAACAATGTCTGCAACTCCTTATTTGAACTTGCACCAACAATCATCTGCTGAATTTTCTTAAACATGAGATATTGCATAACACTCCCAATGAACAAGTTGCGTATATAGTACCAACTTCCCGGATGCCGATGGCACGCTAATCGAAGTATGTTTAATTTCGGTATTGAAATTAGATTTTGGAAAAATATGCGCAATATTTTAGCTCTAGCTGTAGGCATGTCCTTAATTTTAAAAGCCTCATCAAGGTTATCTGTCGGTGGAGAATCATTCAAATCTTGCTTACCATGCTCAACCAAGTTGGAGAAATCTTCATCGGGGTGCTGCTGTTGATAGAATGGCGGTGCATTACTCAAGTTGAAAAAATCCAAATCAATCTCAATAGCACTTGAAAAGTCATTGGAAGTAGTAATTGTATTTGAATCTGAGGAAAATGGTGTATCAAAGCCAATTTCATTATCAAGCACAGTAGACTGTGGCATGGCGCTACTAATCACGGAAGAAGCAGCATTAACCAAGTCTAGTAACGGGATTTTATCTTCCAAAATTAAATACACCAACGGACGGAATAAAAGCAATTTCGAGGCCAAAACTCTCGTTTTTATGTACATTATTGATTCGGACTGTGCGCGAAGTAATAAATCATCGTCAATTAGAAAATCATCCAAGCTGTCGAATATGTCATTATCTAATTCAGCTGATGCATCTCGTGGGTAGTGATTTTTATCGTCAACCCCATTTGATTTTTTGCTTTGCTTCTTATCGTACTTTTTCTTTATCCGCTTATAAATATAATCGACATCAATTTCCTGTAGTACAAAATATCTAATCTCCGGATTCAAAGAGTTAATGATTCCATTATACTGATTCAAATATCTGATGAAATCGGTCCACACTGTTTCAGTGGCAAATTTTTCCAGGTCCCAAATATGATTCAAGGAGGACTCGAGTGAATAAAAATCATCAAGCATCTTGTTCTCGACTTTTCGAACGGCTATTTCTGTCAAGAAATAATACCACGTGTACTGGTCATCGTACTTTTGAGTTAGTTTCAATACTGATTCACTGTACTTACTTCTGAATTCATCAGTCAATGGATCAGGAACTCTGGGAAATAAAGTTGGTGGAGGGAAACGATTTATTCCTGAATGTGAAACGAATGGAGACAACTCAACATTCAACTCGCATTCTAGCTTTAAACAAGTCCAAAATAACCGATCGAGTACTTCCTTTTGGTCATCATTCGCATTGCTGCTGCCACTCCTTGTCTTCTGTAAATAATACATGATATTTCTACTAGCGTTGACGATAAATTTATGAGCTAGTAGTGGGTTGCTGTTTTGCAAATGCAACTGACTCGTTAATAAATAATACTGTGTTGAGTGTATTGTATTTTCCTTCATAACAAATGGAGCCATTTGAATAATGAACTGTGAGTAAGAGCTCAACTTGTAGGCAATGTGGGTCCTATTTGAAGTAAATGTAAGTGGAATTCCATCAAACCAATGTGAGCCACTTAAGCAACCAATTTTGGTGGATGCTGATTCCTTTACCGAACTTTCAAACGTAGTCAAATTATTCAAATCAACTGGAATGGCCGAAACTCCAAGAGCAGAGATAATCAAAACCAACGGAATGTATTGCACCAAATGGTTTAGCCTCTTAATTTCCCGATCATTTAACTCGATCTTCAGTTCTTGGTACACTTGCACAATGTGTTGCGGTAGTTTTTCTGTTTCAAACATGTCTATTAACTTCATAAATGTAAGTTGTGGAATCTTGGAAAGTAGAAACTGATACAGCTCCAACACAGTAAAGAATTCACACACATCCAATATGGGTAATTTTGTATACATATTGACAAAAAATGAGTTGATGATGTTGGTGAAATTGCTCATCAACAACTGCTCGACGATCTTGAAATCATTAATCTTCTCTTCAAATGAGAGGGTTGTGTCGCCTTTTGCATGAATTAAGAAATTATTTCTGTCGTAAAAGTTTAGTAGCTTTTGTCTGGTTCTATCAACTTCTTCCTGAGTCACATGCAAGTCTTGCTTCAACATATCCCAGTTGATAATCTCAGTGACTGACATGTCCCAGACACAGTTTTCATATTCATGACCCTTCCCAGTTTTGCTTGTAGATTCTAATCCCTTATTATCAACTTCTTTAGGTTTATTTTCTATGTCGTTGCTATCACGCCCATATCCGTCGCTTTTAATTTGATTCAAGTCTTTCAATATAACATCCAACTTTGTCAAAATATTCAATGAGGCCGGATCATAGCTCGAGTAGTCATTAAGTTGGTCGTCGGTACTATATGAACAGTTTGTATTCCCATTACGAGCACAAGACCCACATTGAGGCCGTACATTGTCACACTTGGTTTTCTTTAATCGACATGTATCACATGCAGTAACTGCTCTTTTCCTTGGATAGGTGACAGAGGTTCTTGATAGAGATTTATTCGGTGGTTGAGCTCGTCTTTTGGAACTTCTTTCCTCTGCTTGGGACTTTTCTGGCGTTGGACTTCGACGTTTCAGCCTCGTTGAGCTTTGCGAAGGAGACGACACTGAATCTGTAGGAGGAGGTATTGTTGGCGCGGTAGAATTTTGACCCTCTTCGCCGACTTCTTTTTTCACTATGGGCAGTTGCGAGTGAAACTGGCTTTGAGGAGTAGAGTTGATTGCCCCTTGAAAGCGAACCGACCTATATTGAGTTGCCATAGGTCCAAAATTCTGCGGAGACTGCAGCGGTGCTGGCTGTGGCTGAGGTTGAGGCTGAGGTTGCGGCTGTATCTGTGGATGTGGCTGAGGTTGCGGCTGAGGCTGCGGCTGTATCTGTGGATGTGGATGTGTCTGTAGTTGTGGTGGTGGTGAAGATTGATATTGGTAATGAACAGGTGGTTGGTTCTGCTGTGACTGAGAGGGTGGATATTGTACAAATTCTGGTATTTGTTGATATACTGGTGTGTAATACAGCTGTATCCCTCCTCCCTGATGCATCAGCGGTGGTGGTGGTGGTGGCGGCGGTTGTTGTCCTTGGTGGCCATTTCGGGTATTTAATTGATGTGGTAGAGGCAACTGTTGTTGATGATGTTGTGGCCGGTATTGCTGATCTGGGTACTGAGGAGGTTCAGGTAATGGTTGTGTTTGATAGTACCCACTCGTGTACTGTTGTACGTAGTACGGTCCTGGTAGTTGTTGCTGTTGTTGCTGCTGTTTCTGTGAAGTATTTCCATTTTCTTCCTGTTGTGACTCTTGATTCAGCATTGTAACTTGTAGTTGCAAGTCCTCGGGCAATGATGAGTATTGAGTTTATTACTTCAGTTCAGTGCTGTGTATGCATATCTCTCTTGCAAATCACAAGCACTTTTCATATACCAAAATCTGGAGAAGGCAGATGAAAATGTTTTAGTCTTGCAACGTGTTATGTACGCAAAGTACAAAAACCTAAAACCGAAGATCTAAAATTACAAAATGAATTCAGTGTTGTTAGTCTGGGTAAATGCAGTGTGGTTGGTAAAAGATTAATCTTGCATTAAAGTACACGTAACTGATACTATTCTGTACAAAGCGTGATATTTTCTTTGATGAAATTTTTGAACGTTAGCGAGATTAAAATTGGGAGTTACAAAACTAATTTATTTTCTCGGGCGATCGATTATTAACCGATACTACATCAATTAGTTAGTTACATACAGAGACCGGGTCAAAGATGAAATGGCATGCGCGATAGGTGAGTAATATTATTCTTTAGGTTAACTAGTGACACTCCACGTAATGAGAAAATTGAAGTTGAAATACACAAAGCGAACTAGGATCGTGCAATCTCACTTTGTGTTTAGCCATGAGGTTCTAGTATTGGGGGAGTTAAACGTATAAAGTCAAAAAACGCGCCTTCTCCTTTCCCTTTCCTGTGAAACCCAAGAGTCTATGTCACTGGTGCATTGGAATTCAATTCCAACCAGCAAAGAAAATGTTGTAACATTCCATAACCAAGAAATTAAATTCTCTCGTAAAAATGCAACTTAATGCAAGACAATAATGAGGAGCCTCACATTTTTATTTAATAGTTGGCCTTCAATATTATATAGGTTTCAGTATTTATTGTCAATAAAAAATTATAAAATCACAAACTGCTCAATTTTTATACAAGACGCTTTCTCTCCCTTCTCCAAAGCATGAATTAACCTGGAGGTAATTGAGAAGCATCAACAATATCGGATGCATCTACTGGGACTTCATCTTCTTCAGCACTATTCAATGGAGTTCTTGGTAATGCAATCATACCTGATCTTGCCAATTCCAAAATTCCAAATGGATGCAACAAGGTAACAAATGCCGATACTCTACTTGGTTTAGCACTCAATTCAACAACCACATTGCGATCACTTATATCAACAATTTTACCACCAAATTGTTTAGTAATTGTAGAGATATGATCTAAATGAATATGTTTTTGTCTCAAAGCTTCACTGGGTGCCAAATTTGATGGATGGAAAGCCGATTCAGTGGCCGACAAATCAGGAATTGATGATGCATCATCAATATGTAATTGATGAGTAGCAATCAACTCTTGGAAATATTCTGGTCCCAATAACGATACCCTAGCTAAAAGCAACTCACGTTTAATAATTTCAGCATTGGTGTAATCCAATACAGCATAAACTGGAACTAAATCTTCAATTTGTCTTCTTGCTTGTTCAACAACACCATCTTGGCCCTTCAAAACAATGGTCATACGAGATAAATCCTTAACTTCAGTATTACAAACAACCAATGAATCAATGTTGAATCCTCTAGCTGCCAACGTACCAGAAACGCCTGACAATACCCCGGGCTCATTTTGAACCAAACAGTTGAGAACATGTTGTTTTGGTGGAGCCTTTGATGGTACTGGTGTTTCGTAAAGAATTGAAGAAACGGCAGCGTTTGCTGACCAGTTGGGGGTGTCTATTGTTGGTAATGGTGGTCTTTTTTGGTTGCGATGCAATGTCTTGTAAGCTAAAGCCGAGGTTGAGCTCGATGACTTTGCCCTTATAGACTGTCTGATTAAACTAGACGATCTTTTGAACATTTGAAAATATGTGTGATGTTGCTAGGTCAGATCCAGGTGAAAAGGGTTTCTCTGATGAAAATTTTTGGAGAAGTTGTTTGATTTCAACTTTTTTTTTCTCTCTTTTTTTGGTGTCACATTTTGTGAGTCACTATCTCTTGGGAAGGAACTAGGACGACTGGATTGGTGTTTGGTCGGCGAGTAAAGGGAGAGAAGAAAGAAAAAAACGATTACTTTGGTCGATCGGTCGTACTAGGCTCGCCTACGCGAATAAAAATAGGCTTTTGAAAGAAATGTCTCTCGCTCATACGGAAAGCGCTACCTGCTATCCATAGTAAAGCCGGCGTCTAATCCCGCGTTTCCAATGTAACGCACGAGCACGAGGTATTGAAATGTTTACGTTCTAAAGTTGTAAATTTGCAAAGAAATAACAAAAGCCTTTCAAGGGCATTGTTTCGCCCCTTTGCAATAATCCTTGGACCTTTAATTGAAGATACAACGTGGGGCCATTTATGGAGTGTTGTTGCATTTTAAAATTTAATTTTAATTCTTTTTTTTTTTCCTTTTTCTCCGAGGAAGAGAGCCACATGTCTCAGACACGAGGAGAGAAAGCATCATCGAGCCGATTGACTACGAATACGCCTAAACCCATTCAGTCATGAACTTGTAATATTCATTTGCTTATTCAAATCTGGTAAAAATCACTTTAATGTGTATTAAAATATTGTCAACTAAACTTTAATAAATTTTCTTAATAAAATACGACCAAGGCAAACCTCGCTATTTTTAAAATAGCAATTGTCATGCATCAGATTTACAACAACAAACCTAAAGCAACCAACAATGGGCCACCTACACTAGCAGCAATGGCATCAGCACCGGCGGTCTTGGTAATTGAGTGAGTTGAAGTCTTGTGTTTAGTCGAAGTAGATGAGTGCTTCTTTGATGAGTGGGAAGTAGTGGTGGTAGTAACTGAAGTGACATGAGATGAAGTGGTAGTAGTAGCTTTGGTAGTTGACTTGGTTTTCTTGGTAGCTTCAACCTCAGAATCTTCTTCTTTCAAATTGACAATTGCTGGGTAACCATATTCAGTGTCTTGAATAACCAATTCATCGTCGTTGATTAATCTAACTTGATCCAAGTTTAAAGCCAAGGTGACAGTAGCGAGAGTGAAGATAGTGGTGAATTTCATATTTGTCGGTGATAGTATATATACGGTGAAATTTTGATAAATGAAAATAAAAAGAAGAAATATCAAGCGTCTTATATAGAAATGTATGCAATAAAATTTAAAAGGGGAGAAATTTGTGCTTTAATATAATTTTGTTACACAACAATGCAGCAAAGAATCATTATAAAAGATCATACATTACATGAACTCAACAAACATACATACGCACACTCCTTTGCTTTAATAAACCATCTCTTTAATGAAAATAAAAAAGTTTTAGATTGCTATTGTTTGGCTATTTGTGTAATCTAATTAGATTGGGTAGTGTACCATGTGATTGAAAATTAATTTAACGCAAAACGCTTTTCGTCTAAAGGCGTGTACTTTGCTCAAAACATTATACTATACAACTAAAATGTAGACCTCAACCTACCTCTAGACGATTTAGGATGATCTTTGAAACGCTCGCATAATCTCAAGATGCGTTTATGCATCACGGTTGAAGGCTAGGAAAAGGTTATGCAGTTTGCGCTTCTGTATAGCGCGTTTCTTTATCATTAGCTTAGTTGCTTCTAGAAGCCTTTTGCATTAACAACAGACCTAAATTGCCGTCCATTGCTAACCAAAGAACAAACTAACCAAAGGTTAGTTGTGAATAAACTTTTCTAAATTTGGGCCAGACCAAAAAGTAAAAAAAATTTTCCAAAAGCCTTTATTATTCGTACAAATTGATGCCAAAAAAAGGAAGAAAACAAAAAGAAGTTTTGCTTTGTCCCATTACGAATCCAATTGAAATTGAAAGACCATTGAGACAAGCATAGTGGTGGTGGGGAGAGTATGTTAGACACTATATTCTTCCAAATAGCGCTAACATCTTAAGGTAGAATCTTTAGTTAATAGCCTTGAGTGAATTTTGCTCACCACTGTTCGTACTTTTGCAACTGCTTGAGAATTGTGAGTAGTCAATTCAAAGTACGAGAAAACGTCGCCCAACTTAACCTTACACAAAAAGGCCACTTCTCTTCTTCTTTGACGAAAACTATTCTATGTAAATGTGTAGAACATTCGGGAATTTCAGAAATGATTCCATTGTAGAGACGACAATGATAATAACAATGGTAACTTTGTCAACAATCAAATTTATTGTCACACGACCAGTAACACTTTCAAGAAAATAAAGTCAAAAAGTCAAAGCCGTTACAAAAGTCACGCCAAAAAGATTATATTATATGTGTTATATTATTAGACTTATTATTTAAAGTTGTCGTAATTTTAAATCAGTCAGAAGCAAAGAGCGGCATTGGCCTTCAAATGCAACATGGTTTAAAAATACCTTGGCAAGTGCATCAGGCAGTTGATGAAAGTCTAACTTTAACTACAAACCTTATTTTCGATTCCTGGGCCCTTGTAGTGTAGCAAAGGTCAAAACTCTAAGTTAGTGTTGTTAATAAAAGGAATATATACATTTAGACTCAAGGGAAATATGTCTGTACATAAAGCAAATGGAAATTCTAGATATAGCTCCATTTGTGTAATGTCGCGTTTAAGTTACGACAACGATACGACAGCCCTACATGGTCCAACTGTAAAACTCAGGCTGATCTATAATATGAACAGGATATTCCGTTTACAACCTCCTCCTTCCCTATGCGATATGCAATACACTCTCTCAAGATCTGCTTTGATTCCACTGTTCAATTAAAAAAAATCACCATCAATTAAAAAAATTCAAACTAGAAACTAAATACTCCATCTATATGCAATAATACTCACAACATGTTTAAGCCGTAGCTTGTCTTCTTTCTTCTGCTTCCTCTTCTTTAGTTGGTTTTGCAACTTCCAACAAAATCTTACCTTGAGCTCTTCCACCGTTTAACTTATCAATAGCTTGATGCAAATCATTGAATTGGTAAACTGAATCAATAAAGAGTTTAACTTGACCGCTTTGAACCAAATCTCTGGCTGAATCAATCCAACCTCCATTGTAATCTAAAAATCCAAAACTATAATCATAACCAAGGAATCCCCAGGCGGCCAATTTCTTTCTCAACAATGAACTTGTGTATGCGAAAAATGAACTACCTGGGTTAGTTGTATGATAAGCACCACCTTTCTTCAAAATGTGCTTAATTTCGGGGAATAATTCCTTACCTCCAACTGTATCCAAGATGTGATCAAATGGCCCTGACTCCTTAACACTTTCCAAGACTTGTTGTAAAATATTTGGGTTTTTTCTGTAGTCAATTTGTGAAGTAGCTCCCAAGTCACTAATCAAATCAGCATTCTTTCCAGAATTCGTAGTGACAATTTCCTTAGCTCCCTTTATTCTACATAATTGAACGGCATATCTTCCAACTGATGTACCAGCACCCAAAATCAAAATCTTCTCATCCTTGATTTTCAATCCTCTTGAGATTTGCATAGCAGTACCCAAAACCAATGGAAATGAAGCAGCTTTAGCAAGATCAATGTTTGTGGCTTTGGTAGCAATAGGCGATTTAGTTGGATCGAGAAGCAAATATTCAGCACATGAACCTCTATCAATCATTGGTGCTTGAATACCTTGAACTAAATCGCCAACCTTGACTTTGGTTGAGGTGTGGTTACCAATAGATACAACTTGACCCGAGTAATCCTTACCGAATCCTTGTTTTGAATTGATGAAACGAATAAAAGCTGGTTTAGCCTTGTAAAGCTTGTAATCAACCGGGTTTAATGAGGCATAGTTGATTTTAATCAAGATTTTTCCATCAGGGGCAATGTAGTCTCCACTCGAAGACTTGACCAAGTCAACGGATTCTTGGATTAATTCAATAGGGTTGTTACCATTCTTGTAAGCCCAAGCTTTGTATTCGAGTTTCGGTGTCTTAAAAGGCATTTTATAGTAATGTAGTTGTAGTATACCTCAAAAGAAAGTCTGTTACATATGAAGGCAATGCAAGTTGGGGGTAATTGTTTGTTTATATATGGGGAGTTAAAGTCATTATTCCCATTCCCGGAGATAAAAAAAAAAAAATATTTAGTTGTGACACAAACTGAGTTATGTGTTGTATTTTATGAGCGGCTACAGGTAAGGGATGCTGGTGGAAAACAAAAGAAGGATTTGTGATAGTTTTGGTGTTTTCTTATTTTCCACAGTGTGTCTAGCATGTGCACTTTACGAACTGTGTAAGTCTAAAAAAGGTAGCAACTTTAACTATTTTCTTAGGATTGCTGTCAGTCGGTTGAAGTTGAAGCAGAAGTGAAGTCTACATGGCTTAATACAACACTCAGCGCGCTTTGGTATAGGTAAGTCAAAGCTCTAGCACTGCTACTTCCATTATCAGCATAGTGGTAACGTCGCATGCGTCTTTTGTGAGATTTGTTATTATTTGTGAATTTTTCCATCTTCGGATAAATTTCCGGTCTTAGTATCCGTTTCCGTCTTGTTTTATCCGTTATGTGGATAATTAATCAATCAAATAGACGCGCATTTAGCATCGTCAAAAGAAAAGCTTGACAGGCAAAGCACAGCCAGCGGTGGCAAATGTAATTACACGACACCTGGAACTACTTGCGAGATGATATGAAAAGAGATATGATTACTTTGTTTTTAAAAACTGTCGAACAAAATGCAATTAAACTTCGTCTATTTAACTACTTGAATGGGTTAATTTCAGTTTGTTCATTTGGTTTGGCAACTTCCAATACAATCTTACCTTGAGCTCTACCATTCTCTAATTTATCAATTGCCTCATGCAACTCACCAAATGGATAAACTGAATCAACAAAAATTTGTAATTTACCCCCTTGTAACAAGTCTCTTGCCGCATTTATCCATCCTTCGTTGGCTCTATTCGAATAAAGCAACCCTATAGTATAATGATACTTCAACAACCCCAATCTCGAACGAGCCATTCTAAACCATGCCTTGGTAGTACCAATTAATGCATCCATTCCTACCCCTGGACTATCACCAACTATAGTATAGTAAATACCACCTTTTCTGATAATCGAATCTATCTCAAGAAACAATTGAGTTCCACCCCAGCAATCAATAATATAATCAAATTCACCCGATTTTTTAACGCTCTCCAACACTGGGTTCAAGAAATTGGGGTGTTTTCTGTAGTCAATTTGTGAAGTAGATCCAAGTTCTGTGATTAAATCACTATTCTTGCTCGAGTTGGTAGTCACAATTTCTCTGGCTCCTCCGATCTTGGCCAATTGAACACTATATCTACCCACTGACGTACCAGCACCAAGCACAAGTACTTTACTACCCTGGAACTTCATATCATGAGTCATTTGTATAGCGGTTCCCAAAACTAATGGAAACGAAGCGGCTTCAATTAAATCAATATCGGTAGGTACGGTTGTAATTGGTGACCAAACAGGATCAACTAACAAGTATTGAGCACATGATCCCCCTCCATATATTGGCCAGTTCAATCCTTGGACTAAATCTCCAGCTTTAACATCAGTCTTGGTGTTGGCACCAACTGATAAAACTAGTCCTGAAAAATCTTTACCAAATCCCTTTTTGGTGTTGTAATAGGTTAAAAAAGCTGGTGTTTTCTTATACACTTTGTAATCAACTGGGTTCAATGAAGCATAATTGATTTTGACCAAAATTTTACCTTTTGGAGCAACGTAGTCGCCATTGGGTCCTTTTACCAAGTTGATGGTTTGGTCAACAAGCTTAATTGGACTACTACCGCTTCTATACGAGTATGCTTTATAGGTAATTGCTGGTGATTTTAATGACATATTTGATTCTACTGTTTGGAAAAAGCAAACCTTTGGTACAGGGAGAAAAAGGGGATAGCAAAAGAAGAAAGAAAGATTTGAATACTTATTTATAGAAGGTAAGACTCTAGTGCGGTTATAAGAAACGCACGGATGTCAAAAAAATTTGTTCTTTTTTTGTGTGAATTATCCGCCCCTTGCCCCACGCGCGGCTCATATTTCATAAATTGACCAGTTAAAAAACTTAACATTCTCTTGGTATGTCTGTTTAAATTTTTATCCCATCAGAGACGAAAGACGAACCTTGTGAGAGGTCGTAATGTAAGGAGGGTGAAAGATGATTTCGCAACTCAATATTCATTTATTATTCCTCTTGCCCCTGTATATACGGCGGAGGTAAACTATTTAACGTTATTTGTTCGTCATCAGAATTAACTTCCGAATAAGCGTCATAAGTAAAATGGTCATCGTCATCTTCTTCATATTCCTCCTCTCGGCGTAAATCTCCACCTTCTCGTTTATTCTTATCAACCGTAGCCCAAAAATCAGGCGGGAAATCATTTGACCGATCATCTTCCTCCTCGTCAATTTCTGATCTTTCCAACAAGATATCAGCATTGAATTTATTATAAGCTGGGGGTGCCGGTCCAGTTCCTTCCAATGGAGCATACCGCCAATTCTTGACATTACCCTCAATGAAAACAAACCCGCGTTGTCCTAAGTTAACATGAACCGAACAAATGTTATTAGCACCAATAATGGGGAAAATTTGTCCACTCCGAGGAAGTTTAAAGTTTTTTATATGTCCACCAATTTTCGATTCACTAACCTTTTTACCATTACGGGTGAAGAAAATCGTGCCTGATCGAGTTCGATATCCAACTCCAACAACGTCACCTTCGGATAATTTGGGAAATGGCGGTTCGGATGTAAAGGGAAACGGTTGATTGTGTCTTCTATAGCCATCGGAATCGTAACTGACCGAATGGGGGTGACGGCCCGGTAGTCTAAACCAAGGGTATGGCTTGATTCCTAATCCTATTGATATTAAAGTATCTTCATCTTCGGCTGCTGTTTCTGGTAAGGAATATATCTTGGCTTCATAGTAATATACTTCATTCTTCATGGGTATTGGCAAATTAGTCTCAGTAGAACATTCAAACTTTTTGAAAAAATTCAACTCAGTCTTATTCACAATCAATAAATCATTATTGGTCAACATTTGATCTTTGACAAATTCAAATGCATTTATGCCCTTTTCTTGAACTAATAAATTTTGACTTAGGGTTAAATCGCCAATATAATAAGGGTTCAGTTCGAGAAATTCCCGTGATTGGAAAAAAATTTCTTGCTCATCACTATTTAGTTCAAGGTATGCTTGGTTTTCTTCTTCTCTTCTTAAATCATCTTCAGTGGCCCTATTTGATCGATGGACAAGGTAGACAATTAACGCCGAAACGAAAATTATACCAAACACTGACAGTAGGCTTATTATGACTACAAGAAGTGCGGTACTAACCTTGCCGTTGCTTCCGTGTGTACGGTTGTAGGGTGGTATTATCTCTGGTTGGTCAAATTTAAGATACATATTTGTTGCCTAAATGGGGTTATGATGTGGTGTGGGGTCTAATAGTTAGGTATAGTTGTGATTTTAGCTGCTATTGCGCTGCTCTTTATTTAGCTATGGTAGGATCTGGTATCTCCTTATGTTTTGGGCTGATGGTCGTTGAGCACTAATAGATGGATGGGTTGATGAATGTATCAAATGGAAAGATTCGTCTACTGATAACGGAAATTGAACAAATGATTCTTTTTTTAGATGTCATTAATTTAAAATTTCTTTTTGTTTCTTTTTCGCGCTACCGAGATATTTTAACCGAAGAAGATGACCAATGCTGAACAATGCAAATCAAATTCAAGCATGAAGATGGTGGGGAGCTTATGATAAGAGTCACTTTGAAAGATAATCTTGTTATGCTGATCCTGTACTTACTTGCCCTAAAAGCTTTATTGTGGTTTATAGCAAATAGTGTTTTTTGTTACCCATTGAGATACATCTAATGCAATCAGTTAAGGCAACTCCCTCAATATGGAGGCTCTAATTCGCCTCTTCATGAAAATACTATAGATAAGAAGCAGGGAAAAGGAAGGTTTCCATTTCAAAAGAGATTAACGCATAGACTCTGTACAACATAGTGTGTCGCTTTTGTGATCTGACCCTGAGAGGCAACAGGACATTGCAACTTATTGTTCTGTAGTGGAACAATTCCGTCATTGACGAGAATTGTGTCTATACTTGTAAGGGTCTCTAAAAGACGTTTTCCTGTTTGTATTTATTGCTACAATTTATAGGAGGACTACTTAAGCTTGTGCCACATATGAATTGACAACACTCATTGAGCAGGAAACCATTTGCAATTCACGATGATGAAAGAAAGGAAAAAGTAAAAAAAGAGGCTTTCTCGTATCCTTCTCATCAAAGTGGTCTATTTCGCGGTACACTTGCAAGGCTTTTACTCTTTAAGCTGTACTGTCTGTCTTGAGAAACGCGTAGAGCGTGTTTTATTACCCTTTTTCTGCTCATATTTAGACCTACCACCGTAAGTTAGTACTATATGATCTTGGTCAATAGTTCGTCATTAACCACGGGTGATGATTGGTGTAGAGCTTGGTCACATTCTGAACTGCGCCTACAACTGAGAGTACAAAAATGGAAAAAATTGAATGGAATATTAACAAGGCCTGGGGAAAGGAAACATCTGAGTCAGAATAGGAGCAGTTGGATCTGGTGGCTGATTCGACTCAAATGATTCGATTAATTCATATTCAAAGGATGTCACTGATAGGGGTTGCTGGTGACCACAATGTATTTACAGAGATGAAACCAATTAATTGTCCTGATTTGGAAAGTCCGACCAGCGCGATTTGCCGAGTTAAAAAGAATAAAAACTGAAAAGTGACGTCTTTCGTAGCCACAAATTATTGCCTTGTTTAGATCAATTGATTTAGAATAATGGAGAGTCAGTTATTTCTAGAATTACGCATAACTTATAGTTAGTATAACAGGTGGTTACTACTCGTCTAAGCCTTTGATGTGGTTATTGTGTTAACTTCCACCTTTGACGAAAGGAGAAAAATTTTGATAATCAACGAGAATTTTTTTTTTTCATTTTGGCGTCTGTTTTCATTTTTAAAGGGAGAGACAAACAACAAACACTATTGTGTTATACTTTGTACGCACAATCTGGAAAACTCTAATCTTGTAAATGATCTACGACTGCGTATAAAGCAGTTATTATGGAACTCTTCTGCAGTCTCTATCCTCCCCCCCCTTTGAATTTAACTTTTTTTTCTTGTGCTATGTTTACATAGTTCTATTTTTATCTCATGTCACCTGCAGAACCATAAATAATAAGAAAATTAATTATTTAACTTGATGTAGTTAAATTGGTTTATATCGGCCCGTGCTCGTGTAAGCAGAAACAAGGCTCTGCTGGTGTATTAAACTTCTCTATAACCTCTCTTCTTAGGATGTATATATATATATATATATATATAGCGAAGTCATCAACGTTCATTTCTTCCATTTACCTTTTGCTTTAACTATTTGTTAACTTACAACACAAAGATTATACACACTATGCTAATATCACACGCATTTTCACTCGCTACATTAATCGTAACAGCTACTGCTGCAACAACAAGTACCTCGTCGTGCAACCCAGTCAAGTCGCTGTCATGTTCTCCAGATTCAGCATTAGGAGGATCGATTCAAGAAGATTTTAATGATGGTTTGGGTTCTTATTTTACCAACCTGGGCAACCAAGGTAATGTTACTACTAGTGATGAAGGATTGTCACTCACTATTAATAAAAGATACGATAACCCATCAGTCCATTCGAATTTTTATTTGATGTTTGGATATGTTGAGGTTGAATTAAAAGCTGCTGAAGGAAAAGGAATTGTATCATCATTCTTTATGCAAAGTGATGATTTGGATGAAATTGATATTGAGTTATTTGGTGGTGATGAATACGAATGGCAATCAAACTACTTTGTTCAAGGAAATACCTCCACTTATGATCGTGGTGGATATCACCAAATCACCCCTAATCCGTTGACAAACTATCATAAATATGCCATTAATTGGACCAAAGACTCATTGGATTGGATAGTTGATGGGTCAGTTATTAGGTCTTTAAAAATTACCAATTCACAAGGTTATCCACAAACACCAATGAGGATCTATGCTGGAATATGGGCTGGTGGTGATCCATCAAACGAAGAAGGAACCATTGAGTGGGCCGGTGGTGAAACCGATTACAGTGATGTGCCATTCACTATGCATATTAAATCGATCACAGCTATTGATTATTCAACCGGTAGTGAATATTCTTACTCCGACCAAAGTGGGTATTGGCAATCAATTGATGCTGAAGATGGTGAAGTTAATGGCAGATATAGCGATGCCCAAAGTGACATTAGCAAAGTTGAAGATGGTGAAAGCATAGAAAACAGTGGATCAAGTGGATCATCGAGTACCTCCGAAACCAGTTCATCTACAGAATCTAGTTCATCTGAATCTAGCTCTTCTAGTTCAGCTTCTAGCTCGTCAGATCAAGCTTCATCTACGCAAGACTCGCTGTCATCTTCTGAATCGGAAGCTTCTGTGTCTACTGCTGGAACCACTAATGAATCGTCTGGCTCCACACTGGCCGCTCAGAGCACCAACAATGCAAAAGCTAATGCTTCTACTGCTTCTACTGCTTCTTCTGCTTCTACCGCTTCTGTTAGCACTAGAGAATCATCGTCCGCCAAATCAGAAACAACTACATCATCTAGTGAAACGGCATCAGTATCTTCTTCATCTGAAAGTTCTGCTACTGGAATTACACCATCAAGGCCAATGTTATTGGTTACGTTTTTAGTTCTGTTTGTTTCACTTGGTGTTGTTCTTGTATAGACTCTTTAGAATGCGTTAATAATATTCACTATTTTTGCCTCAACTTAATTCTACTTGCTTCTTTTTTGCCTCAACTTAATTCTACTTGCTTCTTTTTTGCCTCAACTTAATTCTACTTGCTTCTTTTTTGCCTCAACTTTGTTGCAAAACTTAGGTAAAATATTTTTTTCTTTTTCGCAACCAAATCGGGGGAAGCTCAAAATGAACATAGATCTGCGCAAAACATTAATTATGGAGCGTGCTAACATCGCTCAAAAAGAACAAACTGTCTTACTTCCGAAGGTAGAGAAAAGAAAAGGACGCATGATGATGGAAAGTCTTTAAAATGGCTTAAAATGGTTGATACAACGTTGAACACGAATTAAAAGGCTTTATCATCAACAAATTTTTGAGGTTTATTACCACCCATGTCTGACACAACCTAAAAAATATTTGGAACTCAGGCAAGTAGAATTGATTCTATTACCTTCCTACTTCTATAAATGGTTTACAATTTATAGTCTAGGTTTCGAAAAGTCACGCTACTCAAAAATCATCTTTAGGTTAATAATAAAAGACATTTGAAACAGAAATTAGTGCAGTGGCACAGTTGTTTCACTACTGACTGGGTGGCCAAGCTGGTTAAGGCGTGTGACTGTTAATCACAAGATCGAGAGTTCAATCCTCTCCCTGGTCGTTTATTTTTTTCGCGTTTTTTTAGCACTATTTATACGCGCAAAATTTATATTCTACACTCAACTTCCAAAGGAAAATTTTCCGAAGTTAACTTTATTTTCTACTCGAGAATTTCCTTATACAGATAATCTACTCATTCAAGGTGACGTAATTCGCAGGGAAAAGACCAACTTCACCAGTCTTTGAATGTTTTCCTGACCACCAGTCTTCATCAACAAAATCAATCTCTACAATGAGATCACCCTCTGCGAAACCAATTTCGTTATCCTCATCCTTTTCGTAATCATACTCGGCAGTAGCAGTTACGGAATCTGTCTTTTGTGAACTTGGGTCTACAGCAGGTTGTTCTTCATCCTCTTCCTCTTCTTCTTCCACTTCAGGCTCTGGCTGTCTTGGAGGTGGTGGAGGCAAGTTTCTTGCTGGTAAGGTTGCTGGTTTTTCATCTTCATCTTCTTCATCTTCATCATCGTCTTCAAAACCTTTATTAGCCGGAGGCAAATTTCTTGTAGGCAAGACAGGTGGTTTAGGCTCGTTTGGTTCTGAACCACGAGATGGCAAGGATGGAGGTAAGTTCCTTGCTGGCAATCTAGCGGGTTTCTCATCCTCTTCATCCTCCTCCTCCTCCTCTTCTTCTTCTTCTTCTTCCTCTTCAGGCTCTGGTTGTCTTGCAGGTGGTGGCGGTAAGTTTCTTGCTGGTAAGGTTGCAGGCTCTTCTTCCCCCTCTTCTTCCTCCTCTTCATCATCATTTATTTTGGCATTTCTCTCAAACTTGTTGGTCAATTCTGACGCATGACTCTCGAAGGTTTCATTTTGACCATTCTCTGAACTTGGCTCTTCATTGGCTGCGACAGTCTTGTACTTACCTCTCTTTTCAGCCCAAATTTGTGCTGGTGTCTTACCATTCTCGGCTCCAAAATTTCTCGACAAGCCCCCAACGACTTTATCGCTTCTGTCATTCCTAGTTGCACCAAAAGTTGGTTTTGCTCCAAATGAGGGTGCCCCAGAAGATGTCGCATTTGATTTGTACCTATCAGCAACTGAATGCCCAACTTTTGGCTTTGGAAGTGATGTCAATCTACCATCATTTTGTTCGTAAGTCTTCATACGCTCACTTAAAGGTTTAGGAGATTCTTCCTCTTGTTTGTCTTGAGATGCACTAAACTTCGACTTAGGGGTGGAGCTAATAGTGTCGGACTTTTGTTTTCTCAATTCTTCGATATTAACCTTCGTGGGCTTGTAAGTGGAGGGGATATTCTCCAATGGCTTTTCGTCAAAGTCACGTTCTTCAACATCTTGAGCATCGCCCCAGCCATCATCATTCGAGTGAGGTTTTGGCTTATTACCAGAAGATACCGCAGCAATTGGTTTTCCAGTAGATTTTGGAACAAACGACAGCTTGTTAGTGGATGATACTGGTTTTGAGACAATTGGTTTGGAAACGTTCGCAGCAGCGGCTGCTGGTGCTGGTGGTTTCTTTGACGAACCATCCGCAATAGTCGAATATCTTGCACCAGCAGCTGCACAGACCTGGTTCAAAAAGTCATCAACATCCAAATCATCCTGGTCTCTAGCTGTAATTTGGATATGGTATCCATTGAAAATCTTTGAGATTTCAGCAAAATTGTTTGCAAACGACATTCTTAATTTCGCTGGTGCATTATCGGGACACCAACCTAACAATATGTTCTTGGATACATCAGAGCCAGGGACAGTAACTCTCACCAAACCAAATTGAACTTGACCGTCATTGAAGTTTTCAACAAATTCATCCAATGATCCATTGCCGGTCTCTGAAACGTCCAATGTTGCATTTTTGTCAACATAATAAACAACGAAGGAAACATTGGGATCCCCTTTCACAACTTTGAGGTAGGGGTCTTGAATTCTTTTAGAATTGGTTGAGGTGTCTATCTTTTCCATCTTTTCTGCGCAAATGTAAATTTGTAAATTGTATTCGAGAGGCAATTGGCTAAAAACGGGCGAAGTTTGCTGAAAATTCAACACAGTTCGGTCACTGATTTCGTTCTTGTCGCTACCACGTGCGGTCTATAAAAAGTCCGTCCGTCCACACTATCAGTACGAATCATTATGAAGAGATGAGAGCTAACTACAACAAGAGTTTGTTATAAACAAAGTGTAGTTCATGATATTTCTACCTAGCTAAAAATACACATCTGTAATATTTACATAAACAGGTGCGAAATGACCTATCATGGCAAAACACAGCGAGGGGATTACCAGTAATCCTTCCTCCGGTAAACCCAACAACAGCAGTGCTAGCGAATGTTAACGGGAAGACCAGTGCTTTCATGAACTTGATTTCACCAATGCGTATACCAAGCACCACATCATAATGTACCCTGGAAGGTTTCCTGTAAGGCCCTGAATGAATATCTCTTGGATTGGGTTTTTGAAAAACTTGTAAATATTTCCTTCTCCACATAGGATATAGAACGATGCATTCGTTAGCGATAAACCAACAAAGAAAAAGAGAAAGCCGTTTAAAGATTCAAGTGTTAAGATTCCCGCAACGACTCCCAAGATTAAAGAAGCAACATCCTGTATGTACTGTAGTTTCTGTTTGTTGGTATCGATACTCAATTGACTATAAAACCTTTTCGATTCTGTCATTGATATTAAGATGTATGAGGATCAATGTATGGATGGATAATGTGCAAGTGGCTTGAGTTCCTGTGGGTGATCTCTCCAATAGGTTTTATGTTTAAGTCTATGATTTTTTTTTATTTTTATTTTTTTTCTTTATTTCACTCGCAGCTAGGCCCAAGCGTTTTTAGCAAAAAGTGGCAAAACGCATAAAAACAATCCTATCCTTATAAACTAATTACCATTCACAGGTGAGGATACACTGTACCCATGGATGATCAATTGAAACAGTTTCTATTTCTTCTTCCCTCGCAGTGTAATTTTCATTATGATAACCATGTCAGGAAGGAAATAAGAAGAGCATTATTCCTATCAGTCACAGATAATGGAAGATATCTTGATCGAGTATTTCCAGAGTTGTCAAACCCATCTGAGGAGCTTGAAAAGGATTTGAATTGGAAATTGTCGGAGTATCTGGAATCTATCAATGCAGGTAAATACAGACACGTTGAACAAGGGCATTTTGCTTCTCATCCAAATCGAACGTGCTCAAGAGTTTTCAGACGAGGGGAACCAATCATTCGATGCTTAACGTGCGCATACGACCAGTCCTGTGCATTATGCTCTCATTGCTACCGTCCTTTGGAGCATGAAGGGCACGAGATTGTCATTCAAATTTGTATTCGCGAAAACGGAGGCGTATGCGATTGTGGAGATCCAGAAGCCTGGAAAGCCTCAAGTCAATGCGCACATGCTTCTAGTGATCTTGAGGGTTCTGATAAGAAGCTTCCTAAGAATTTTCAGCTAGCACTAGTAAAAACATTTGGCGTAATTTTAGATTTCCTAATTGACATTTCGATAAACTGCGATATGCATTTCAGTTCACCACAGGAAGTAGACTTCAAGACAGTGCAATATAACTTTGCATCCAGCACACTAGATCCCCACAAATATGGTATATGCAGCAATAATTTGGCCGACGGCAATAACGACAAATTTTATCTTCAATTGTATAATGATCAAGTGAGACACTTTAGGGACGCAGCACAACGCGTTCGTTTAGCAAGCCAAAAGTCTAACGAATTTGCTAAAATGGTGACAGAAAGGGTGCATAATTTCGGGAAAGCAGAAGTGTTAGCTTCGAAAGATATAAGCCTTTTGTTGGAAAGACAAAAAATCTTGAGCGCTACTGGACTAGCGTCATCTATTCGAAGCGAGAGAGACGTTTTTCGTGAAGCAATGTGTCAAGATATGATTGTATGGCTCAGTGAATTTACAGAAAGCGAGTTTTTCAGATCAAGTATTACGACTGAGGATTTATTCGCCCAGGCATTTTGCGAGAAATGGCGGCCCGGGTTGATTAACAAGCAGGAAGCAAGACGAAACGGTAACGGCAGGGCAGGCGTATTGGGTGATGATTTCGAAATACCTAAATTAACAAGTGAGAACCATCGCACTCTATGGGTTGAAGAAGATGCGCAACAGACAGAAATACTTTGCAAACATTGCGGAAATCGTGAGTCAGTAAACGCTTCTGCAGTTGGATCACGATTGCAATACATGATGTTTTTAAACCTAAGATTATGGAAGGCTTCTCGTGAATTGATGCATGTCATGTATTCAACATCCTTAGTCACCAATGCCAAATACAAACATATAATGTGCAGCCAATACATGGAAATTTATACGGGAGCGGCAGACCAATTTCTATCCCTAGACAGGGAGCCCGAGCTCAATGTCATGTTTAGCCTTTCCATTCAACTTTTTTCTAATCCGCGCAATTCCGAATCAATAATTAAAGAAGGTGACTTCATCTCGGTCCTTTCTGCAGTTTTTGTCTTTTTGACATCGGAGAAAATACTGGAAAGTACGCTTAAAAACAGAAGAAGCCGCGAGATTTCGATCAGAAGTCTACGCAACAGACGATGGGGCCAGCTCTTTCTCGACATTGGCTTTATTATAAGTAGGGGCAAACAGTTTTACGATGTTTCCAATGATGATATTTCCCGCGCAGTTTGTGATCTCTTGGGTCTTTTCCAAGGGAGGCCCGTGATGAAGAGAGAAAAGAACAATCACGTTGAGTATGAAAATCCTGACTTTTCAACGTTTTTCAACTCAGCGCTGGTGATTTACAAATTTGCAGATTTGAGTGCGCTGACTCTCAATAGTTGGTCAAGCGATGTCCACATCCGACAAACCAAGGCATTGGGTGCCATTGGGTACGTTATCTCCTATTTAATAACATTGGAATCCCACAACATAGAAGGTATCAATTATGAAAATACCGATATAAAGTCTCTTGCGCACAGAAAGACCATAGCGGAACCAATGACTAGGATAGCATTAAAAGCTTTAAATTGGGATGATGACAACGTCAGCTTTCTTCATCCATTGCACTCATACGTTTGCTCCTTAATCGAGTCTGCTCAGTTTCAAGACTGGGATGGTTTAGTTGAAAAGTTCAAGGAGGTTGGACTGAGAATAGGTTTGCCAGAATCATTTTCCGTGGAGTCCTTAATTTTTGACTACCCTATAAAGACGCTAGTGCTCATGTCACAAATAAAATGTGGTTACTGGGTTCGAAATGGGTTTACTGTGAAGTCTCAATTGCATTTGTACAAAAATACCGGATTGCGTGAATATGGGTATATGAGAGATTTGTTCTTGATTCAAATCTTTAGCTGTATATGTGATCCCGACTTTGTGGGTTTTATGATCCTTGACCGTTGGATGTTACTAGGAGACTGGGCTTATTCAAAACATGAACTGCCGTATGACGCACAAACTTTACCCTTTATCCTCGAGGAGTGTGCTAGCTTTTTTATTCATTTGATGACCGAAAATTCGTCCTTAAAGGGTCTTTCCGAGTCAGACGTAGGTAAAATCAGGATCGAGAAGGAGATTATTCATAACTTGTGTTTTGGACCGTTGAATTATAAAAAGCTATGTTCTTGCATATCTGAAAGAGTGGTTCTTGACAAGCGTTTTGAGATAATATTGAATAAAATGACAAACTATACGAAACCAGTGGGGAACAACGACTCAGGAATGTTTGAGCTCAAAGAAGAATATTTAGAAGAGGTGGATCCATACTATTTCAATTACTCGACAAACACTAGAGACGAAGCTTTGACATTCGTCAAGGAACGGATACACAAGGTAACAGGCAGTCCCTTAAGCAGCATTGTTATTGAGCCTGACTCCAATGTAAATGACATCTTGGACATTTACAAATACTGTGGAAACGTTTGTACTTCAGTTCATTTTACTAAATTTGTGATCAAGATGTTGTCCTTTATTTGGAAGCAAGATTTTGACAAAGTCGAAAGCTTGATGGAGACCACTTTGCACTTGATACATGTTTGTTCGTTGGAGAGCCTCATCGACACACAGAAGCATGTATCATTTTTCACCAGGTTTGTGTCAGTGGCGTCCGACTACTCGCCTGTTTCTATTAGTGTACTTTTAAGTCGGTTCCTTTTGGATGAAAGATATACAAAAGTCCATGCTAAAATACGTGCTATTATGTGCAAGCTAGAACAGAAATACTCATGCCTTGAAAGCATCATTAATGAACAATTAGTGGGTTGCGGTTTAGGGCACATTACTATTAGTGCACCAAGTGAGGTCAGTTCAGAAGATGAAGTCTCAAAGAAGAAGAAACTTGCAAAATTGAGGCAAGAGAAATTGCTCAACAAATTCAAGAAACAACAAGATAAGTTTTTAAAACAAAACAAAGATAATGCTATAGAATGCGATGATGCTGAAATGGAGGAAGATAAATCGGGATCTCCTTGGCGCTTGTCAGATGCCAACTGCATCTTGTGTCAGAATGCCAGTTTGGACTTAGGCCCATTTGGTATTATCGCAAACATTGGAAAGTCCTCTACTTTTAGAAATGTGCCCTTCGAGAACGCATATTGGTTTTTGAAATCCTTCTCGGACCCAGCAAATTTAAACAAAAACCCTAGACAATGCCGCGAGTCACGCTCTCACGGTTGGAATGAATTTATGGCGAATGTAAAGGAAAATAATGCATTTGGACCTGGATTTGACTCCAATGATTGTGTTGAAAGTAAGTTGACAGCACTGAGTTGCGGCCATGGAATGCACTTCAAGTGTTATCTTAATTACCTTGAAGGAATTAGAACAAGACTAAACCAAATCACTCGAAATACATTCGAGAATCCCAAGGTGAAGGAGATTCTTTGCCCTTTATGTAAAGCAGTTAACAACGTCTTCATACCTGTTTTCAGTTCAGATCATCGAGAAAGTATGGAGGAATTCTTGTCCACTCAAGGCAGTCAGCATATAAACAAAAGCCCACTTGATGAAGATTGCATTTTTAATTTGATCGAGTCTGCAAGTTCCAATTTTACAGTTTCATGCCTGGTGGAGGGGCAAACTTGGCTATCGTGGCTAAAAACTAATCATGGTGGATTCAATACGTCATGGAATAGTATCTTAAATTCAATTGCTCCTATTACATTTCCCAGGTCCTTTGAGTCAGCATTGCCTATGATATTGTCCAATACCATAAAGTCAACAGAAATTGCCTTACGTGGCGTTGATTCGGGACGAACGTTAGTCTTTGATCAGATTCCTAGCAAGTCACTTATAACTATGAAGGCAATGAATGAATTGCGCTTGTTGATGCAAGTTGAAGAGATTGACTCCATTGTTAGACTTACTGATGATGCTTTAGCAAAAGTATTGGCAAAAATTATGTCCTTTTCGGCTACTGGAATCAACGAGGCCATAGCGGAAGCAGATTTTACCGACTTACTAATTGAAATCACACCATTAAATCCATTGAGACTCACTTTTAATCAAGTTTTAAGGGTGACTTTTGTTGGCCATGTGATTCAATGTTTGTACGTGCTAATACGAGGCATAAGGTCCAATGTCGTTGTCAACAGTTGGAACTATAGTATTCACGACATTCCCCAACTTACAGACATAGAGCCGCTGGTGGTACCAGAGGTGATAAAATGCTTCAACATGTTGGGAGGGAACGATATCACTGCCCTAGGTAGGAACATTGGGCAGATACTATACACCATGGTGGTGAAGTCAGTGACTCCATTTTTGCGCAGAGCTGGCATATATGCGTTTATACAATGCAACAACTCGGAACAGTCGAGTCCCAATATCAAATACAGAGGGTCCTTGGAAGCAGACGAGTTGTGTAATTTTATGAATATTCCTACAATCTCAGAGACCTTCAAATACTTTTCGGATTTAGAGTCATGGGAGGGAAAGTTGCTACATAATTTTGCCACTATTTTTATCCCCAAAACTAACAGAGTATTATTGGCTAATCGAGAATTGGAATATCCTGGAATTTTCAAATTGATTGATTTACCAGACAGACTTGATGATTTTTTCACGCAGTACTATTACCTGGAGAAGTTTAGCAAACCGTACCAGAAAATAGAGGACCCAGCTATTTGCTTGGTCTGTGGTACAGTTGTCGATCTACAAAACCAAGCCGTTGGGACAGTCGAGGGTCAGTGCACTGCACATTATTCGAGGGAATGCTCGAGTGAAGATGGCATCTTCTTGTTACCAAAGGACAGGGTTATACTATTACTACACAAGTATAAAGGGTCCTTTCATACCGCACCATATTTAGATGATCTGGGAGAATTGGCCGATGACAACAAAAGAGCTAGGACTTTGCATTTAATGCAGTCTCGATACGATGATTTCATCAGAAATGTTTGGTTAGACCATAACATCGCGAATTACATCGCAAGAAATTTGGAGAGTGTCTTGGATCCGGGCGGTTGGGAAACTTTATAGTACTATATATGTATATATTTACGTGAACATAAACTCTTGATCATCCTCGTCATCATCAACAGCATCCCAGACTTCTTCGTCATCTAGGTCCATACCATTTCCAGCACCAGCAAGGAACCCAAAATTTGGCATTACCATGTTGGGGGTGTGTCCAAACAATGGTCTCGACACATGGCTATATAGGCCCTGGTTTATCCAAAGTCTATTCAATTCTTTGAATTTTCTTTCATTTAATGTAGCTTTACCTTTGGTTCTTACTCCCTTTGGTTCCCCGTGCTTTGTCACATAAGGACCTGGAATTTCAAGCAAAAGTGAGTTTTCACCCACGAGGATGCTGATTCGCAAGAGGTTTTTCTCTGGGTCAAAAATTATTCCAAATCTGGAGCATATTTTCATGTGACTATGTTGATCACGTTTGTTTAGCCATTGACCACAAAACATACAGATGCATTTGCGCAATACATTCTTTTGGGATAATTGTAATAATCCGCCTTGGTAATCCTCTGGCAAAGTACATAAATGAATCTGTCCAGGAAAATCAAGGGCAAGAAATTGATCAGCAGAGCCAGTGTGATTTGTGTCGAATGCTATCTCGTATTCTTTATGCTCGAGTGTTTCTGGCGTTTGTATACGAGCAAAAATCTCTTCAAGGGAAGGTATTTGCAACACTTTGGTCAATGGGTCGACCCCAACAATGTTTGGTTGATTTTCAATCTCGTCAGCCATTTGAGAATATGCCTCACCATCAATAGTATACGAACCACCACATTGGCTTAGTAAAATGTGTTGAAAAATAACCACCTGCCTCAAGTACACACCCACAATTTGTTGTGTGATTTCAAAAATGTGACGTCCATATTGTTCAAAAATCAGTGGTAAACCTAAGTTTGACCAAATCTGAGCAAAACTTTCAAACCCGGACGAAGATGCATTCTTTTTCTGAAGTGTCTCAGAATCGATGTCCTCAACTAAGTCAATTTTAGTACGAGCCATCAATTTCCCAATAATTCTTGATACCCCCTTTCTAGCTAAAACGGCTAGCGACTGCTCAGAAGTGAAGAACAGAACCAAAGTTTCACTAAATACTCCATTTTGGAAGTTGGGCTCTTCTCCCAGTCTTGAAAGAGACTCTTTTCTATGTTTCCACGTCTCTCTGTCCCATGGATCACAAAGATCAGCCATCATCACTTGGCCCTGAATCAAAGCTTTGAACAAGGTCTTTGTACCATGGGGAATCTGGCTCAAGAAGTCAGAGTATCCAGATCTACCATTTAACCGAGTACCAATTTCACTCATTTGTATGGTACTACCCATATTCAAGATCCAATGGTCATAATTGTTTTCATACCTGCTCTTCAGTTCAGTAAAATGTTGGTACTCGATTCCATGATCTTTGGGCACAAATAAGTGTCGTAAGACATCCATCTTTCTCTGGCTCGGGCTGTCAAGCACCAGCAAGCGGGAATTATCAAACACAATATGGTGCAATCCCGAAGTTTCCAAAGGCTCGTGTGCCACAAAAGGCATAAAGGCATCATGATAGGTGCGGCACAAGGGGCATGGGTAGTACTTAATATTTCCAGCTCCCCTTTTAAAACATTCATGATGAATCCCGTGACCACAAGATGAGAAAACAGGTCTTTGGAATTCAGTCCACTTTGAGTAAATATTATATCCTTGGCCAAATTCAGACTTATTCGAATATGCATACAAATCTTCAGACCAAGTTCTTGAGAGATTAGGTTCGAAGAGATTACCGACCTTCCAAAATAACGGAGCCTCTGTGGCAATTAGGAAAGTTCCAAACGCTTGACCAGCAGACTCCTTTTCTCCGCAAATGACACACACCCTCGCATCGCCTCCTTCTTGTTCTGCTTGCTCATCATGCTCTTCATTCAATTTTTTATTCTTCTTCAAAAACTTTGCTTGCCTTTTTGAAAATTTCTTCATAATTTTCATCTTTCTTTCTTCCGACACTCTTTTTTCTCTCTCAGCTTTGGATTCAAATAATTGCGTCTTGCGTTTTTTAAATGATTGTACATAATCTTCTCCGAAACAACTTACCAAGTTTTCAAGGATTCTTGGGTCCTTGACTAGAAGCTGTTCCACTAAGTAATCGGCTTTACGTATAACAGTCTTGGACATATTGGATTCCACTATGGTCAACAACAAGTCACAGATAGGTATATCGATAAACAGTTGGCACAAGTAGTCCTTTCCATGAATACGTTCGTCATCCAACATTATAGCATGTATCAAGTGCAATAGCTGTGGGAGATAGGATTCATTTCCCGAATCAACAGCCACTCTTAAAAGCTTGTGTATGACTTTAACAAACAATGTGGTTTTCAAAAACGCACCCAATTCATTATCCATGGTAGGATTTCCAGAAAGGGAAATATGGGGTGACAATATGACTTCTTCCTCTGTAACATTTGTTGTTTTTGACAACTTTTTCGTCAATACATCGTACAACACCTGAAACTTTGATGGATCTAAAAATAGTCCCATAGGATCTAGCTGCGAGTAAACCGAATCCTTAAGTCTGTATAGTCCCGTATCGAGCAACGCTGACGGCGGCTGGTAATCAGCAATGTCGTACAAAATTTCGTCAAATTCCGGCAAATCACAAATATTAAAGTCCACTTTTGACCTCAATGTGGTATAATTTCTAGCTTTCTCACACAAATAATAAGCCAAGAATTTCTTTGTTTCCTCTAGCTCCATGTCCTTGGTTGACAATTGGCTAAACATGGATCTATCAGTAAGCAACTTGTACACAAAGCCAACAAACCTTTCGACTATCGAAAAGAATCGCTCCTCGTATACCGTAGCATTATAATCCACCTTGTTGGTAAACCAGTCTTTCAACTCCCATCTCGCTAAAAAGTTTCTCACCATTTCTTCGGAATTTCCAATCAACAATGCAACTTGTTGTAAATGCACATCTCGTGCAAAGGTAAAGTCGGACATTCCAGGCCCAAAGTACATACTTGCTTGGCGCGATGCAGAAACCCCATTTCTAATCCAAAAGCCAATTTTGATTTGTGACCCAAGTACAATACTTCTAAGTGAAGCATCAGACAACATTGTTACCGCTCTATTCTGGTCCCCCAACAAAGGATACACACCATTATAGCCATTAAACTGAATTAGATACGACAAGAAGCTTGTCAACGGATGAACAAATGCGTGGGTATGCTTACTCACCTTGACGTTATCTAAGCCGCATTCAACTCGATACATCTCTTCACCAGCAAGAAAATTTGTGAGCTTTTGAATTACCCAGTCCAAGTTAGGATGGTCAGATTGACTTGCTGCTATATTTCTCAACGAGGACAAGATGGGCGCCGATATGACTGGATGAAGCCTGAACGTCATCAGTTCTTGCTCCACATGATCCCCACATTTCCTAGTCATTGGTAAAAAGTCGTGGAAAAGCTTTAAAAACAGAACCAAAAAGACGAAATTTCTAGGGCGCAAATAAGCTTGTAACGCCTGTTGTCCTAAGTTTGCTGATGAAAAGTGCTCAAAATCGTGAATACCTCTAAATATAGCTGTTTTTAACCTTCTTTCTTTTTGTGTGTCTTGATCAGAGTCTATGAATATACAGTGCCCAATTCCTTCATCCCAAACAGAACAACTTTCCTCTATAATTGTGGCAAGTCCGTTGATGATATAGTTAACATGGGATGACTCTAGGAGCTTCTTCACAGTAACTGGGCATGTGTAAAGCTGAGAGGATATCTCAGTTATCAAGTTTAAATGGTCTTCTCTATCCAGGTATGCGCAAATCGCTAATAGCATGGGGTATATCTCGGTGAATTGCTTGGCAAACTTCCCCTTCAACTCAATGTTGGCGACAAGGAGCGGCAACAATATAGCAACCATCTTTTTTCGAACGAGCTTGGGGAATCTGATTTGATATATCAAGAGAATCTGAAATCTTGAGAGTGGAAGTTCCAAATCAGGTTCTGCTAGAAGATATATTAATCGCTCACGTAAATCCAACCCGCTGATCGGAGATCTTACTTTGTTTGAATTGAACCTGGTAACGAACTTGTCCTCAATTGGGATACCATTCTTGTAGCACTCATCCATATTTCCATTCGTGAGACCACGAAGAAACTCCTCCGGAAAAACCTTTGCGAATTTGTAGTCATTATCTAGAAGGAGCTGAGTTAATACCTCTTGACTTTTTATCTTGAAGGCTTCATCATAGGAGTCTAAAATATCATTGAACCAGAAGAAAATTCCTCGCACAATTACTTCGCGAAAAAGATCTCTTGTTGAAACAATTGTGGATACTAAACCACCCCGTTCGACAAGCTCTTTTGATTTCATCAACTCTTCATATGTATCTGCTCCCTTTAAAACACAATAACCCTCTTCGTCAATTTTTCTCGCAATTTGAGTTGCTTTATTATCGTTGCATGAGAGTCCTAACCTTATAGCATGTATTGCCTGGCCCAAATCATGAAACTCATCATTCCACAATATCAAGTTCCAATAGCTCGAGTTTGCATCAATTGCACCACCATATTTTCCACCTGGCAAGGAGAAGTAATTGGACAACGATCTTGGGTTGAAGCTGAGTAATCCCTTGTTCATATGTTCATGAATTATTGGCAACGTGCCAACATTTGAATTTGTAACGTCTAACACATAATCGAGACAAACCTTTACAACCAGATACAAAAATTCGTAATTTGGTTCATCAACCGGGGTCAGCTGTGATGTGCTAGCTGCCTTTTTCGCAGAACATTTACAGTGCAAAGTGGCGACAAACGCTTCGGGATCTCCACAGTCACAAACCCCACCAGATGTCCCACTCGATGTATAAACCAGCACTGAATGACCTATGTGGTCTTGTTCATTAAAACAATACGAGCACAAGACACACGTGTCGTCGAAACCGCACTCCTCACATCTGTATACCAGATCGCCTGCCTTGAATAGTCTAGCACATGGTTTGTCGATTGGATGAGCATATTCTTTGGACTCAGGTTTTTGAAGCGATGGGAGCATATCCAAGTTTTCCAATGTGAAATCTGAATTGACAAGCTCAGATCGCGCTGAGTTTGAAATAAGCGGGAGATCAGGAAACAATCGCAGTAAATATTCACCATTGTCTGTCGATATAAAGTATAGTGCTTTGTATAAATAGTCCTTTACTAATGAAGTATTTTTAAATGAAAGAGCTGATGGCAACCCAACCAAAAATCGTTTGAGTCTATCCTCATCCATTGTGTATCCCTCTTAGTAATCAGTTATGCAAAAGGGCAGGATAAGTAATAATAATAAAAAAAGAAATGCAACAACACTTGTAGTTTTGCTAACTATCAGGTATTTTAAATGTGTTGAATTGATGATGTGGAAAAATCAAAGTCAACTGACTATATCGTTTTACTAAAGTAAATCAAATCTTTATGTTTAATTATTATAATATGCGTCGGTTCAGTCACGTGAATAATGAGATATTCAGGAAATGGTAAAAGAAAAAAAAAAAAATTTATTCTCACTTTCCAAATTGTGAAAAGTTCGGTTTACTATTGATCAACTCAAGTGAGTCATATGTATACAAATATGTCCAATATTACAGACCCAGAAGCCCAATACGAATTAATTTCTAGAGACTTACAAGAAGTTCTCAATGCTCAGATCATTAAAAATGTTTTGGAGAATGAGAAGAGGCCGTTGAAAATTTATTGGGGAACTGCTCCGACAGGAAAGCCCCATTGTGGATACTTTGTTCCAATGGTGAAATTAGCCCACTTTTTAAAGGCCGGGTGTGAAGTTAAGGTTTTGTTGGCAGACTTGCATGCGTTTTTGGACAATATGAAGGCGCCATTGGAGGTTGTCCAGTACCGTGCCAAATACTACGAATGTGTCATCAAGGCTATTTTGAGATCTATCAATGTTCCTATTGAAAAATTGATTTTTGTCGTTGGATCATCTTACCAGAAAGATGGCTCTTATGTGATGGACCTTTTCAAATTATCTAACGTGGTTTCCCAAAATGATGCTAAACGAGCAGGAGCTGATGTTGTGAAACAAGTCGCAAATCCGTTATTATCAGGTTTGATTTACCCCTTGATGCAAGCTATTGATGAAGAGCACTTGGATGTAGATGCCCAGTTTGGTGGAGTAGATCAAAGAAAGATTTTTGTGTTGGCAGAGGAAAATTTGCCAAGCATAGGATACAAGAAGAGGGCCCACTTGATGAACCCAATGGTACCTGGTTTGGGACAGGGAGGAAAGATGAGTGCTTCAGATCCAAATTCTAAGATAGATATTTTGGAGGAGCCAAAGGTTGTGAAGAAGAAGGTAAACAGTGCTTATTGTGCACCGGGAGAGGTCAAGGACAATGGTCTTATTGCATTTGTCGAATACGTCATCCAACCTATTCACGAATTAAAAACAGGCGAAACAGGCTCTTTTGATCTCACTATTGACAGGCCTGAGAAGTATGGTGGACCAATACATTACGATTCAGTTGACCAATTGAAGAAAGATTATGCCGAGGGAAAGCTAGCACCCCCAGATTTGAAAATCGGGGTTGCAGACAGAATCAATGAACTACTTGCGCCGATTAGGGAAGAATTTGAAAGGAATGAAGAGTTTCAATTGGCACAAAAGAATGGTTACCCTGTTGAGCAACCCAAACAGGACAAGAAAGTGAAGAAACCAAAGAACAAAGGTACAAAGTACCCAGGAGCTGGCAACCAAACAGGCAATTTAGATGCAGAAATGGAAGCCAATGTTTCCGCAACAGCTGATAGTGTTGAAGAAACAGTAAAGAAGTTGAATGATGTTAAGATAGAATAGGTTTAAATAGACAATCAGATGGTAGCGTAATATTGTTGTAACCAATCAATTGCTGTAAGAAAATTATTACCTCTGGTCAAGAAAAAAAAAAAGAGCATTGAAACCATCAAAGGCTTATCAACTTTCACCTTTATTGAACACCAAGTATTCATAACTCATACACACACAATGTCAATCTTTGTATGTATTTGAGCTAGACTCAGAACTGTGCTATTACCATTCACTAAGCTGGACCCTATCAGAGAGTTGGGAATTGTGGTGACAGCTGCCAAACGGTTTATCTTTTTTTTGTCAAGAAATACTAACATAGCTGATTTAGACTGGACTCGGTCGTATATTTGAAAGAAACTCGATATACGTTGGTACTATTTTATTCGGTGCTTTCGCTTTTGAAGGATTTTTTGACACTGCTATAAACAGATGGTGGGATGCTCATAATCATGCCAAATTGTGGTCTACTGTGAAAACCAAGTTTATTGAAAATGACGAGGACGAAGAGGATGACGAATAGATGTTGATAAAGGGAAAGTATAATTACTACTACTACTACCACTACTACTACATGGGGCCAAGCTCACCCGCGAGGAAGTATATACTGCTTGTGTTGTATGTAGAGTGTGTAATTTAAGAAAGATATATTTTATTTCTTTTTTGTCTTCTTGTTCTCAAGGTATCGAAGTCGACGTAGATATGCTTTGCCAATGCAGTTGTTTTATTATTTAGAGGAACTGCAATTCATTGGGAAATTTTTAAGGGTGCAATAGTCCTTAATCAATGTCGTTGGAGAAATATTCACCATGATTGGGTATACCCAAATGAAGTAGACTCTTACTTCTTGCTACCACTTAAATTAATAGTTCATCCTTTTTGATCACAGCAAAAGAGTTGACAATTTTGAGTGAAGAAATTATCGCACGGAACTTTAACAAGAATATCCCATTCCTACTTCATTCGACTGGACGATGATGACTTCGAAAATTTGCAACAAGCCATGAGATTAAGATGGAGAAAGGACAGACCCGGTGGTGAACACAGTTTTATATTGAGGGCATCCGCAGATTGGGAATTACCATTCAATCGACTGACGTTCAAACTTCCTTACCCACGTAGAGGAATCGAACGGTATTTCAAACATGCTTAAGATCCTCCCCAAAAAAATGGACCACCACCCTAGCAGATAAAGACCAATCTAAAACAAAGTACTGCAAACGAAAGATTTATTTTAATATACAGATTGAAGAATTAAAGACTAAGTGATTTATAAATTACCCTCCTTTTGCTCACAATGATTCATCATCAGCATATTCCCGATGCTCTCTTTCATTGACAATATTCTTGATTCCGTGATCACCCAATTTTTCCATCATTTCACCAGCATCAAAAGTTTTGGGAATCGTGTGCTTGAACTTCCTGGCTGGCACCTTTTGCTCAAACAACTTGTCCAATTCAGCAAATGTTCTGCCTTTGGTTTCTGGCATTTCAAACCAGGCCCAAATTGTGGCACAAATAGCGAATCCTGCCCAAAAGAACCCAGTTTTGGCACCCCATCCCCACGAAGATGGATTCAACATGTAGTTGGTGAGAACGTTGACAACAATCCCAGATACATTATAAACAAATCTTGACAACATGACTGTCTTTTGTCTCAATTTTGCTGAGGGCATTTCTGGAATAATACAGAAACAAATGGGTCCAACGGTAGAATCATAGACAAAAGTATAGACCAACAACATAGACCCTGCACCCCAGCTAGCTCCAGAAGATGATGAGCAACCCAATCCACCAATAATTAAAAGAAGAACTATCATTGTACACAAGCCACCAAAATATATTGAAAATCGTCCTAGCTTCTGTGATAAGGTCCAAGAGACAAGTGTGCCAATGATACCTAAGCAGTATTGAATGATAGAAAAAGTGAATGCGTTTGAAGAGGCTAAACCAGCTTGCTCATAAAAGTAAGTTGAGTAACCCATCAAAGTAGCACCAGTGATGTTTTGGAATAACCAAGTAAATGCAGCAATCCTCGTTCTTCTAAGATTAGGTCCACTGAAACATTCTTTGAAAGTTGATCCGTCACCGACTGAGTCTTCCTCCTTGACAATCAATTGTATCTTGCTAACCATGCTTTCCACCACCACGCTCTTGTCTGGCAAGTAGGAGTTAGTGGTCAACAATCTGGATAACGCA